ACCAGCCCTCACCGGTCCTCATGGGGCCACACTGGGGTCCATGAGGTCACACTGGGTTCCATGGGGTCACGCTGGGTTCCATGGGGTCACGCTGGATTCCATGGGGCCACACTGGAGTCCATGGGGCCACACTAGGTTCCATGGGGTCACACTGGGGTCCATGGGGCCACACTGGGGTTCATGGGGTCACACTGGGGTCCATGGGGTCACACTGGGGTTCATGGGGTCACACTGGGGTCCATGGGGTCACACTGGGTTCATGGGGTCACACTGGGGTCCATGGGGTCACACTGCGGTCCATGGGGTCACACTGGGGTTCATGGGGTCACACTGGGGTCCATGGGGTCACACTGGGTTCATGGGGTCACACTGGGGTCCATGGGGTCACACTGCGGTCCATGGGGTCACACTGGGGTCCATGGGGTCACACTGGGGTCCATGGGGTCACACTGGGTTCATGGGGTCACACTGGGGTCCATGGGGTCACACTGCGGTCCATGGGGTCACACTAGGGTCCATGGGGTCACACTGCGGTCCATGGGGTCACACTGGGGTCCATGGGGTCACACTGGGTTCATGGGGTCACACTGGGGTCCATGGTGTCACACTGGGTTCCATGGGGTCACACTGGGGTCCATGGGGTCACACTGGGGTCCATGGGGTCACACTGGGGTCCATGGGGTCACACTGGGGCTCCCTGGTCCTCACCTATTTGAGACTTGGTTCTCCTGGGTCGGCTCCCTGGGGGGAGGGGGAGAGAACCTGAATTTGCCAGAATCCCCTTCCCTCTACCTGAGGGACAGCAGCCTGCCCTGCCCCTGTACCCCACCCTTGCCCCTGCCCCCGCCCCCGCCTCTGACCCCGCCCCCGCCTCTGACCCCGCCCCGCCCCTGCCCTTGACTCCGCCCTCTCTCCTGCTCTGACCCCGCCCCGCCCCTGACCTGCCCCTGCCCCTGCCCTTGCCCCCGCCCCGCCTCTGACCTCACCCCTGCCCGCAGGAGGGGCTCCCGCAGCCCGCGGCCCAGCGCTGCGCGGCGCAGCTGGCCTCGGCGCTGGAGCACATCCACGCGCGCGGCCTCGTGTACCGGGACGTGAAGCCGGAGAACGTGCTGGTGCGCGACCCGGGCTGCGGGCGGGTGCAGCTCGCCGACTTCGGCCACACGCGGCCGCGGGGCACGCTGCTGCGCCTGCGCGGGCCGCCGCTGCCCTACACGGCGCCCGAGCTGTGCGCGCCGCCGCCGCTGCCCGCGGGGCTGCCGCTGCAGCCGGCGCTGGACGCCTGGGCGCTGGGCGTGCTGCTCTTCTGCCTGCTCACCGGCTACTTCCCCTGGGACCAGCCGCGCGCCGCCGACCCCTTCTTCGATGATTTCCTGGCCTGGCAGGCCTCGCGCCTGCCCGCCGACCGCCCGCAGCCCTGGTTCGGCCTGGCGCCCGCGGCCGACGCCCTGCTGTGGGGGCTGCTGGACCCCGAGCCGCGGAGGCGCAGCCCCGTGAGCGCCGTGCACGCCTACCTGGGCCGGCCCTGGAGGCAGCGGGCCGGGGAGGACGGGGAGGCCGAGGCGCTGGGGGACGGGGAGGAGGGGGGCGGAGAGTGAGGCGCAGCCTGGGGCCCCCGCCTTGCCCTGGAGACTCAGAGGAACGGGGACCCATATCCCTTCTCCTGCGGGGTCTCCGGCTCCCTGTCTGCATGCGCGCACCTGCCTCCATCCACCCCAGGGCCTTTGCACTTGCTGCACCCGCTGCCTGCAGAGCTCCCGGCTCCTCCCCTCGCCTCCTGGGGACCTGCAACGCTTCCCCTGGGCCCTGGGCTCTCCCCGCCCCAGGGGCCCCAGCCTGGCGTCACCACCCCACTGCGCTCTGGCACCCAGTCCCCGCCAGCTGCCCCGTGTGCGCTGCTGGGGCCTGAGCTCCTGGAGGCGGTCCGGCCTGGCCTGTGCTCCTGTGTCCCAGCAGCCGCAGCCGCAGCCGGGGGCAGAGGCCTGTGCAGTGAGGGGGCCCCTGTGGCTTTGCCCGCCTCCCCCCCTCCCTCTGCTGGGGGTGCCCTCTTGGCGGGGTGCCTTGTCCTCACACCCCAGCCCCTCCCTGCAAATAAAGTCCACCTGACCCCTCCGCTCCGTGAGGCTGTTGGTCTGTCAGCTCAGGGGAGGGGAGGACACTGCGCGTGCGTGTGTGTGTGTGTGTGTGTGTGTGTGTCTGTGGGTGTCTGTGTGTGGGTGTCTGTGTGCGTGTGTGTGTGTGTGTGTCTGTGTGTGTGGGGGGTGTCTGTGTGTGTGTGTCTGTGTGAGAGTATATGTGTGTGTCTGTTTGTGTGTGAGAGTATATGTGTGTGTCTGTGTGTGTGTGTCTGTGTGTGTGTGTCTGTGTGTATGTGTGTCTGTGTGTGTGTGAGTGTGTGTCTGTGTGAGTGTGTGTGTGTCTGTGTGTGTGTCTGTGTGTGTGGGAGTCTGTGTGTGTGTGTCTGTGTGTCTGTGTGTGTGTCTGTGTGTGTGTCTGTGTGTGTGTGTGTGTCTGTGTGTGTGAGAGTATATATGTGTGTGTGTGTGTGTGTGTGTCTGTGTGAGTGTGTGAGTGCGTGGGGAGGGGCAGGGAGGGGGCAGCGGCCGGCGCCACGGCCCGTCACCAGCTGGGCCCCGGCCCCTTCACACCTCCCCTCGCATCGGCCCCCTTGGCAGCGCGCTGTGTGCAGACACTCCGTCTTCCTCTCCGCGCCCGCCTTGGCCGCCAGCCCAGCGCGAGGCTACAACTAGAGCTGGATCCGGTGTCACTCCCGCCTGGCCCGGGCCCACACCGGGGCCTGCTGGGCCGCGGCACCGCCGGGGGGGGGGGGGACTGTGTGTGACCCCAAGGGCCCTCTGAATCCAGGTTCAGTTCCGAGGCTGGGACACGGCCCCTGTCCGGGGCAACCCCGGCGAGCTTCCTGGAGGAGGGGGCGTGGGCGTGCACGGCGGAGGGCACGGCCAGGGCCTCCTGCCGCCTTATCCAAAATCTGAAACGGATCCGAAATAGCCTGAGCCAGCGGGCCAAGAATGTGTCCCCAGAGCGGGGGAGGCGGGCGGAGGGTGCGAGGGCAGGAGGGCAGGGGGCAGAGGTGGCGCAGACGGTGTTAATTGGTAGCGGCAGCTGGGGCTTAGCTGGGAGGTGACAATGACAGGGTGGCTGGGGCAGAGGAGGACAGAGGCCCAGGGGAGGCCTGGGGGGGGCAGGCGTGCTGATTAAATATTCGTTAATTCAGTGACACCCCGATGCTCACTGTAATAATACTCAGGGCCCGGGAGGCTCCTCAGCTTGGGGGCAGAATCATTCATCGGCTGCCTCCTGCACGCCCCCTACTGGGGATCGAGCTGAAAATCCGGGCAGGAACTGAATCTGGGACCCTTCAGTCTAGAGGTTGACACTCTAGCCACTGAGCCACACCAGCCAGGGGGAAATATAGGGCCAGGCATGTGCCCTTGACCAGAATCGAACCTGGAACCCTTCAATCTGCAGGCCGACGCTCTATCCACTGAGCAACCCAGCCAGGGCAACATGTAGGGTTTCTTAATTAAAAAAACAAAACCAGCCCAGCCAGTGTGGCTCAGTGGCCTATGAACCAGGAGGTCACGGTTGGATTTGCAGCCAAGTGCATGCCCCTGGGTCCCCAGTAGGGGGCGTGCAGGAGGCAGCCGGTCAATGATTCTCTCATCGGTGTTTCTCTCTCCCTCTCCCTTCCTCTCTGAAATCAATAAAAGATAAATAAAAAATAAAGTGTTTTCCTTCTCCCCTGTCTCTACTCCGTCTCCTCCCTGTCTCTCTGTATCTCTCTCCGTCTCTCTCCATCTCTGTGTGTGTCTCTGTCTCTGTCTCTCTCTGTCTGTCGCTCTCCATCTGTCTGTCTCAGTCCGTCTCTCTGTCTCTCTGTCCATCTCTCTCCGTCTCTCTCTCTGCATCTCTCTGTGCCTGTCTCTCTGCATCTCTCTGTCCCTGTCTCTGTCTCTGTCTCCCTCTGTCTCTCTGCATCTCTGTCTCTCTCTGTCTCTCTGTCCATCTCTCTCCGTCTCTCTCTCTGCATCTCTCTGTGCCTGTCTCTGCATCTCTCTGTCCCTGTCTCTGTCTCTGTCTCCCTCTGTCTCTCTGCATCTCTGTCTCTCTCTGTCTCTCTGTCCATCTCTCTCCGTCTCTCTCTCTGCATCTCTCTGTGCCTGTCTCTCTGTATCTCTCTGTCCCTGTCTTCCATCTGTCTCTATCTCTCTGTGTCTCTCTGCATCTCTCTGTCCCTGTCTCTGTCTCTGTCTCCCTCTGTCTCTCTGTCTCTGTCTGTCTGTGTCTCTCTGTCTCTGTCTCCCCCCCCCCCACATGTATATAATAAATATCAGTTGCTGAGCGCAGCTGTCGCTGGCAGATCCTCAGGGCGCGGGATCGAGGACCGGGCGTCTGCCAGCGGGAGGGAGGCCAGAGCCGCCACCGGCTTCCCTGTCCCGCCCTCGTGCTTACAAAACGCAAAGTCACAAGCCAGCACGTCAGGCGACACCACACCGGCAGGGCACCCTGCTTGCGGGGGAGGTTTGGGGCGCAGGGGCGGCGCCTGCGGGGCCTCTGTGGACGCGCTCTCTGCGGGCGGATCGCGGGGTGCAGTGTGGAGCACAGACTGGGGGTGACCTCGGCTGCAGAGCTCTGAGCCGCGTCCCAGCTACACTGCCAGGGACATGGGCCTCGGGTCCGCTTGATTCTTCGGGGTTTTCTTCTTATGTCAGAGAGGAAGGGAGAGGGGGAGAGAGAAACACCCATGATGAGAGAGTCACGGATCGGCTGCCTGCTGCACGCTCCCCCTCTGAGGATCCAGCCCGCCACCCGGCCATATGGCCTTGACCGGGAATCGAACCCGGGACCCTGCAGTCCTCAGGCGGACGCTCTATCCACTGAGCCACACCAGCCAGGGCTCTGTGGGGTTTCCCATGGGGAGGCCAGGTCCCGGGTGGGGGGCGCGCCCTCTGCCCTCTCCCCCTGGGTGTCTGCTCCGCGTCTGCCCACGGCTGGCTCGCGGGCCGGGCCTGCCTCGCTACTGTTCTCAGGTTGTTGCGAGGTGGCGGGCATGGCCCCAGGGCTCAGCTGTCCCGAGGGAGGTGCCCGGGGCCGGAGCCAGCCGTAGTGGGGGCAGGCCACCAGCCTGGCCGCGGGCCCGGGGCCAGATGTCCGGACTTAGTGGCCTGGCCAAGCGGGGATAGAGTGACCGGCTAATTGAGCACTGCCTCTCGGGGCTGGCAGGAGGTGCCGGGCGGGGGGCCTTGGGCCCGAGTGCCCGCCAGCCGCAGTGACCCCGAATCCTCAGCGGGGCCCGGAACCCACACTCCCCCGCCCCCCGGCGGGGCCGTCTGGGGTGACCCGGAGCCAGGGTTCGCCTGCTCCCCCGAGGCAGGAAAGGGGAGCCTGAGAGTTCCCCAGCTGGGGCGCATCCTGGGCTCCCGGGGGAGCCCGAGGGCCCAGGAGGGCGCGGGGAGCGCGGGCGGGAGCGGCCGGCCCTGCAGGTCAGCGGTTATTTAAGCCTCGGGGCTTAGCGAGGCCCGGGACACGGGAACCCACTGCGTGCTCCTTCGCCTGTTGGCGGGGCGGACGGCCCATCTATCAGGACCCCCGGACAGCACCCCCCCCCCCCAGCATGTAACTGGACCCCGTTGGCCTTTGCAGGGCTGCGGGGCGCCAGCTCCCTGACCTTCCAAGACCTGTGAGCCAGGCTCGGACCAGAGCGTGGAGGAACAGGCCTGCAGCGGCTGCCAGAGGCGGCAGGAGCCAGGCCAGAGGAGGGAGCCCCCCAAGTAGAGGCTCAGGACAGGAGCTGAGGTCTCGGGGAGCACCAGGGGCCACCCAGGAAGCCCATCCCTGGAAGCCCAGGCCGGAGTCCGCGCAGGGAGTCCACGCCCTTGGGGCTGAGTTCCCGCTCTGCTGTGTGGCCTGAGGCAGGAGTACACCCTCTCTGTTGCCTCCTGAGTGGGGGGCTGTGGGGTGCAGCCAGTGTTTGGACAGGTCCTAGCCTCAGACTACTGAGAGGGCACAGTCCTCTCATGGCCATGTGCACGTCCCAGCGTGGAGGGCAGAGCCAACCAGCACCGTGACAGCCAGCAGCTGTGCTTGTGAGCTTGAACCTGTGGCCCCAACACGTGGCCCCTCGTGCTGAGTGATATCGGCTGCAAGTAAACAACGCTGGACCAGGTGCATGTAACGGAGGAGGATGGAAACCCATGGGAACGCTGTAAACATCCTGACCACGCCCTTCCTTTGCCTGGTGGCCTCGGCTGTAAAATAAAGACTCGGCTTGTTGTCCGTCCGTGGCGCTGGCGCTCGCTCTCCATCAGAGAGAACAGGGTCCCACCGGGCCCCAGCTTTTATTTTCTTGTCTGTCTTTTCTCCGTCCTTCACCGGCCCCTCTCAGGCTCACCCTTGGCCTTGCTGGCATGGCACAGGGAGCCAGTCCCTCCCTCCCTGGAAGGGCTGTGGGAGGACAGGGATACGGAGGGCCTGGGACGTGGCCTTGAACCCAGGGGAGCTGGCCTCGGGCACCAACTATCTTCTTACGAGTGAATGCCCTGGGTCAGACCAGCCTGGGTGCCCACGTTCCCCGTGGCCGGAGCTGTGACATAGGGATAAGTACGGTGATGCCGTCACATGATGAGCACACACCCAGCACCAGCTCCGTGTTGAGTGCTCTCAGCAAGCATCCACTCGTCACCTCCTCGTCGCACGAACCCAAGGCTGCCCCGGGTACACTCGGGGAAGCGCTGACACGGGAGTTGAGCCACCGGCTCAGGCTCACACCCAGGAGGGCTCCAGCCCAGGCACTCAGGCACCTTCTCCCACGTTCACACCTCTCTGCTGAGCTGGGGACAGGGCGCTCCTCGGCCGTGTCTACGGAGGGAAGATGACCTCACACGCCGGGCTCAGAGGCTCGGAGCGGCGTCCCATGTGGGTGTGACTCCCGGTCAGGGCATGTGCCTGGGGTGCAGGTTCCATCCCCCGGCGGGTGTGTGTGTGTGTGTGTGAGGCAGCCGGTGGGTGGGTCTCTCACAGTGACGTTCCTCTCTCTCTCTCCCTCCCTCTCTGAAAACAAAGCCACGTCCTGAACGCAGAGCCATGGGACAGGCCCGACGAGCATTCGTCATCGTTGTAACTGATGCTCTCGTGCCTTCCCCAGGCCCTGCAGGGTGTGCAGTTGGCGGCCGGCTCTCTGGCTCACATCCGAGGGTTTCTGCCCTCTGGGAGCTTCTTCAGCTGTTATATCATGACGATCTCCATCATCATCACTGTTACCTCATGGCCATCGCCATCACGATCATCTTCAAGACCAGCGTCACCTTCGTCACCACTACAATCATCTGCACCATCACCACCACCATCACCACGATCATCATCATCATCTCTATCATCATCACCACATGATCCTCACCACCACCACCACCACCACCTTGATCATCATCTCCATCACCATCACCATCATCATCTCTACCACCACTACCACTATGATCATTATCGCCATCATTATCTCCAACATCATCTCCACCATCACCACCACCATAACCATGATCATCATCATCATCACCACATGATCCTCATCATCACCACCACCACCACCACCACCACCACGATCATCATCTCCACCATCATCACCACATGATCATCATCATCACCATTATCTCCAACATCATCTCCACCATCACCTCTACAATCATCTCCACCACCATCACCACCACCATCGCATGATCCTCTTTATCACCATCATCTCCACCATCATCACCAATACAATCATCTCCACCACCACCATCACCACAATCACCATGATCATCATCATCATCACCACCATGATACTCTCTATCACCATCATCACCACTATCTCTTCATCATCGTCACCACCATAATCCTCTCCATCACCATGATCTCCACCACCATTATTGCCACCATGATCATCTTCATCACCATCACCACCATCATCATCTCCACCACCATCATCCTCACCATCACCATGATCATCATTGTCATCATCATCTCCATCATCACCATCATCACCACCATGATAGTCATTTTCATCACATCCCCACTATCATTATCTCCATCACCATCATCACCATATCACCATCATCTCCACCATCATCACCACATGATCCTCATCACCACCACCACGATCATCATCTCCACCATCATCACCGCCATCATCACCACATGATCATAATCACCATTATCTCTAACATTATCTCCACCATCATCACCTCTACAATCATCTCCACCATCACCATCATCATCTCTACCATCGCTACCACCATGATCATCATCGCCATCATTATCTCCATCATCATCTCCACCATCACTACCATCACCATGATCATCATCATCACCATCATCTCCAATATCATCTCCACCATTGTCACCTCTACAATCATCTCCACCACCATCACCACCATCTCCACCACCATCACCACCATCTCCACCACCATCACCACCATCACCACCATCACAATGACCATCATCACCACCATCATCTCCAACATTGTCATCATCATCATCTCCAACATCACCATGATCACCACGATAATCATCTTCATCACCATTCCCACCATCATTATCTCCGTCACCATCATCACCACCATCAACCTCACTAGCATCATCTTCACCATCAGAATCGCCATCATCACACTCATCACCATGACCACCCCCCCCTCGCCACCTGGCCCGGTACCTGTGCCATTCACAAAGGGATCAGCCTTGCGATTCCATCTCTCCGGGGTTCCTCCGGTCCCCCAGAAACGTGACCCACGCCCGGTTTTTAATGTGATTCTTTGGTTTTCCGGTTTCGGTTGGGGGTGCCTCACGCCCCTCCAGTCCCAGAGCGGGTCACACGTCCCCCCGGAGCGGCCTCTCTTCCTCCTCGGGGGTGGTGGTGGCGGGGGCCGCGGTGCTGGGGGGCCAGGCGACCTCGGCCAGTCTCTTCACGACCTCGCCCAGCTGCCCCAGGCCCTGGGCAGCCTCCGCCAGCGGGGCCAGCCTCAGGTCCAGTGCGTGGCGCTCCCGGCGGTCCTGCTCCAGGGCCAGGGTCAGCGCCTGCAGCTGGCTGCCCACGTCCCTCACGGCAGCCACCAGCTCCCGCAGGGCCGGCGGCTCGCAGGCCATGACCCTGAGGGCGGGCGCCGGGGCCTCACAGGGGCCCAGGGGGCCTGGGCTCCGGCCGGGGCCCGGCCCCGGGGACACGCTGTCCGGAGGAGGAGGCTGAGCTACGGGCCGGGCCGTGGGGGGCAGGCGGGGGTCGGGGTTCGCCGTGGGGTCAGAGGCTGCGAGCGGGGTCTGGGGAGGGGGCGGGGCTGGCCCGTGGCGCTGGCTTCGGGGCGGCTTCAAGTCCTCCGTGGACGGGGCGTCCGCGCCTGGGGCGGGCGAGGGGCTGGGGGGGTTGGCCTCTGAGTCCGGAGGGGGCTCTCGGCCCGGCACGGGGGACGGGGAGGGGTGAGGGGCCCCCATGAAGGTGGACTGGGGGTGCAGGCTGGGCTGGGCTGTTGGTGCTGGCGTGGGGGAGGGGAGTCCTGTTTCCGAGGAAGTTAAATGGGACTCAGTGGTGACCACAGGGGCTGAGGTAGGGCCAGGAGCCAAGGCGGGGTGAGCAGTGGTGGTGGGGTGAGGGGTCGTGGTGGGGTGAGGGGTCGTGGTGGGGTGAGGGGTCGTGGTGGGGTGAGGGGTCATGGTTGGGTGAGGGGTCGTGGTGGGGTGAGGGGTCGTGGTGGGGTGAGGGGTCATGGTGGGGTGAGGGGTCGTGGTGGGGTGAGGGGTCGTGGTGGGGTGAGGGGTCGTGATGGAGTGAGGGATTGTGATGGCATTTGGGGTCGATGTGGGGTGAGCAGTTATGGTGGGGTGAGGGGTCGTGGTGGGTAAAGGGGTTGTGGATGGGGGAGAAGCTGTGTCTGAGTGCGTGGTCGTGGGGGTATGAGGGGTGCTGGTGGGGTGTGGGATTGTGCTGGGGTGAGGGGTCATGGTGGAGTGAGGGATCCTGATGGGGTGAGGGGTCGTGGTGGGGTTAGGGGTCGTGGTGGGCTGAGAGGTTGTGGTGGGGTGAGAGGTCGTGCTGGGGTGAGAGGTCGTGCTGGGGTGAGAGGTCGTGGTGGGGTGAGGGGTCGTGGTGGGGTGAGAGGTCGTGGTGGGGTGAGGGGTCGTGGTGGGGTGAGAGGTCGTGGTGGGGTTAGGGGTCGTGGTTGGGTGAGGGGTCGTGCTGGGGTGAGAGGTCGTGGTGGGGTGAGGGGTCGTGGTGGCGTGAGGGGTGGTGGGGGCGGGGCCTGTGGCGTGGCCTGGGGACCCCGCAGGCTCCGGCACTGTGTTGGGGTGCAGAGCTGGGTCAGATCCGGGGCTCAGCCCCGAGGTGGGGGAAAGGCCAGTGGCGGCAGCTGGTGCAGAGGGGTCCGAGGTCAGCTCCTTGGGCACGGTGGGCGGTGGGGTGGGCGAAGGCCCGGGGGTCAGCGCTGGGCCCCCGGCGGCCTCCAGGGTGGACGCCGGCAGGCGGGGGGTCACGGTGAGGTCGGCGCTGGCCCCGGAGGCGGGGTCCGCGGGGGGCGAGGCCGCGCGGGCGGTGGGCCGCGGCGCCGCGGGGGAGGCCACCGGGGGGCCCGGGGAGGGGGCGCGGGGCGCCGTCCTGGCCGCCGTGGGCCGCAGCCGGCGCCCGGGCCCCGGTCTCCTCCCAGGACCTGGGGGAGGGAAGATGGACAGCGAGGTCAGCCTGCCCCGCCCGCCCCACCGCCCGGGCCAATCGGAGAACGCGGGGCCTAGTGACGTCACCGGTCGCCGGCAGATTGGCCCGGCCTATCGCTCCCTCTTCCCCCGCCCCGTCCCCGCCTCCGATGTCTCCACGCGCCCCCTGGCGGCCGGCACTGCGGGAGGATGCCGGGAGGATGTGCAGATGGGGGGTAGGGGGCGTGTGCGGGGCAGGGGCGCGGGTGAGAAGGTGGGAGGCCGGGATGCGGAAGTGGGGGAGATGGGAGGGGGAAGGGTTTCTGAACCTGGGTCACTGGCATTTGGGGTGCTTCCCTGTGACTGGTTGTGGGACACTATCCCTGCCCCCCCCCCCCATGAGGCTCCCGGTCCCGACAGACAGTCCAAACCGTCGTCAGAGCGTGCGCATCGCCCCAGGTGAGGACCCTGGTGTAGGGAGTAGCCCTTGTTTCGGGGTACACCTCTGCCGGGCCTTTCTGGGGTGAGGCTGGGTCTCTATTGGGGAATTCGGGGTCCATCTCGCTGCCCCATCCCCTCGCCCCAGCCACGGGCCTCACCCGCGTCTCCGCGAACCCTTGGAGCTGGAGAGGGTTCCCCCTGGCTCCTGGGGGTGCCGGTGGTGAGAGTGGGCGCAGGCGCGCCTGTGGTGGGGGTCCCCTTGGCCGCGGCCCCTCCTGACGGCGTGCTCGTTACCGAGTAAGACTCAGAGCTGTCCTCGCCGCCTGCGGAGACATGGAGAGCTGGGTGTCCCCACCCGGAGGGAGAGCTGGGTGTCCCCAGCCGGAGGGAGAGCTGGGTGTCCCCCACCCGGAGGGAGAGCTGGGGCCCCCGACCCGGAGGGAGAGCGGGGTGTCCCCCCGGAGGGAGAGCTGGGTGTCCCCGGAGGGAGAGCTGGGTGTCCCCCCCGGAGGGAGAGCTGGGTGTCCCCCCCGGAGGGAGAGCTGGGTGTCCCCACCCGGAGGGAGAGCTGGGTGTCCCCCCGGAGGGAGAGCTGGGTCCCCCCGGAGGGAGAGCTGGGTCCCCCCGGAGGGAGAGCTGGGTCCCCCCGGAGGGAGAGCTGGGTCCCCCGGAGGGAGAGCTGGGTCCCCCGGAGGGAGAGCTGGTGTCCCCCGGAGGGAGAGCTGGGTGTCCCCGGAGGGAGAGCTGGGTGTCCCCGGAGGGAGAGGGAGAGCTGGGTCCCCCGGAGGGAGAGCTGGGTCCCCCGGAGGGAGAGCTGGGTCCCCCAGAGGGAGAGGGAGAGCTGGGTGTCCCCGGAGGGAGAGCTGGGTCCCCCGGAGGGAGAGCTGGGTGTCCCCCGGAGGGAGAGCTGGGTGTCCCCCGGAGGGAGAGCTGGGTGTCCCCCAGAGAGAGAGCTGTGTGTCCCCCGGAGGGAGAGGGAGAGCTGGGTGTCCCCCCCGGAGGGAGAGCTGGGTCCCCCGGAGGGAGAGCTGGGTGTCCCCGGAGGGAGAGCTGGGTGTCCCCCCCAGAGGGAGAGCTGGGTCCCCCCGGAGGGAGAGCTGGGTGTCCCCCGGAGGGAGAGCTGGGTGTCCCCCCCAGAGGGAGAGCTGGGTTCCCCCCGGAGGGAGAGCTGGGTGTCCCCAGAGGGAGAGCTGGGTCCCCCGGAGGGAGAGCTGGGTCCCCCAGAGGGAGAGCTGGGTGTCCCCGGAGGGAGAGCTGGGTCCCCCGGAGGGAGAGCTGGGTCCCCCAGAGGGAGAGCTGGGTGTCCCCGGAGGGAGAGCTGGGTCCCCCGGAGGGAGAGCTGGGTCCCCCAGAGGGAGAGCTGGGTGTCCCCCCCGGAGGGAGAGCTGGGTGTCCCCCCCGGAGGGAGAGCTGGGTGTCCCCACCCGGAGGGAGAGCTGGGTGTCCCCCCCGGAGGGAGAGCTGGGTGTGTCCCCCGGAGGGAGAGCTGGGTGTCCCCGGAGGGAGAGCTGGGTGTCCCCCCCAGAGGGAGAGCTGGGTCCCCCGGAGGGAGAGCAGGGTCCCCCCTGTGTGTGTGTGAGTGGGGGCCGCAGCCACATACACGGACTCAGCCAGACGCGGCCGAGCTGAGTCTGGGGAGAGGACGGCGTCCTGGGCCGGCAGGGTCTCTGCCCCCCGGCAGCGCCCTCCCTCCCTGGTCCTCCTGCAAACCTCACCCCTCCAGCCCTGGGCGTGAGGGTTCCTGCCCAGCTACACCAGCGCCCTGCTGGGCCCGCAGCTGGTGCTCGGTCACAGCAAATCCCTCCAACAGCCAGTGCTCTGCAGCTTCCACACTTCCACACGCAGCGTGCTCACTGCCTAGGGCCGTGGCCGGCAAACTCATCCGTCAACAGAGCCACATATCGACAGCACAACGACGGACATGTCTTTGGAGAGCCACATTCTTTTAAACTTAAACTTCTTCTAACGCCACGTCTTCCAAACAGACTCGCCCGGGCCGTGGTATTTTGTGGAAGAGCCGCACTCCAGGGGCCAAAGAGCCACAGGTGGCTCAGGAGCCGCAGTTTGCCGGCCACGGGCCTGGGGGTCCCCCTGGCTCATCCTCCCGCCTGCTAGTTGTAATCCCGGGGGAGCCACAGCTGAACCCCCAGAGCTGGAGTGCAGAGCTCACGTGTGGAATGACTTCAGTCACTCGGTAATCTTTCCCAGTCCACGGAGCAAAATGTGTGTGAAACCGTTTAAAATGGATCTCAAGTCCGGCCGGCCTAGCTCAGGGGTTGCACGTGGACCTATGGACCAGGAGATCAGGGTTCGATTCCCAGCCAGGGCACGTGCCCAGGTGGCAGGCTCCATCCCTGGTTAGCAGGAGTGTAGGGGGGGGGGAGGTGTGTGGCGTGCAGGAGGCAGCTGATATTGATTCTCTCTCATCAATGATGTTTCCATCTCTCTCTCCCTCTCCCTTCCTTTCTGCGATCGATAAAAATCTATAATCATAAAAGCATAATATGCTAATTAGACTGGACGACCTTCCAGACGAGGGAAGCCCAGGTCCCGGGAGCCAGAGGGAAGCCAAAGACCTACAGTTGCACGAAGTTTGTGCATCAGGCCTCTAGAGAGGAAAGGAGAGAGAGCTAGAAACATCGATCAGCCGCCTCCTGCACACCCTCCACTGGGGATGTGCCCGCAACCAAGGTACATGCCCTTGACCGGAATCGAACCTGGGACCCTTCAGTCCGTCCGCAGGCCGGTGCTCCATCCACTGAGCCACACCGGTTAGGGCGGGGCTCCAGTGTTGTTGTTGTTGTTGTTGTTGTTTTAATAAACCAGATCAGCCGAAATCGGTTTGGCCTGTGGACTGAAGGGTCCTAGTTCGATTCCGGTCAAGGACATGTACCTTGGTTGCAGGCACATCCCCAGTGGAGGGTGTGCAGGAGGCAGCTGATCGATGTTTTTCTCTCATCGGTGTTTCTAACTCCCTCTCCCTCTCCCTTCCTCTCTGTAAAAAATCAATAAAAACATAACAAATAAAATAAATAAACTGGATCTCAAGCGTGGCGCCTGAGTTCAAGTTCATGGTCGCTGAGCCTGGCTGAAACCTGGGCGTCCGGACAGGAACTACGTCACCCTCTCCACGTGCCCAGCAGAGTCAGCGAGCAATCCTGGATCCCCGCCCCCCAACCCACACACACACACACACACACGCACACACACACACACACACACACACGCGCGCGCGCGCGCGCGAACCCTGGAGCTGTTTGCCTCAGGAGCAGACACTGAGGCCCAAAGAGGCGGAGTCCTGCTTTTCAAGGTCACCGTGCTAGTGAGGCTGGAATTCATGTCAGCCTCCTCCCACTCGCTGCTCACCCCACAGCATCCCCGCGCCTCCCTCCAAGTCTCCCCATTCCTGAGCTCGCAGGTGGGGCTGTCGGGGTGTCCCCGGGGCGGGTGCAGCTCTGCTCGGACCCGCGCTCAGCACTGCCTTCTCCCTCCAAGAGTGACAGGGGCTCCCGCCCGCCCGCCCGCTGGGACCACCTCCCGCACCTGTACCCGCCTCCCGCACAGCTGCACGAGCCCGCCCGTGGCCGTCCCGCCGCGAGGGGGCGCTGTGGGATAGGGAGGCGGAGGACAAAGGACCTGCGATCCAGGCTGCACGGCGCCCCCATAGCATCACCTCCAGAAACTGGATCCCAGCATAAACCCTACTTCCCGGTTTGCCCCCATTTCCTCCCCGCACAAACGGCAGAGCCTCCAGGGCTTGCTCCTCTCCCCCTTCCCCTGCACAGCTCCACCCCGGACACCCACGGCCACGCCGCGGGGCCACAGCGCCCTGCGCCCGGCTTCTATGGCCGCGGGCGGGCGTGGCCAGCCGGCCAATCAGAGGTGCAGAGCGTCGGTGACGTCATGGGATGCGAGGCAGATTGGCGCTAGCTCCTCCCACTCCTCCGCCCCGCCCCTCTGGCTTCGGGCTGCAGTGTGCGCATGCGTACTGGGCTGGGAGAAAAGGCGGGAAAGGAACGAGGGGCGTGGTCCTCCGGGAACCGGGAAGCAGCCGCCGGACGGGAGGGGAGTGGCAAGGGTTCGAGGCCGCGAACGGGGACAAAATGAGCTGGAGGCGGAGAGATGCGCAGCCGCAGAGGTGGAGGGAGGGAGACGGGGGACCCTGCTGGCCAGGGCAGGGGTCAGGCTGGGGACAGACCCTCCATGCAGGTGCCCCCGCACCTCTGAGCCACAGCGCCACCCCCACCAGGGCATGCGCTTGCAGAGGGGTCTGAGAGAGCCAAGGCTGGGATGATCACGTGGCCATAGGGTGGCCCCGGGGCCCTGGAGTCCGGCTCTGGATCAAGGGTGCAGGCTTGGGTATCCCAGCAGAACCCCAGAGGCCCCGGTATGTTACTGGGGGGACATGGGCTGGGGCTGGGCTCGGCCCGATCTCTTCTCAGAGGTACACGGGGTCCCCTCTCCCAGGCTCTGGAGGAGAGCCAGAGGCGGGGAAGGTGTTAGGGCCCCTGGAGCCGAGGAGGCATGCCCGCGGTTTCTGCCACCCAGGCCACCCATCAGGAGGGTCTTTGTGGAAACCCTGCAGGGTGGGGGGTGCACGAAGACCCCGCCCCCTGGCCATGCTCCTCACCTCGGCCCGGGAGGCGCCTCCACTCTGGGGAGCCCACCCCAGGGCTCCGGGTGCTGCGCCAGGAGGCCGTGTGTCCGGGCGCCCCTGCAGAGGGGGTCCCCCGGGCCAGGTCCTCCTCGGAGGCGGGGTCCCAGGTCCAGGCGGGATAGTCCTCCTCGTCGGCGCGGCCTGGGGAGAAAGCGGGGAGGTCTGGCCCCGCCCTGCCGCGGAGGTCCCGCTGCGGAGTCTCCGGAGCGCCCCCAGTACCGGTGCAGGCCAGCACCACGTCCTCCTCGTGGCCGCAGTTGTGCCGTCCCCAGGCCCCCGCGGGGCAGTCGCTGAGCGAGGCCTCCGTGCCCTTGCAGCGCACGTCATCCAGCCAGATGGGCCCGGAGCCGGGGCCGTAGTGGGTCTTGCCCACGCGGGGGCGGACGCGGCCGCAGCCCAGCTCCCCGCAGGCCACGGCCGCGTCCCGCAGGTCCCAGCCGTCGTCGCACACCGTCCCCCAGCGCCCGGCGTGCCACACCTCCAGCCGGCCCGCGCAGCGCTCGGGCCCGTCGGCCAGGCGCACCCGGAAGGGGCCTGCGGCGGGAGGCCCCGGGTCAGGAGGGGTCACCCGGGGTCGGCCTCGCCCCTTCGCGCGCCCTCCACTCACCTGACCCCCCGGGGGAGCCCCCGGTGGGGGAGGGGGCTGGGCCTCCGGATGACTCTGGGGTCTCCACCGACGGCTCCCCAGGGGGCGGAGGGACCCTCCTGCCGGTGGCCTCAGGGATCCCCTCTGTGGGATCCCGGCTGGTGGGCGCCGTCACAGTCTTAGAGGTTCGCCCCCACGGGGCTCCGGGGGCCGGCGGGGTGCTGGTGTGGGAGGCCGGCTCGTGGGGGGCCTCGGTGGTCAGGGCTGGGGTGGTCCTGGAGGTCAGTTCCGGGGGGCCCCGCGTGCCCGGGCCCCTGGAGTGTTTGGTGGTCGGCGTCAGGGGGGACGAGGGGGTCGGCCGCTTCGGGTGCTTGGGCGCCCACTTCTTGGTGCTCTTGGGCGTCTTCGCGGAGGCCCTGGTGGTGGTCTCGGGGTCCCCGGGGCTCGGCCCTGCGGAGGGCTTGGTGGCCAGCTCCCCCGGGAGCCAGGCGTCCGGGTCTCTGCCCAGGCCGGGCAGCCAGCTCCAGCTGAAGGGGTCTGAGATGGAGTCCAGGCCGGGGGTCCCTGCGAGGAGGGAGGGAAGGCGGGCACAGCGGCTGACCTCAGGCGCCAAGGACGTCCTGCTGTGCCCCGCCCCTCCTCTCAGCGCCCCGCCCCAGTCAGTCACCAGGCTCCCATTCATTCATTCATTCATGCATTCATTCATTCTTTTATTTTCCTTTTCATATTTTTAAAAATATATTTTTTTTATTGATTTCAGAGAGGAAGGAAGGAGAGAGAGGTAGAAGCATCCATGATGAGAGAGAATCATGGATCGGCTGCCTCCTGCACGCCCCCCACTGGGGATTGAGCCCACAACCCAGGCATGTGCCCTTGGCCGGAATCGAACCCGGGACCCCTCAGTCCGCGTAGGCCGAAGCTCTATCCACTGAGCCAAGCCGGCCAGGGCCTTTTCGTATTTTTTAAATATATTTTTATTGCCGAAACCGGTGTGGCTCAGTGGATAGAGCATCGGCCTGTGGACTGACGGTCCCAGGTATAATTCCAGTCAAGGGCATGTACCGTGGTTGTGGGCACATCCCCAGTAGGAGGTGTGCAGGAGGCAGCTGATCCATGTTTCTCTCACATCAATGTTTCTAACTCTCTATCCCTCTCTCTTCCTCTCTGTAAAAATAAAATAAAATAAAATAAATCAATAAAATATATTTAAATATATATTATTGATTTCAGAGAGGAAGGGATAGAGAGTTCCCTGCCTCAGTCCTTCTGGCTGCCTTCTCTCCCTGTCCCCATGCCCCTGCGTCCCCTTCCTCTCATCTTGGGGAGGACAAAGCTCTCCCTGTTGTGGGAGACTTCCCTGACTCGGGCAACTCTGCCACCTGGTTGCTGTGTGACCTCGTGCAAGTTGCTCAACCACTCTGTGCCTCAGAGTCTTCATCAGCAAACCGGACCTGGTGCCCGCCAGCCTGGCCTTCCTGTGGGGCGTGAGTGCGGCCACGTGTGGGCACACACCCCGCCCGGGCCGTGGGCACGCAGGCGGGTGCTCAGTGGACGTGCCCGGGGACGCTCGCTCCCGCCCCCTCCTCCAGGAAGCCCTCCGGGCTCCTCACCGGTGCACGCGACGCCGACGTCCTCGTTGTGGGCGCAGTTGTGCTTCCCCCAGGGCGCGGCGGGGCAGTCGAAGAGCGAGGCCTCGCTCCCCGCACACCTCACGTCGTCCAGCCAGATGGGGCCGGAGCCCCAGCCGAAGCGGCCGGCGGAGGGATCCGGCTGCCGCGGCCCCCCGCAGCCCAGCTCCCGGCACACCACGGCGGAGTCCCGGGGGTCCCAGCTGTCGTCACACACGGTGCCCCAGCGCCCGGCGTGCCACACCTCCAGCCGGCCGGAGCACCGGCTGGGCCCGGCCACCAGCCGCAGCTGCGGGGAGCCTGGGGCGGGGAGGACAGAGAATCAGGGCGGAGGAGGCCTCTGCTGTCCGAGCCCTCCTCCTCCCGCTGCCCTCCCTCCCTCCCTCCATGCTCCCTCCAGGCAGCAAGCGTTACCGGGCCTGGCTGTGCCATCGGCACTGGCACGGAGATCAGGGGCCAGGCGGGGCGTGGTTGCTTGGCAAGCTCAGCATAGAATCGCCAGGTGACCCGGACACCCCACTCCTAGGGGCCCACCCACCAGGGGAACGTGGCTCTCAAACAGACCCCGGATGCAACGGCCACAGCAGCTCTGTTCACAGCCAGAGGCTGGCAAAGTCCTAAAACGCCACCCGCGGGTAAATGGCCCCCAGAACCGGGCCCGTCAGCACATGGAATATTACGCAGCCAGGAAAAAGGAAGGAGCCCTGGCTGGTGTGGCTCAGCAGATAGAGCGTTGGCCTGTGGACTGAAGGGTCCTGGGGTTTAATTCCCGTCAAGGGCACAAGCCCGGGTTGCAGGCTTGATCCCCAATGTGGGGTGTGCAGGGGGCAGCTGATCCATAGTTCTCTCATCACTGATGTTTCTATATCTCTCTCTAAAAATCAATAAAGTTAATAGTAATAATAATAAGGCCTAGATTTCGAAACACAGCCATGGCTGACCCAGCCTGGCGCCTGCCCCCTTCCCCTCCTCCTGAGACAGCCTCTGAGCAGGGGGAAGGCACTGCGGCCCCTGGGGGCAGGGGTAGGGGCTGGGGAGCAAACAGAAACTGAGACCCTGTTTGGGGGAGCAGAAGTGACTCACCAGCTTCCGGCCCAGGCTCCCACGGGGCCGTGGGGGAGGCCAGCGGCGGGGAGATGTCTGCGGTCCTGGAGGCGGGGTGTGCCGTGGGGGGCGGGGGCCTGGAGGAGGCCTCCCTGGACTTGGAGTTGTTGCTGCGGGCAGCAGAGGCCGTGGGAGGGACATAGGCCAGAGGCATACCTGGGGGGCAGGCAGGGAGGAGGGGTCACCACTCCCCATGAGGCCCGCGGCCTCCAGCCCCTCCGCCAAGGCCCCGCCCCTTTACACAGGCCCCGCCTCCCACCTGGCCCCGCCTTACACCACATGGCCCTGCTTCCCGATAGGCTCTGTCCCACCGCCGCTGGCCCCGCCTCTCCACCCCAGGCCCCGCCTCCCACCACAGGCCCTGCTCCCCACCACAGGCCCCGCCTCTGCACCACAGGCCCCGCCTCCCACCACAGGCCCCGCTTCTCCACTACAGGCCCCGCCTCCCACCAAGGCCCCGCCTCCCACCACAGGCCACGCCTCTGCACCACAGGCCCCGCCTCCCACCACAGGCCCCGCCTCCCACCACAGGCCCCGCCTCCCACCACAGGCCCTGCTCCCCGCCACAGGCCCCGCCTCTGCACCACAGGCCCCGCCTCCCCACCACAGGCCCCGCCCCTCCACTACAGGTCCCGCCCTCCCCCATCACACGCCCCGCCCTCCGCCACAGGCCCCGCCTCCCTGTCACAGGCCCCGCCTCCTACCACCATACCCCGCCCTCCTTCACACGCCCCTCCTACCACCACAGGCCCCGCCTCTGCACCACAGGCCCCGCCTCCCACTACAGGCCCCGCCTCCCACCAAGGCCCCGCCTCTCCACTACAGGCCCCGCCTCCCACCACCGGACCCCACCTCCTCCACAGGCCCTGCCTCCCACCACAGGCCCCGCCCCTCCACTACAGGCCCCGCCTCCCACCAAGGCCACGCCTCTCCACCACAGGCCCCGCCTCCCACCACCGGACCCCACCTCCTCCACAGGCCCCGCCTCCCACCACAGGCCCCATCCTCCTCCACAGGCCCCGCCTCCCACCACAGGCCCCATCCTCCTCCACAGGCCCCGCCTCCCACCACAGGCCCCATCCTCCTCCACAGGCCCCGCCTCCCACCACAGGCCCCGCCTCTCCACTACAGGCCCCGCCTCCCACCACAGGCCCCGCCCCTCCACTACAGGTCCCGCCCTCCCCCATTACAAGCCCCGCCCCTCCGCCACAGGCCCCGCCTCCCGCCACGGGCCCCGCCCTCCGCCACAGGCCCCGCCTCCGGAGATGAGGTCTCCCCGTGGCCGGGCAGGCAGGAAGCGGGAACGGAGGGAGGGGGGCCCCGAGGGGAGCACAGCCCCACGGGGCGCCCTCCGCCGCCCCCCACGGAGCCCTCACCGTCGCACACGGCGCCCGCGTCCTCGCGGTGGTGGCAGTCGTGCTGGCCCCAGGGCCTGGCGGCGCAGAGGCGCAGCGCCGTCTCGTTGCCGCGGCAGCGCAGGTCGTCCAGCAGGATGGGCCCCGCGGCCTCGCCGAAGAAGGCGCCGCCGGGCGCGGCCAGCGCGGCGCCGCAGCCCAGCTCGCGGCAGGCCACCGCGGCGTCGCGCAGGTCCCAGGCGTCGTCGCACACGGAGCCCCAGCGGCCGCCGTGCCACACCTCCAGGCGGCCGGCGCAGCCGTGGGGCCCGTCCGCCAGGCGCAGCCGCGGGGCCGGGCCTGGCGGGGACGGGCGCACCGTGAGGCTGCCGCCCGGAGGCTGCCTGCGGGACAGGCTCCCCGAGGAGGCCCGGCTGAGCGCCCGCCTCCCCCTGCCTGCCGGGCGGGGGCCGGGGGCTGGCCGGGCTCCCACCCCCCGCCCGGCCACCCCAGCGGAGGGCACGTCCTGGGCGCCGTCCAGCACGTCTGCCCGGCAGCCCCGGCGGCGCCCAGGTGCCTGAGGCCGGCGGCTGCAGACCTGGCTCCCGGCCCGCCCCCTCCCCCTTCTCCCTGGGAACGTGCGGGTCCAGACAGCAGGGATGCTGGGGCCAGAGCTGGACGCCACTGGGGGCGCAGCGCATCCCTATTCCTGCCAGAATGGGGGCGGGGGGTCACCCCCACTCAGGGCTCCAGGGCAGAGAACGCCTGCCTGCAGCGTCCGGGAACTGGAGGTGTTCGGGCACCTGTGGCTCCCTTCCCGCCCCTCCTCCATGGCATAGCGGGAGCCTCGACTCCCCTCCCTTCCCCGGGAGGGGCCCCCTTCCCACCCGGGGCAGGTGGAGGGACCTCTCATCCTCCAGCCCCCCGCCTGGCTGGCTGGCCTCGGCCCCCCCACCCCCCCATCCCCGATGCCTGAGGCCTGGCTGAGGGGGGAAGGGGCCGGGGGCAGGGGGAGGGGAGGGGGGCCCAGGCTCCCGCCGCGCACGCACCTGTGCACACCAGCCCCGCGTCCTCCGTGTGGTCACAGTTGCTCCGGCCCCAGGGGCTCCGGGGCCAGTCCCGCAGGGCCTGCTCGCCGCCCCCGCAGCCCACGTCGTCCATCCACACGGGCCCGGAGCCGGGGCCGAACCGGGCGCCCCCGGGCGCGGCCAGCGCGGCGCCGCAGCCCAGCTCGCGGCAGGCCACGGCCGCGTCCCGCAGGTCCCAGCCGTCGTCGCACACGGTCCCCCAGCGCCCCGCGTGCCACACCTCCAGGCGGCCGGCGCAGCCGTGGGGGCCGGCCGCCAGGCGCAGCCGCTCTGGGGGACACACAGGGGGCGGGCGGGTGAGGCAGCCGGAGGGTGCTGGCCTGAGACCCCACCCCACCCCCGCCTGCCAGGCCCTAAGGACAGCGGGAATCTGAGTGGGGGTGGGGGTGGGTGCTGGGGGCAGACACCTGGGGGCGCTGGCCCATCAGGAAGGGCCCCGGCCTGCCTCTGAGTCCCAAGGGCCACCGGTTTTCGTTGGTTTGCTTTTAGCAGTTTTTATTTTTTATTTTATTATTATTATTTTATGTTTTTTTTGTTTTGTTTTGTTTTTACAAAGAGGAAGGGAGAGGGATAGAGAGTTAGAAACATCAATCAGCTGCCTCCTGCACACCCCCCACTGGGGATGTGCCCATAACCAAGGTACATGCCCTTGACTGGAATCGAACCTGGGACCCTGGAGTCCGCAGGCCGGCGCTCTATCCACTGAGCCACCCCGGTTTCGGCTGCTTTTAGCAGTTTTTAAATGGGATTTTAGAGAAAAGAGGAAGGGAGAGGGAGAGAGAGACAGCAACATGGACCTGCACCACCCTCCCCCCCCCTGCAGTCCAGTCATGTGCCCTGACCGGGGATCAAACTGGCAGCCCCTGGGTCCCACCGCCAGGGCCGGAGGCCGCTGGTAAGCAGGGATCACCTGCCCCCCCATCTGGGTCTGCGGGGGCTCACCCTGGCGGGGCCCTCCGGCCGTCAGCAGCGGGGCCCTGGTGGACTTGGCCTGCTTCGGGGGGCGGGGGCTCTTCCTCCGGGGGCTGGTCTGGGGGGTCCCAGCCGGGCGGGGCGCTGGGAGGGAGGCAGCAGGGAGGGCGGTCAGAAGCCTCTCACCCCTCCTGCCGGGACTGTGAGGGGACCCCCGGGCTGGGGGGCCCGGGCTCCGTCTGTCCCAGGCCGTCCGGGAAGCCCCCCCCCCCCCCCCCGTAGCTGAGCAGAAGCGGGGTGCGGGCCAGCGGGCGGCTCACCCTGCGTCACGGGGGGCTCCTCAGAGCTGGGGCCCAGCTCCCCGGGCAGCCCTGGCCAGGGGTCCCCGGCCAGGATCGAAGGGGGGTCGTCCGTGTCCCTGGAGTTGGCCACACGCTGACCTGCCGAGAGCAGAGTCGTGGGTCTGTGGAGGGCGGGCAGGCCCTGGGCCCTGGAGGGAGAGCCCAGGGGTGTGTGGGGGGGCGGACAGGCTCTGGGCCCTGGAGGGAGAGCCCAGGGGCGTGTGGGGGGCGGGCAGGCCCTGGGCCCTGGAGGGAGAGCCCAGGGGCGTGTGGAGTGTGGGCAGGCCCTGGGCCCTGGAGGGAGAGCCCAGGGGCGTGTGGGAGGCGGGCAGGCCCTGGGCCCTGGAGGGAGAGCCCAGGGGCGTGTGGGGGCCGGGCAGGCCCTGGGCCCTGGAGGGAGAGCCCAGGGGCGTGTGGGGGGCGGGCAGGCCCTGGGCCCTGGAGGGAGAGCCCAGGGGTGTGTGGGGGGGGGCGGGCAGGCCCTGGGCCCTGGAGGGAGAGCCCAGGGGCATGTGGGGGGCGGGCAGGCCCTGGGCCCTGGAGGGAGAGCCCAGGGGCGGGTGGGGGGCGGGCAGGCCCTGGGCCCTGGAGGGAGAGCCCCCCCCAGTGACGGGCCGAGACGCGGGGCCTCACCTGCACACACGGCCCCCGCGTCCTCCTCGTGGGAGCAGACGTGGGCCTTCCAGCCGCGGTGCGGGCACAGGCCCAGCCGCCCCTCGCCGCCCCGGCAGGCCAGCTCGCTGAGCCACACGGGCCCGGCGCCCTCCCCGAAGAAGGCGCCGCCGGGCGCGGCCAGCGCGGCCCCGCAGCCCAGCTCGCGGCAGGCCACCGCGGCGTCGCGCAGGTCCCAGCCGTCGTCGCACACGGAGCCCCAGCGGCCGCCGTGCCACACCTCCAGGCGGCCGGCGCAGCCGTGGGGCCCGTCCGCCAGGCGCAGCCGCTCTGGGGGGCGGGGCGGGGGAGGGGCTGTGACCGGGGGCGGAGGTGGGGGCCCTGGGGCCGGGCTGTCCTGGGGCGGGGCTGCAGACCACCCCCTTCAAGGCGCAGGCATCAAACCCCACCCCGTTTGTGCGGGGCCCCTGTCCTGAGGAGCCCTCACTCTTGGGGGTCAAACTGGCTGCTGTGGGGACCCCCATCCTGGGGCCCAGGAGAGCTGGGTGAGCCCCTGGTCCCTGTTGGAAGTGGGTGCCGGGTGCCTGGGTGGATCTGGGGGGACAGGGGCCTGAGGTCGCAGCCGGATGGGGGGACAGGGTCCCGGGGGAGGGCAAGGCCAGGAGCGGGGGCGGTGAGGAGGGGACACTTACCAACCGCCTGGATCCCCATCAGAGCCGCTGGGAGGACGGGGAGGGGGTGACACGGTGAGGGGCAGGCCCAGGGTGCTCCCTCCGCACAGGGCCCGGCCACACACACACACACACACACACACGCATGCACACGCATGCACACGCATGCACACGTGCACACCTCGGAACCAGCCTCCCGCCCGAACTCTGGGCTAAGGCAGGGCCCAGGCGCCAGGTCAGGGCTGGGGCCCAGGTGAAAGGTCGGGTGGTGGGTAAGGCTGGGTCCCCGGGGCCAGGCGGGGAGGCACGTGTGTGTCCTGCACCCCCCAGCACCAGGGCTGGGCCCCGGAAGTCTGGTCCCTCCAGCAGTGAGCTCAGGGCTCAGAGGGCGGGGCCAGGCCCCCCTCCCGGGGCCCCCCCGGGAGAAGGGGTCACTCACCCAGGAGGCAGGCCAAGACCCTCATGTCTGCAGAGCCCGGGGCAGGGATGGGGCGCGAGGGGGTGGGAGTGAGCGGCGAGGGGAGGTCGGACGGAGACGGGGAAGACGGGAAGACGGGACGGGCCGAGGCGCCCTGGACCCGGGAGGAGCAGGCGGGAGCCGGACGCTCTGCCAGGAGCGAGAGAGGCTGCCCGGGCGGCAGCCGGGGACAGGAGGGGGCGGGGAGGGGGCTGGCCCGGCCGAGGCCTGCGGAGGAGGGGGGTTGGGGGGCGGGAGGGAGGCTGTCCAGCTGCAAACACCCACACAGACGCCGGCCAGCTCCCGGGCGGGCGGGCGGGCGGGCGCAGAGCCGCTCAGGGGCCGGCTGGCCGCAGGGAAGGGATGGACGGAAGGACAGAAGGACGGCCAGGGAAGTGGGGGGGGGGGGGGGGGGGGGGGCCGGAGGCCGGGTTCACAGGGGCTGCTGAGCTCGGGAGTCAGCAGCATGAGGGCTTCCAGCCAGACAGCAGGAAGGACCTCCTGGCTGGGGACTGGGAAGCCCTCTCCACTCCGGTGCAAGCCGGGGGACCTCTGTGCACCCTCCCCGCCCCCCCCCGCCCCCGTCCACTCCAGGAGCACCGGGCGGTGGGCGGCGGACGCAGGGAGGGAGGTCGAGGCTGGGCGGGGAGGGCGGCTGCACTCACCCGCAGCGGGCGGGCGGGCGGCGGGGGGCGGGCGGAAAACTTGGGTAATGGGGAGCGTGAGTCAGCCGGCTGGCTAGGAGCGGGTGCTGTGAGCTCATCACCTCCCCGGCTCCCAGGCCAGCACCCCCCCCCCCCCAACTCCGACGATTAATGTCAACTCGAGAGGAAGGAGGAGCCAGACAGGAGAGGGCGCGGAGACAGCCTGGAAAAGGCATCAGAGAGGGAGCGGGCTTTATTAACAGCGGGTGTAAAAACCAGATGGGTCCGGCCCTGCTCCCACCTTGGGGGGGTGGGGCGAGTGGAGAGGGGGGGACGCTGGGCTGCGCTGTCTGTCGCCGCCTCCTCCTCCTCCTCCTCCTCCTCCTCCTCGCAGCCTCTCCAGGAGACGGCTCTGCTCAGCTGCTTCAAACACGGGCATCAAACCCCACCCCGTTTTGGGGGGAACCCCTGTCCCAAGTCCTAACTCTTGGGGGGGTCACACTTGTCCGGCTTCCTCTCCTCCAGCGGAGCGGCTCCCAGGCCGAGGGCTGGGGAGGTGCAGACCTTGCAGTGAGACAGGCGGGCGGGCTCTCGGCACAGACGGAGGCGGGAGGCGGGCAGGCCACCCTCTGAGTTCACACACCACACACGGGCCTCTGCCTGGGGTGGCCTGTCGGCCTGAGCTCCCGGGCCCCGGGCGAGGCTGGGGACGCGCACAGGGAGGAGGTGACCGTGCCCGCGCACAGTAGGTGGTCACGCGCACAGTAGGTGCTCGGGCCGGAGTCACAGGTCCTTGCTGAACTCCCTCACCAGCGCGTAGCCCATGCAGCCCCAGCTCCCTTCGGCCTGGTAGCCGCAGCCCTCCAGCATGCCCGCCACGCCCCAGGCCACCACGGCCACGGGGACCACCAGGCGGGCCCGGGGCTCGCCGGCGCCCCCCGCCCAGGCCCGCGCCCGGGACTCGGCGAAGGCCAGCAGCCGCCGGCCCACGCCCTGGCGGCGGTGCCAGCGGGAGACGGAGAGGCGGGTGACCCGGGCCCCGGCCCCCGTGTGGGAGCCGGGGGCCAGGGCCAGGACCCCGCACACGTCCCCCGAGCCGCGCACCGCCACCCAGGGCCCCCCCAGGCCGCCCGGCGGGGGCAGCGAGCCCCAGCGGGCCCGCAGGCCCAGCTTCAGGGCCACCACGGCCAGCAGCACGGGCAGCAGCAGGGCCAGGGCGAAGGAGGCCAGGACGAAGCGCAGGCCGCTGCTGGCCGCCGCCAGGAGCAGCAGGGTGGGCGGCCGCGTCAGGGCGTGCAGGGCCACGCGGTTCTCCGTGTCCCTCACGCCGGCCTGCGGGGGGGAGGGGTGGTCCGTTACACCAGGGTCCCTGTGGGCACCGGGACTAGGCGAGGGGGCGCCTGAGAGGGGGACCCGAAGGGGAAGGGAAGGCAGAGGGGTGGGCAGAGGAGCCCGCGCACAGTAGGTGGTTGTGCACACAGTAGGACCACCTGCTCTAGGCACCCGCCAACACCACACGTGACACACTGGGCTTGGCGTGAGTGAGCGAGCCAGATGAGCCGGGAGCTCCAGGGACACCCACATCCGGGGAGGGTCAAACAGGAGGCACCAGGGAAGGCCGAGGTCAGGACGGGACAACTGGACAGGGGACTGTCCGGGCCAGAAACCGCGCATGCTCTGGACACGGGAGAGGAGCCCGGAGCACAGGGCTGAGGCCCAGCCGCTGCTCTGAAGAGTGCGGGGTGGGAGGCGGGGTCCCCCAGAGCCCGGGCGTTATTACAAGCTCCGGACGGGAGGGAAGGGAGGCGCCAGAGGGAGAGGGGGCCGCGCTGGAGGCGCCTCGGGAGGAGCTCGCCTCTCGGGCCGGGCCGGGCCCTCACCTTCAGCATCTCCAGCACCAGGGCCTTCTCATCCTCCCTCATCTCCCGCACCGACAGGTGGCTGGGGGCCATGGCAGCCCGCGCCCGGGAGCAGGCGCGCACCTGCTGGGAGCAAGGTCAGCATCAGGCAGGCGCTCTGGTCCCCACGCGCCCCCGACCAGGGCGCTGAGAACCCCGGGGGACCCCCCTCCGCCCAGCGACCTTCCTGACGTCTCCCGGGGTCCTGCACCCCCACTCAGGGGCCGTGGTGTTCAGCGATCCGCCCCCAAATGTCTCGCCACGTGGACGCCAGCACGGAGCTCCCTCCAGGGCTGCCCTACGGGGGGGGGGGGGGGGTGTCGGCGAACCCCCGCCCGCGGCCGGGCAAGGACCGCGCTCCCCACGCCCCTCGCACAGTCGCCCCAGGACAAGGACCTGCAAACACCCCCGCGAGCCGCTCTGATCCTTTAAGGTGTAGGGGTGCAGGGTTGAGAAGGGGGGTGGGGGGTGGGGGACCGCTGGCGGAAGTGACGTCAGACTCGCGCACTGTGGGGGCGGGGTGGTACCTACAAGGCCTTAGCAACTGTTGCCAGGCTGCCCGGCACCTGTGCGCGGCGGAAGGGCTAAGGCGGCGAGGAGCCTCCGCGGGGATGGGGTCGGGAGGGACAGAGAAGGGATCAGCCCGCGGGACGATGGGGGCGGACACCAGCGGGGAAGCGGTACTTACCGGCCGTGGAGGGGGTTCGCACGCTCGCTCCCGGGTTGCTAAGCAACCGGAGCGTGGTGTAGGGGCGCTGACGGGAGTGATGGATGCTCATTGGTCATCCGTCCCGGGCTGCGTCACCCTCCTGAGCTCACTGGCTCCCGAACTCGCCCACCCGGGGCCCTCCGTCCCCGCCCGCTGTGCTCAGCGCCCTGGGGTGCAGGCATCCTCCACGCACCGCTCCGAGGGGGGGTGTGGGTGAGGAGCAGGTGGGCCAGGGTTCCAGAGTCCACACACCCCCCCTTCTAGTGACGGGCATCCTTAGAGGGTAAACAGCGAGCCGCAGGCAGGAGTGAGCCTCCAGGTCCCCCCGCCCCCCGGACCGCCCCACCCCGCCCCCGCCCCCAATAAAGCAGCGCGCAGGCCAGGAGACTCTGGTCTTTATTAGCGGCCCGGTCCGGCCCAGCCCGTGTGCCCGGGTCTGTGAGAGGCGGGAAACGGACCAGTGGTTCCGCTTAAAATGTGTGCACCAGCTGGACCGCGGGCAGGGTCTGGACAATCTGGATGGAGGGCAGGCCCTGCGCGGCCATGCCCCCCGGCGCGGCCCCGGAGGGGACCACGTGCACCATCTGGGAGGCGGGAGCCCCGGGGAGGCCGGCGGGGGCCGGGGCAGCGCTGGGCGGCGGCGGGGCCAGCAGCTGCAGCGTGGCGGCCCCGCCCCCCACGCCGCTGTGGTCCAGCAGCTCGGAGGCCGGGGCGCTGCGGATGATGAGCAGCTTCTGCCCGGGAGGCCCCGGGGCGGGCGGCTCGGCCAGCCCCGAGGGCAGGGTCTCCACCTCCTGCACGCACAGCTGGGTCTGCTCCCCATCCGCCCCGCTCAGCACCAGGACGCTCTGCAGGCCCTCGTCCGTCTGCAGCGTCTCGAAGAGCACGTCCTGCACCACCCCCGCGGCGGCCTCGCCCTCCCCGGGGTCCCCCGGCCCGGGGCCCGCCAGCAAGTCCTCGGCGGCCCCACTCTGGACCACCAGCAGGTTGGGGGCCTCGGTGGTCACGGCCCCGCCGCCGGGATTAGACAGCTGGCCCGCCACCGGCTGGAGCTGCACCGTGGTCACCTCCTGCGCCGGCTGGAGCTGGACGGTGGTCACCTCTGGGGCCGGCTGGAGCTGGACGGTGGTCACTTCCGGGGCTGGCCGCAGGGGCTGGAGCTGGACCCCACTCAGTTCCGGCGGCCCTCCGTCCCCACCGCCCACATTCTGCAAGAGGATGAGGCTCTGCCCACCCCCGTTAGCCCCCACGCTGCCCCCTCCCTGCACCGCCAGCCCCCCAGGGCCGGGCAGCCAGACTACTCCAGGCCCCGGCCCGGTCTTCCCCATCGCCCGCAGGCCCTGCCGCGCCTGGCCACCCCCGGCCCCCGCACTGGGGGAGGGCAACAGGATGAGCTTGGGGGGCGGGGGCGGGGGTGTGGGGGGCTGCACGCTGCTGGGGATGAGCTGCAGGCCCTGGGCGGTCTGCACCAGGAGGAACGTCTGCGAGTTGGGGGGTGCGGGGCCCAGGGGCGGGGCCTGGCCCGGGCCCCCGGCCACCTCCAGGGACAGCGTGGCCTGGAGGTGGGGGAGCACGTGCACGTCCTGGGTGGCCGGCGGGGCCGGGGCAGCGGCCAGCGGGGCGGGCGCGGGGGGGCCGGCGGCGGGCGCGGCGGGGGCCGGCGGGGCGTGCGTCCTCAGGTGCCGCTGCAGGTAGGCGGCCATGACGAAGCTGCGGCCGCAGACGGGGCAGGAGAAGGGGCGCTCGGCCGAGTGGGTGCGCTGGTGCAGCAGCAGGTTGGAGGAGTGCGTGAAGGTCTTGGGGCAGAGCGGGCAGCGGAAGGGCCGCTCGCCCGTGTGCACGCGCTGGTGCTGCCGCAGGTTGGAGGTCTGCGCGAAGCTCTTGCCGCACACGCCGCACGCGTGGGGCCGCTCGCCCGTGTGCACGTGGCGGTGGCGCCGCAGGCACGACGTGTTGCGGAAGGCCTTGCCGCACTCCCCGCAGGCGTAGGGCCGCTCGCCCGTGTGCAGCCGCAGGTGGTACTGGTAGTGCGACGACCACTTGAAGGTGAGGCCGCACTGGCCGCACGTGAACGCGCGCAGGCCCGTGTGCACGCGCTGGTGGATGGCCAGCAGCGAGGAGCGCTTGAAGGCCTTGCCGCACTCGCCGCACTGGTAGGGCCGCTCGCCCGTGTGGTCCCGCAGGTGGTAGCGCAGCCCCGAGGAGCCCTTGAAGGCCTTGCCGCACTCGGCGCACTTGTAGGGCCGCTCGGCGGCGGCGGCGGCGGGCGCGGGCGGCGGGGCGGGCGGCGGCGGGGCGGGCGTGGCGGGGGCCAGCGGCTCCTGCGGGCAGGTGACCTCGGCCGCCTCGGCCTGCGGGGGCGGGCGCCCGGCCGCCGCCTCCTCCACGTGGCACTGCTGGTGCGCCAGGAGGCTGGCCAGCTGCGGGAAGGCGCCGTCGCAGCTGCCGCAGCGGAAGGCCTGCCCGCCCGCCGCGCCGTGGCTGTGCTGGTGGCGGGAGAGGCCGGCCACCGTCCGGAAGGACTTCCCGCAGGGCAGGCAGGCGAAGCCGGGGGCGGCGGCGGGCGGGGGCTGCGGCTGCGGGGCCGCCGCCGTCGGGGCCGCCTTGGGGGCCTCCGGGGGCGCGTCCTGGGGCGCGGGCGGCGCCTCGGGCCCCGGGCAGGGCTGGTGGTCCAGCAGCTGGTCCTCGCTGCCGAAGCCCAGCTCGCAGCCGGCGCAGCGGTACACCAGCTCCACCGTGGTCTCGGCCGCGGCCAGGAAGAGCTCGGGCAGCGCGGGCGGGGGCGCGGGCGGCGGGGGCGCGGGCGGGCTGGGCGCGTGCAGGGCCGGCTGCAGGTAGGCGTCCGGGAAGACCTTGGGCGGCGGGGGTGCGGGCGCGGGCGCGGGGGCGGGCGCGGGGGCGGGCGCGGCCCCGTGGGTGCGCTGGTGCAGCTGCAGGTTGGAGGAGTGCGTGAAGGTCTTGGGGCAGAGCGGGCAGCGGAAGGGCCGCTCGCCCGTGTGCACGCGCTGGTGCTGCCGCAGGTTGGTGCTCTGCGTGAAGCTCTTGCCGCACACGCCGCAGCTGTAGGGCCGCTCGCCCGTGTGCACGTGGCGGTGGCGCCGCAGGCTGGACGAGTTCTTGAAGGCCTTGGGGCAGTCGGGGCACGGGTAGGGCCGCTCGCCCGTGTGCTGGCGCAGGTGGTACTGGTAGTGCGACGACCACTTGAAGGCCTGGCCGCACTGGCCGCAGGTGAAGGCGCGCAGGCCCGTGTGCACGCTGCGGTGGATCTGCAGCAGCGACGAGCGCTTGAAGGCCTTGGGGCAGTCGGCGCACTGGTAGGGCCGCTCGCCCGTGTGGCCGCGCTGGTGGTAGAGCAGGGCGGACGAGCCCTTGAAGGCCTTGGGGCAGTCGGGGCACTTGTAGGGCCGCTCGCCGGTGTGCGTGCGCTGGTGGTGCAGGAGCCGCGAGGACCAGCGGAAGGACTTGCCGCACTCCCCGCACTCGTACTGGGCGGCCGGGGCCGGCGCGGCGGGGCCCGGCTTCTCCCCGGCGCCCTCCGCGGTGGAGGCCGGCGCCATGTCCGCGTGGGAGCCGACCATCACACCTGGGGGGGGGGGGGGGTCCTGGGTGAGGGGAGGGTGCTTCCCCCCCACCCACACGCAGGGTCATCTCCGCTCCAACCCATGCAGGCCCCGCCCACCCACCGCAGTGCAGGGCCGCCCTTGCAATCAGGGCTCCGCGTCCCCGTCTGCCCCGGGATGCGAGACTTCCGGTGCTAAACTTCCGGCAAATTGGGACCCGGGGGGACCCCCGGCCTTAGGTCAGCCATCTCCGGGGGCTGGGCCTGGCCTGCAGGGCTGTGCTCAGTGTCCTTAAAGGCGGGGTCTCCCCAGCACTCCCCAGGCTGGGACTCCTCAGACCCGGGGTCCCTCTCCCTGAGAGGACTCCTCCCTCCCCCCACCTCTGCTCTGCCCCCCTCAGAGTGCAGGCCCCCTGCGAGCTCCGCCCCCTCCACCACCGCCCACCCGCCCAGCACACCCCTCGTGGTCCCGGCCAGAGTTCCCTGCACCCGCAGCTCTGCCGTCCACTGACTGCAGGCTGTGCCTCCGCCCCCCCCCCCTCGGGCCTCCCTGCCCCTCTCCCAGCATCAGGGCTGCCGGCTCCCTTGCAATCATGCCCTTGGGTTCCTGGGGCTCCTCCCCATCCGGAGACCCCCTCTCCCGGTGCCCTGGCCCAGGCCACACGGGCCATGCCTGCTTGTGAGGTTGTGGGCGGGACGGGCAGGCGCTCCCAGCAGCTGGAGGGGGAGGCCAGGGATGCTGCTGGGAGCGCCTGCCCCACGGCAGAGTGACGCGGGCCAGTGCCAGCGGGGCTGAGGCTGGGAAGCCCGCACTGTCCACTCCCACCGCTGCCCACCGGCCCTGAATCCCCACGTATCACAACGTTCCTCATGGCCTGGGCCTGCCCATCCATGTCACCACCAGCTGTCACTCACCTTCTTCAAAAACAGATATTTGTACTGATGTCAGAGAGGAAGGGAGAGGGAGAGGAAACGTCAAGGATGAGAGAATTATTGATCCGCTGCCTCTTGCATGCCACCCCGCCCCAAGTCTGAAACCCAGGCTTGTGCCCTGACCTGGAATCCAACTGTGACCTCCTGGTTTGTTAGCTGATGCTCAAGCACTGAGCCACATTAGCCGGGCTGTCTCTCATCTCTTAAAACCATCACCCCTTGCCCCACTGCCCAGCTCGTGTGGCTCAATGACTGCGTGTCAACCTGTGAACCTGGAGGTCAAAGTTCGATTCTGGCTTGGGGCACAGAACCTGAGTTGCAAGCTCAATGGCCAGTGGGGGGCGTCCAGGAGGCAGGCGATTCTCTCTCATCATTGATGTTTCTATCTCTCCCTTCCTCTCTGAAATCAACACAAATATGTTTTGTTTTGTTGTTTTTTTTAAAACCTTCGGCCCTGGCCGGTGTGGCTCAGTGGATAGAGCCTCGGCCTAAGTACTGAAAGGTCCCAGGTTCGATTCCAGCCAAGGGCACATGCTGGGTTGCAGGCTCGATCCCCAGTAGGGGGCGTGTAGAAGGCATCGAATCAATGATTCTCATTGTTGATGCTTCTATCTATCCCTCTCCCTTCCTCTCTGAAATCAATAAAAATATATTTTAAAAAATAAAATAAAATGTAAGCGTGTCCTTTTAAAGCGACAGTTCTCCCAGGATGCTGCCCGTGCGGTTCAGAAGGGCCGGCATGCCTCAAAGGAGAGGCATCCAGCTCTGGAAGGGCCGAGGCCCAGCTTATCCAATAAAGAGCGCTCCTTGCAAAGGCTCGGACCACGCCCTTCCATCAGGCCTGACTTCCCCTTTAAGAGGGTGTTCCTACTGCACCCCAATCTCCATCTTTGATGAGCTAAACTAGGGGCTGCTTTGAAGCCATCTCGATGCACAAGCCTTTTCTGTAAATGTCTGCGCCACTGTCACAGGCCTTTGATAATCCTTTCTTGGGGGGCAGGAGGGTAGTGAAAGCAGGAAGCTAAGGATCTGCCCCGCCCCTTTTAAAAGCAGCCTCTTGCCCTTTAAGTGGGCGGAGCCGGCCCGGCCGATAAAAGTCGGAGGTGAAGTAGCGCCCTTCCCTTTAAAGCATCCCTTCCGGTTTCACGCTCGCCGCTTCCCCAACGTCTCCGCCCTCCGGTCCCTCCCCCCACCCCACCCCTCCGGTCTCTCACCTGCGGTCGGGACCCGGGGAACGAGCGGAGACCCAGAGACCTCCCGCGGGGGCCGACGGGAAGGCGGAGCCCCGGGCGGCGGCGGTGCAGGAGTGGGGGGCCGGGGAGGGGGGCGGGGGCGCGCGCCCTCCCAACGGCCCCCGGCGCGAGGCACCCAACCTTTATCGGCGGCCACTCGCGCACACAAACCCCGACGTCGCCGTTGGTGCGTCACGACGCCACGTGCACCGAAGCCTCATCCTCGCCCCTCCCATTGGCTTCTGGCCTTGGCTGCCGCTTCCCGGACTCCTAGGGCGCAAGGCATCCTGGGAGTTGTAGTTCTTCTCAGACCCCGACTAACGGGTCTTGGACAGAGGTCGTGGGGGTCAGCCCAAGGAAAAGCAGGGTCTGGGTGCAGGATCAGATGCCCCCCCCCCCTTATCAGTATTGATCCCTTCTCGTCTGTGACAAGAGACCCTCCCCCGAGGTGTGGCTCGGGCAAGCCTCGCCCACCAGGGGTGTGGTCAGTTGTGGTCACTGGTCACCACGCCCAAGCCCTGGGGCTCCCTTCCGGGATCTGAGACAAGCAGGGATTGCCGCCTGCGGAGGTCACCCGAGTTCAAGGTCCCGACCTCCCGCTGCGGGCCTGGGTTCGGTTGTGCGGAAGCCCGCGCCCTGCAGAGCAGGGGGGGCGGCCCAGGCACCGAGTCCGAGCCCCAGACTTCTCCCTGCTTCCCAAGCTCAGCCCCCCGCGGGCCTCGGCTTGCAGCCACTCGGACGGACTTTGCTGCGGGTCATGCAACAGGGTGTCTCTGCCGGGACAATAGTGACATTTGGGCTCAATCAGTGCTTGCTGAGGGGCGCCTATAGGACCCTAGCCAGTTTGGTTCAATGGATAGCGCGTCAGCCTATGGACTGAAGGGTCCCGGGTTCGATTCCGGTCGCGGGCTTTACCCCCAGTAGAGCACATGCAGGAGGCAGGCAATCAACGATTCTCTCTCGTCATTGATGTTTCTATCTCTCTCTCCCTCTCCCTTCCTCTCTGAACTCAATAAAGAGATATTAAAAAAAAAAAAAATACAGCTAATAGCACCCCCCATCCATCCGGCTCCCCTGCCCCATACCTGACAGCTGTCGCCACCCTAATGACTGCCACTGCTCCCAGGCCTTCCCCTCAGCCAGAGGGCTGTCCCTTAGACCCAAAGGCTCTCCTACCTCTTGCCCAGTGGTCGGCAAACTCATTAGTCTGCAGAGCCAGATATCAACAGCACAACGACTGAAATTTCTTTGGAGAGCCACATTTTTTAAACAAACTTCTTCTAACGCCACTTCTTCAAAATAGACTCGCCCAGGACGTGTTTTTTGTTTGTTTGTTTGTTTGTTTGTTTGTTTTGTTTTTATTTTTTATAAAGAGGAAGAGGAAGGGAGAGGGATAGAGAGTTAAAAACATCGATCAGCTGCCTGCTGCGCACAACCCCCCACCACACACACACACACACACACACACACACACACCCCACTGGGGATGTGCCCACAACCAAGGTGCTTGCCCTTGACCGGAATGGAACCTGGGACTTTTCGGTCCACAGGCTGACGCTCCATCCACTGAGCCACACCAGTTTGGTTCCTCTGTACGTTTTTACAAACGGAGTCTGTCTGCGGCTGGGGGAGGGACGCCATACAGAAGCAGGGTGGAGGCGGGAGGGTCAGGCCTGGGCTGGGCTTCGGGCTGGTCCTGATGCCTGGGCGTCCCCCTCCCCAGATTGGAAGGGGATGAGGGGTGGGGTCTCCCGCAGTGCGGCTCTGTTCCCGGTCCCCGAGGGGGTGTGCAGAGACAGTAATTCAGTGATTCTTCATCATGGATGTTTCCCTCCCTCCCTCTCCCCTTCCTCTCTGGAATCAATTAAAAAATAAAAAATAAAAAGATGCAGAGCCAGGGAGGGCGCCTCTGGAAGCCGGAGAGCTAAGGGCACGGTCTCCCCTGGCGCCTCGGGAAACACCTGGGTTCCAGCCCCTGAGCACCCCCCCCTCCTGACCTGAGAACTGGGGAGGGCTGTGCGCTGAGCCCCAGGTGTGCCACAGCGTTCACCCACCTCCTGACCTCCCCCCAAACCTTCCCTCCCCTGACCTCCCCCTTCCTGAGCTCACACCCCTCCTGGGCTCCCACACCCCCTACTGCCTCTCAGAGCAACAGTGGCCAGGACAGCTGCCACCCGCCAGCACCCTACACCTACCACCCAGAGGCAAGAGGACCCCATCCCTGCCCAGCCTGCACCCCAGCCCCCTCCCTTCCCAGCCTGCACCCCAGCCCTCCTCCCTTCCAGCCTGCACCCCAGCCCCCCTCCCTCCCAGCCTGCACGCAGCCCTCCTCCCTTCCAGCCTGCACCCAGCCCCCTCCCTTCCCAGCCTGCACCCCAGCCCCCTCCCTTCCCAGCTGCACCCAGCCCCCCTCCCTGCCCAGCTGCACCCAGCCCCCTCCCTTCCCAGCCTGCACCCCAGCCCCCTCCCTCCCCGCCTGCACCCCAGCCCTCCTCCCTTCCCAGCCTGCACCCCAGCCCCCCTCCCTGCCCAGCCTGCACCCCAGCCCTCCTCCCTTCCCAGCCTGCACCCCAGCCCCCCTCCCTGCCCAGCCTGCACCCCAGCCCCCCACCCCCTTCCCAGCCTGCACCCCAGCCCCCCTCCCTTCCCAGCCTGCACCCCAGCCCCCCACCCCCTTCCCAGCCTGCACCCCAGCCCCCCTCCCTCCCAGCCTGCACCCCAGCCCTCCTCCCTTCCTAGCCTGCACCCCAGCCCCCCTCCCCCTCCCTCCCAGCCTCCACCCCTGCCTCCCCCGCCCCCGCCCCTAATCGAGGGCCCTCCACGCTAACCGCTGCGGTTGACTCAGCCCTGCCCTCGCCTCCTCCACGCGAGCCCTTTGTCACCTTAATTGGCATCTCCAGGCGCCTTGCTCTGCGCCACCCGCCACGGGCCCAGATCCCAGATCCCGGGGCCAGCTATGTGCTAATTGGGCCCTCCCTGCTCAGCGCTCAGGCCCCCGCCCTATGTCACCACACACACACACACACACACACACACACACACACACACACTGTCCCTCCGACCCGGGCCAGCTCCCAGGACCAGGGACAGGAGGGCACAGGGGGACACCCCGTCCTCATTCCCTGGGCCCTGCCCCCTCTCCAAGCCCACCCCCACCCCCCCACCCCCCTGCCAGTCCTCTCCGTAGCCCTGAGCCCAAGCCTGGGCGCCCGCCTCTCCACTCCGATTTGGGGGAGCTCTCTGATCAACCGGGACACAGAAGACAGTCACCCCGGGGCGCCCAGGCCATGCACCCCGGGGCGCCCGCCGCCCCTGGAGTGTCGGAGCCCACCCCCCGTGAGCTGTGCGCCTTTGTGAGCAGGGCGGCCACCCACATGCTGCGGGCCCTGCACCCCCGGCGGGCCCGGCCCCCCAAAAGGAGGCCCAACCACCGGCGGTTCCTGCACAATCAGGTCTGCAGGTGAGCGGGCGGGGAGAGGGGGCCGGGGGAGGGGCCGGAGCCCTGAGTCTGGGGACAGGAGCGGCCCCCAGGGCTGGGAGCAGTCAACACTCAGGGATTCATTTATATATATTAAAATATAGCTTATTGATTTTGTACAGAGAGGAAGGGAGAGGGACAGAGAGTTAGAAACATCGGTCAGCTGCCTCCTGCACACTCCCCGCTGGGGATGTGCCCACTGAAAGATGAAACAGAGGGGGCCGGAGACCGGGATGGCAGGACACAGGGCCTTATTGAGAAGAGTACCAGAGCCGGCTGCTTCCAGAGAGACAGAGAGGAAGAGAGTGAGGGCCGGGGTCCACGTACTTTTAAGGGGAGGGGAGGGGATGGGGCTTAGGGCACTCAGCACCCGCTAATTGGTGATTAGGGACCTACGGACTTAGGGTATTTGGCCGGTGCTGATTGGTGGTTCAGAGCTCAGGAATGTCTGGCTGCAGGTGGGGTTTACATCCCTCCATCAACTGGAGGAAGGAGGACCCATCACCCCCAACCAAGACACATGCCCTTGACCGGAATCGAACCTGGGACCTTTCAGTCCACAGGCTGATGCTCTATCCACTGAACTAAACCGATTTCGGCGAATTTAAACCTGAATGGAAATCTGGCCTCCTAATGCCGCTGTCGGCAAACTGCGGCTCGGGAGCCCCATGCGGCTCTTTGGCCCCTTGAGAGTGGCTCTTCCACAAAATACCACGGCCTGGGCGAGTCTACTTTAAAGAAGTGGCGTTAGAAGAAGTTTAAATTTGCCCTGTCCGGTGTGGCTCAGTGGATAGAGCCTCAGCCTGCGGACTGAAGGGTCCCGGGTTCGATTCTGGTCAAGGGCATGTATCTTGGCTGCCGGCACATCGCCAGCAGGAGGTGTGCAGGAGGCGGCTGATCGATGTTTCTAACTCTATCCCTCTCCCCTTCCTCTCTGTAAAAAATCAACAAAATATATATTTTAAAAAATAAGTAAATGTCAAAAGTGTGCAGGTGCTGGCGGAGAGGGGCTCACATATCTGGACCTGCCGGACCCCAGAGGAGGGACGGGGGGCAGGGAGGCAGCACAGGGGAGGAGGGCGGGGGGAGCAGGGAGGGACCCCCGCTCCCGGGCTGGGGGCCAGGAGGCGCTCCCCCAGCCGATGCCCAGATGCCCGTCTCCCTCCGCAGGCAGTTTGCCAGGATCGAGGCTGCCACCCAGCGCCTGGCCCTGTCCATCCTGTCCCAGGAGGCGCCTCCCCGGAGACCGCTGCCCCGCAGACCGCCCCCACCACCCCCGTCTCCCTTCCTGGGCGTGGCCCGCGCCCTGGCCCCCAGCGAGGAGGCGCCCCGGGCCGGCCCCCGCCTGAGCCTGGCCGCGCTGGAGGCCTCCGGCCTGGACCTCCTCCCCAGCATCGCGCTCTCCCCGGAGCCGGAGCCGCCCCCGGTGCCCGCCGGCCCTTCCCGGCCTGCAGGCGGCCAGCCAGACCTCCCTGGGGGCCTGCGTCCCTGCGACCCGCTGCCCCTGCCCCTGCCCCTGCCCCTGCCCCCGCCCCCGCCCCCGCCTGGCCTGCGGGGAGGGCCCCAGCTCCTGGCCCCCGAGGGCGCCTGGGGAGGCAGGTGGGAGGTGATGCCCTGTGCTCAGCATGCTCAGGGGGTCCCAGAGGGCTGGGGGGCCCCTGAGGACTGGGGCGCCTCTGAGGACTGGGAGGCCTGGTTCCCATGACGCCCAGACACAGCCCAGCTCAGGCCCTGCGCAGACCCGAGGCTCCCCCAGGACAGCTCGGCAGCCCCCAGCCCCTGCCAGGGCCTCCTCCCACTCCTCTCCTGGCGACTTCTGGGAAAAGGGCCCAAGGCCAGACCCCCCACCCCTCCCAGCCTGGGCCTCACCTCTGCTCTTCCAGGCAGGCCCCTCCTGCTGTCCCCCCTCCACCTCCTCGCTTCCTTCTCCCCAACCCCACACCAGCCCCCCTGTCGCCCCGGCTCATCTCTGCCTGACGTCTGGTCTCATCTCATTTATTCGCAAGGATGCATGGAGTACCTACTGTGTGCTAGGGATTCAGCTGTGAATAAAATAAAGGAGATCTTTGCGTTTGTGGAGTTCACATTGGGGGGGAGGGAAGGGAGATCAGGGGACCGACAAAAATTAAAGCATGCTTACTTTTAAAAAAATTCTTTTAAATATATTTTATTGACTTTTTACAGAGGGAGAGGAAGAGAGAGTTAGAAACATTGATCAGCTGCCTCTTGCACACCCCTTACTGGGGATGTGCCCGAAACCAACGTACATGCCCTTGACCGGAATCGAACCCGAGACCCTTGAGTCCACAGACCAACTGGTATCCGCTGAACCAAACTGGTTTCGGAAAGCATGCTTACTTTTTAAAAATATATATTTTATTGATTTGTTACAGAAAGGAAGGTAGAGGGGAGAGACCTAGAAACATCGATGAGAGCCCTAACTGGTTTGGCTCGGTGGACAGAGCGTCGGCTTGGGGACTGAAGGGTCCTGGGTTCGATTCTGGTCAAGGGCATGTACCTTGGTTGCAGGCACATCTCCAGCGGGGGGGGTGCAAGAGGCAGCTGATCGATGTTTCTCTCTCATTGATGTTTCTAACTCTCTGTCCTTCTCCCTTCCTCTCTGTAAAAATAAATTAAATATAAAAAAAAAGAAAAACATCGATGAGAGAAAAACACAATCAGCTGCCTCCTGCACCCCCCCCCCCCCACTGGGGATGTGCCCGCAACCAAGGTCCATGCCCTTGACTGGAATCAAACCCGGGACCCTTCAGTCCGTAGGCTGACGCTTTATCCACTGAGCCAAACCGGTTATGGCTACTTTTTAAAAATATATATTTTTGTTAATGTCAGAGAGGAAGGGAGAAGGAGAAAGAGAGGTATATATATAGAAGCATCAACGATGAGAGAAAATCACTGATTGGCTGCCTCTTGCACGTCCCAGGCTGGGGATCAAGCCCACAATCCGGGCATGTGACCAGAATCGAACCCAGGACCCTTCAGTCTGCTGGCCGATGATGCTCTATCCACTGAGCCACACCTGCTAAGGCTGTGCATACACTTTTAAGCGCGAGATAAATCTCCAATTTCAGATTGGAATCAGGGCTCTGAAGAAGATAAAAAAAACTTCGACCTTACTGAGTGGTATCTGACAGCGGGTGGTCAGGGGAAGGCTTGAAGGACAAAGAAGAAACTGCCGGTGAGAAGGTCTGGGTTCCAGGCAGCAGGAACAGCACATGCAAAGGGCCTGGGGTGGAGCCTTGGGGAACAGCAGTGGGACCAGCGTGGCTGGAGTGGAGCGAGTAGGGGACAGGGGGGGAGGGGAGAGGGGAGAGGGGGAGGGTGACAAAGACAGGCCGTGAACTAGGAGTAATTTGGATGTTATTCCAAGAATGAGGGGAAGTTCTCTCTGTGTCCCTCTCAACCCCATTTCCAAGCAAAAAGTCTACATACTAGGCCTGGCTGGCGTGGCTCAGTGGATGGAGCCTCGGCCTGAAGGGTCCCAGGTTCAATTCTTGCCAAGGGCACAGGCCCGGGCTGCAGGCTCAGTCCCCAGTGGGGGCCGTGCAGGAGGCAGCTGATCCATGATTCTCTCTCACCATTGATGTTTCTATCTCCCTCTCCCTCTTCCTTCTTTTCTGAAATCAGTAAAAATATTTTTTTAAAAAGTCTACATACTCTGACCCCCACCCTAGGAGGCAGGTGCTGTACTGATCGGGAAACCGAGGCTGCAGAGAACGCAGATTGAGGGGGATAGGGGCTGGGAGGATCTTTTTTGTTTGTTTTTTAATCCTCCTGCTTTCAGATAGAGTAGAAAGAGGCGGGGAAGGGGGAGAGAGAAACATCATGTGAGAGATTGGTTAGAGAGGCTGGTAGCCTCCCCCACATGCCACGACCGGGGCCAAGGATCGTAGGTGCCCTTGACCTGGACTCGAACCCGAGACCCTTCAGTGCTGGGTCGGGACCGGCGCTCTAACCACTGAGCCACCGGCCAGGTACTGAGAGGATCCTAAACTCCAGGCTTCCTCGCGCCTTTAACCTTTGGCCGGAAAGTGCGTGGGCCGCGATAAGCTTCTGTGCAGACAAGAAGGCGGGGGTTGGAACCCCCCTCGTCCAGGGCAGGGTCCCCCCCGCTCCTCCCCCAGCCTCCGGGGTCCGGTCTGTGCAGCGCGGCGGCGCCGCCACCCACCTCCCAGCTGGATTCCGGCTTCTCCGCACTCAGCGCGCTGCCCCGCCCCGCGCCCGCCACTCACGCCCTATCTAGCCTCCCATTGGTCAGGTGCTGGCTTCCCGCCCCTCGGCGTGGGCCAATCACGCTTTCAGGACTGACACGGAGCGGCGCTCGCGGATTGGCCAGGCGCGGGGGCCGGGCAGAGCTCGGAGAGCGCCGATTGGGCAGTTCTGCCAGAGGGGGCGGGACGCGACGGCGCGGGGGCTGGGCCACGAGTCGCGACCCCGCCAAACGGTGACCGGGGCTGGCGCGGGGCGGGGTGGGGCGGCCCTGGCGGCGGAAGTCCGGGCCCCGAAAGGTGAGTGACTCCCGGACGCCTGCGGAGGGCGGAGGGCGGAGGGCCGGGCTCGAACCCAGCGCCCTCGGGGACGGGCCCACCCCGCCCGGGGGGAGTCTGACCTTCCCGCCTCGCAGGTGGGAACCGGACGCCCCGAGAGCGCGGCCGGGGGAGGCCTCCCGACCGCACTGCCCAACCGGCCCTCGAACCCTCCGCGGACACGTTTCCCTTCGTCCCAGCGGAGTGGGTGGGTTTGACCCCCACTTCCTCCTCCTCCGAGGAAACGGGGGTTCAGACCGAGCGGGAAACTTGCCCAGAGTCACCCAGCCGTCCGTCCGTTCGGTGCTTGGACGTCCCCGAGGCCCCGTGGGGATCTAAGCAGCCCCCCGCCTGTAGCCCCCCCACCTGTTCCCCCTAAGTTGCTGCCCACCTCGGGCCGCCCCTCCTCTTCTAGCCTTGGGCTCCCCCTTCGATCTGGACCGTCCCCGTCCCTCCCCCACGGCACCCCCAAATCTGTCTCCAGCTCAGACTCTCCACATTTACACACACATCCTCCCCCAACTTTTCCTCTTCTCCCCAAAACCGGTTTCCGGTCCCTGCCTGTCATGGGCCAGGAACCTGGGGGTCTCCCCTCCCTTGTCCCGCAGCCAGGGCCCCAGGGCCCCAGCCCAGCCCCCCAGGAGCCAGCAGGGCATCCCTATTTTATTTTACATTCTGAAGATTTTATTTTCTTAAAATATATTTTACTGAATTTTTATAGAGAGGAAGGGAGAGAGAGAGTTAGAAACATCAATCAGCTGCCTCCTGCACCCCCCCCCCCCACCGGGTATGTGCCTGCAACCAAGGTACATGCCCTTGACCAGAATCGAACCCGGGACCCCTCAGTCCTCAGGCCAACGCTCTATCCACTGAGCCACACCAGCCTCGGCACGTTCTGTAGACTTTAAATGGAAGGATACCATATATGCAAGAAAGTGGCCGCATCACCCACACACGGCTGAAATTCCTTCACTCACACAGTGAGCGCCCTGGTGCAGAGTCACATGCAGATTTACAAGTCCACCACCCCCCAGCGCCATCCCCCCCAAGCCCCCTGAACCCCTCTGCCACTGCCCGCCCCGGGGGTCAGCCACGGGCAGGTTTCCCTGAGTTCTCACTTGACTGCGCCGATGTGTCCCCGGCCACACAGCCCGTTGCGCACTGTCCAACAGTCAGAAGGAGCAGCACAGCGAGAACCGGGCCTTTGCACTGTCCCTGACACCCCCCCGCCAAGCCCCTGCTGCCTCCGAGCCTGCCCGGGGCAGCTATACATAGCACAGGACACAGTCTTTCCCCCTTCTTTTTTGGGGACACAAATGGAGCACTGGTACACCAGTACAGGCTGTTCTGTGTCTCCCGCCCCCGCCCCCCACTGTTAGCATCGTTTGAACGCCTTTCCGTATCCTGACTGTCCTGGCTGCCCAGAACCCCGCCGGGCAGATGTGCCAGAGCTTACGTAACGGGACCCTGAGCTCGGGCACTTAGAGCGACTCCGGTGGAGGCAGCCGCGGGGCCCAGGCGGGCCATGGCCAGGCGGACGCGGGGGCTGTGGGCTCCATCCCAGTGGGCGACATGCAGGAGGCAGCCCATCCATGATTCTCTCTCATCATCCATGTTTCTCTCTCTCTCCCTCTCCCTGCCTCTCTCAGATCAGTAAACATATTTTAAACAAACTAGAAAGGTGTGTTCCAGCCCTGGGAGCAGCAGGTGGGAGCTGCGGGTGGGGATGGAGAGCGGGACGCTGGGCAGAGAAACCACACCCCGCCTGACCCCGGCCGCCCCCTCCCTCCCTCAGGACATGGCGGCTGCCAAGCCCAGCCTGGGCCGGCTCCTCCCGGGGTCGTCCATCCTCTTCCTGTGTGACATGCAGGAGAAGTTCCGCCATGTGGCCTACTTCCCCCAGATCGTCTCTGTGGCCGCCCGCATGCTCAAGGTACTGTCCCTCCTCCCTCAGACCCGGATCCAGCACCTCCTCCCTCAGACTGGGGATCCAGCCCCTCCTCCCTCAGACCCCGATCCAGCCCCTCCTCCCTCAGACTGGGGATCCAGCCCCCTCCTCCCTCAGACCAGGGGATCCAGCTCCTCCTCCCTCAGACCAGGGGATCCAGCCCCCTCCTCCCTCAGACTGGGGATCCAGCCCCTCCTCCCTCAGACTGGAGATCCAGCTCCTCCTCCCTCAGACTGGGGATCCAGCCCCTCCTCCCTCAGACTAGGGGATCCAGCCCCCTCCTCCCTCAGACTGGGGATCCAGCCCCTCCTCCCTCAGACTGGGGATCCAGCCCCCTCCTCCTTCAGACCCGGATCCAACCCCCTCCTTCCTCAGACCAGGGGGTCCAGCCCCTCCTCCCTCAGACTGGGGATCCAGCCCCCTCCTCCCTCAGACCAGGAGAAACAGCCCCCTCCTCCCTCAGACTGGGGATCCAGCCCCCTCCTCCCTCAGACTAGGGGATCCAGCCCCCTCCTCCCTCAGACCAGGAGAAACAGCCCCTCCTCCCTCAGACTGGAGATCCAGCCCCTCCTCCCTCAGACTGGAGATCCAGCCCCTCCTCCCTCAGACTGGGGATCCAGCCCCCTCCTCCCTCAGACTAGGGGATCCAGCTCCTCCTCCCTCAGACTGGGGATCCAGCCCCCTCCTTCCTCAGACTGGGGATTCAGCCCCTCCTCCCTCAGACCAGGGGATCCAGCACCCTCCTCCCTCAGACTGGGGATCTAGCACCCTCCTCCCTCAGACCAGGGGATCCAGCACCCTCCTCCCTCAGACCAGGAGATCCAGCCCCTCCTCCCTCAGACCAGGAGAAACAGCCCCCTCCTCCCTCAGACTGGGGATCCAGCCCCTCCTCCCTCAGACTGGGGATCCAGCCCCTCCTCCCTCAGACCCCGACCCAGCCCCTCCTCCCTCAGACCCTCACCCAGCCCCTCCTCCCTCAGACCCCGACCCAGCCCCTCCTCCCTCAGACCCCGATCCAGCCCTCCCTCAGGCTCGGGCCTCTGCCCCCTCCCGGCACAGGTGGCCCGCCTGCTGGAGGTGCCCACGGTGCTGACGGAGCAGTACCCGCAGGGCCTGGGCCCCACGGTGCCCGAGCTGGGGGCCGAGGGCCTGCGGCCCCTGGCCAAAACCTGCTTCAGCATGGTGCCCGTGGCGCGGCAGGAGCTGGACGCGCGGCCGCAGCTGCGCTCTGTGCTGCTCTGCGGCATCGAGGCCCAAGTCTGCATCCTGGTGAGGCCCCGCCGACCCGGGCCTGACCCCTGACCCTGACCCTGACCCTCCCTCAGGACTCCGCGCGCTGGGGGACCCCATTGTAACCCGGGGGCAGCGGGGAGGGGGGCTTCTGCCTGCTCTGAGCTGCCTCATCCCATCCCAGCGTCCCAGTCCCCAGTCCCCAGTCCGCACCCGGCACCCCGTCCTTGTCTGGGCTCGGCCCTCACCTCTCTCTGCCCCAGAACACAGCCCTGGACCTCATGGATCGGGGGCTGCAGGTCCACGTGGTGGTGGACGCCTGCTCCTCCCGCAGGTGAGGGGTGGTTGCACGGGGGCGTGGCCGGGGCGGGGCCGGGCCGGGCCGGGCCGGGCCATCCACGGGCTGACCCCCCGCCCGCAGCCAGGTGGACCGCCTGGTGGCACTCGCCCGGATGCGGCAGAGCGGCGCCTTCCTCTCCACCAGCGAAGGGCTCATCCTGCAGCTCGTGGGGGACGCTGCGCACCCCCAGTTCAAGGAGGTACGGGCACATGTCTCCGGCGCCCACCTCGTCTTCCCGATGCATCGGGAACAGGCACGTCCCGAACACAGAAGGCTGCCGCCTCCAGGGCTCAGCTCCTGGCGTCACCCCGTCAGTCCTTATCAATAAGAGAAGCGGCTGGTGGGCAGTGAGGGCTGGAGAGAGGGAGAGGGGGAGAGGGAGAGGAGAGTGAGCGAGGGAGGGAGGGAGAGAGAGGAGGGGAGGAGGCCGCAGGCAGCGAGGGGCTTGCACAGGACAGTCTAGGAAGCCTGGAGAAGGTGGCTGAGGCCTGGAGGGCGCCAGGCAGACACGGGAAAGTCAGCCCAGCAGGGGCCCTGGAGGTGGGGCCCCCAGACCCTCCACCGCCCCCCTCCCCCGGCCACTGGCACGCAGGTCCAGCCTCCACGCCCACCTCCCGGGGCTTGGCTGGCATGTGGGCCTGACCAGGCGGTTCCCATGAGCCCGCCCTGGGCCTGCGGGGCACAGGCAGGACATGCCCGATTGGACACCCCTGGCCTCTGGGCTCTGCCCTCCTCTCCTCTCAGTCCTGAGCCTTTATGGAGCGCCTACTGTGTGCCAGCCACTGGGACAGGCCTGGGGCAGCAGCAAAAGCCAGTCAGTGCCCCTTACACACTGTGGCCGGAGCTGGCGGGAGCGTGGGGAGAGTGAGAGAAACCTGATAGAAAGCAGCGGGAGGCCCTTGGGGGTGGGGTGGGGCCCTTGAAGTGGAGACCTGCAGGGAGAGGAGCAGCCGGTCATCCGGAAAGTGGTCTTGGCAGAGGGACAGCTGGGGCAAAGGCCTGGCGGGACACACACACACACACGCACGCACGCACGCACGCGCGCGATGGACTTGCCTCATCCTGGGACTGTCAGGCGCTGAGTGCTGGGCTGTGGGGGAGGGGAGCCTGGAGGAGCCAGGCCAGGTCCTCAGGGTCCAGGCTTTCAGCGAGGGGCAGCCAGGGCCCCGTGCTGTGGTTGGGAAGGTGCGGGGACCGGGGGACGCCGTCGTGGGTGCAGTGAGGACGCGGGCTCTGCCTTTCCTGCTTGCTTTCTGCCGGCCCCTGGGGCTCACTGGTGGGTGCAAGGTGGGGCTTTGGGAGAGGGCACCCAGGGGGGGCCTCCAGGCTGGTACCTACCGAGGGGCTGAATTGAGAGAGCGGTCCCGGGGCAGCCAGCACCCAGAGGCAGCGGATAAATGAGTCCGGAGTGAGGGGCCAGGCGCGGGCTGGGTTTGGAGATGGGGCATTGAGATGACTGAAGAAGAAGAAAGTATAGATGGGCCCCAGGACAAAGCCCATCATCCAACAGAGGGCATGTGTCCATTGATTTTTTAGAGAGAATGGGCGGGAGGGGCAGAGACAGAAATGTCAATGTGAGAGGGACACACTGATTGGTTGCCTCCTGCACATGCTGGGGGGGGGAGGGGGGAGCCCATAACTGAGGTAGGTGCCCTTGGCTGGAATCGAACCCAGGACCCTTCAGTCTGCCTGCCGCCTGATGCTCTATCCACTGTGCCATACCAGCTAGGGCCAAGGCCATGGCTCTCAGCAGCCCAAGCCAGCAAAGCAGGCAAATGGCAGGCGATCGGGCGCTGACTCGGGCGGGCGGTGAGAGGGAGGCCCAGGAGAAGTTCTGAGAAGAGGGAGCGGTTGGCATGGCCGTTTGCTGCCCAGAGGGCAAAGGCGAAGAGGGGGCAGTGCCCCTCGGATCCGCCCTGGAAGCGGGGACCCTGGGCACTTCCTGACACCCTCCTCCCTCTGCAGATCCAGAAGATCATCAAGGAGCCCGCCCCGGACAGCGGGCTGCTCGGCCTCTTCCAAGGCCAGAACCCGCTCCTCCGCTGACGCCCCCTCCGCCCGGGACACCTCCCCTCCTGTCACCGGCCGCGCTGGAAGCGCCCTCCCCCATCCCTGGACCCCAGGAGTGGTGCAGTCCGCCGGGAGCGCCGCCCCTCGGGAGCGGAGGCGGGTGCTGCCTTGCTATTGGGCGGCGGCTCCCGGAAATGCAAATGAGCCCCTGGAAGCCGCCGGCCGTTGGCTGAGCCGAGCTGGGGGCGGGGCTCGGGCCGGGCCCCTTCAAGGGCCGGGAAGGGGGGGGAGGCGTGTCACGGGCTGTGTGGGACCCGGGCTCGCGGAATAAACCCGATGTGGCTGTGGACCGAACCATTCTTGGGCTTGGGGGGTGTCCCGGGGGCGGCGGGGGGCTGCGGGGGGCGGGGAGAGGGGTCCCCAGCAGGTGGAGAGGCGGCGGCGCCTGCTCACAGCTCCCAGCGGGCGCCGGGGGAAGGCGAGCGCCGCCCGGCACAGCTGCTCCGGGAAGCAGCGCCCGCGGGGCCCCCGCGCGCCGCCCGCCGCCCGCCGCCCCCCGCCTGCGCGCAGCCCGCCCGGCGGCTGCGGACACGCGCTCGCGCCGCCGCCCCCGGCCGGTCCCCCACGTCGCCGCCCCAGCTTCCCCGAGGGTCCCGCGTCGGAAAGTGAGGTGAGCGCGGAGGGGGAAACTGAGGCACGGGGTCGTGGGGACGGGAGGGAGGAGGAGACTGGCATGCGGGTGGACGGATGGGAGGGAGGACAGACACCTCTCTGAGTGGTCCCTGCGCCCCTAAGGCGCAGGGGGCAGGGGGCAGGGGACCCACACGGGGGCCCCGGGATTCTGCAGCTCCCTTAGAAATCTGGGAGCGGGGATTCTACCGACACCCCCCCCCAATCAAGGCCCTCAACCCCTCGAGATTCGCAGTCCTTGGTCCCATCCGCCCCCAACCTTGGGGACCTAGGAAGGCAACCGAGTCCCCCGAGAACCCAGGCATCAGCGCTCACAGCCGGTCCGCCCCCACTGGGGAGCCAGAGCCCCCTGGCCCCGAACCGAGACCGCCGCCCCCCACCCCCCTCCGCCACCCGAAGACCCGGAGCCCGCATCCCAGCACCCAGCAACCCCCTCCCCAGGGACCTAGGAGTCCCAGCTCTTCCTCCGGGAGCCCCTGGCGCCCCTGGCCCCCGCCTTCCGGATCCAGGTCCCCCCTCCTCAGCCCCAGCCGGGAGCATCGCGTCCGGGAGGCCGCGCTCGCGTCGCCATGGCAACAGGAGTCTATTTTGCGCCAGGAACACAGCCCGCTCCGCAGCGCCCCCCTGCCCGCGCCTGCAGACCGGGCGAGGGAGAGAGGGGGACCGGGAGGGAGGCTGGGGTCCGCAGGGGGACACACAGAGACATGCATAGGGACCGATCTGTAGACAGCACACCTGGGCAAGAGGCACAGAGACGGGCGTGTGCAGACGGAGACACAGACAGGACGGACAGGCGGACAGAGGGCAGGGGGGATGCTGGCGGCCGGAAAACACTCAGGCGCAGCCCGGGACCTAGACAGACGCAGAGTTGCGGGCGAGGAGACGCGTCTAGACACCCCAGAGACCAGGACCCAGGGCGCATCCCGCCAGAGGCCGCCCCGCGGCGGGTGGACCAGGAGGCACGGCCCCCGGAGGCCCAGGGACGCGGGCTGCAGGCGGGGCCGCGGGGCCGGGGTCTGGGCCGCTGCGGAGTGCTGTGAGCCTGAGTTCCCTCTCTCCCCCAGTCCCCGCCTCCATGGGGAGGGGGCGGCGGAGTGGGGGCAGCAAGCCCAGGACTCCTCCAGGTCTCCCTCCGCTCCCCCCAGAACCCCCGATGTCTCCCTCCACTCCCCCCAGGACCCCTCCCAGGACCCCTCCATGTCTCCCTCCGCTCCCCCCAGAACCCCCGATGTCTCCCTCCACTCCCCCCAGGACCTCCCAATGTCTCCCTCCACTCCCCCCAGAACCCCGCGATGTCTCCCTCCACTCCCTCCAGGACCTCCCAATGTCTCCCTCCACTCCCTCCAGGACCTCCCAATGTCTCTCTCCACTCCCTCCAGGACCTCCCAGTGTCTCCCTCCGCTCCCTCCAGGACCTCCCAATGTCTCCCTCCACTCCCTCCAGGACCTCCCAGTGTCTCCCTCCACTCCCCCCAGGACCTCCCAATGTCTCCCTCCACTCCCCCCAGGACCGCTCCAAGGACCCCCCAATGTCTCCCTCCGCTCCCCCCAGGACCCCCCAATCCGCTCCCCCCAGGACCGCTCCAAGGACCCCTCCATGTCTCCCTCCGCTCCCCCCAGGACCCCCCGATGTCTCCCTCCACTCCCCCCAGGACCGCTCCCAGGACCCCTCCATGTCTCCCTCCGCTCCCCCCAGAACCCCCCGATGTCTCCCTCCACTCCCCCCAGGACCGCTCCCAGGACCCCTCCATGTCTTCCTCCGCTCCCCCCAGGACCCCCCAATGTCTCCCTCCGCTCCCCCCAGAACCCCCCAATGTCTCCCTCCACTCCCCCCAGGACCCCTCCATGTCTTCCTCCGCTCCCTCCAGGACCTCCCAATGTCTCCCTCCACTCCCCCCAGGACCGCTCCCAGGAGCCCTCCATGTCTTCCTCCACACCCCCATATCTCCCCCCCGACCCCCCACCTGCTGGACCGCCTCCTCTTGGCAGCTTTCCATCTCCCAACCCCAAACCGCCCTCACCCCCTTCCTAGGCGTTAGGACCCCTGTCCAGCCCCTGCAGACCCCTCCAGCGCCCAGCTCCCCGGGGCCGGGCCGCTTTTTCTCTGAGTCTCTGCCCCCGTCTGGGGGCCTCTGTCCCCCCTCCCGCGGTCCTTCTCCCTGTCCTCCCGGGTCCTGCTTCATCTCTCCTAATCACCCCCTCCAGGCTCCTCCCAGTCAGCTCACCTGCCCCCCAACACCCAGCCCCCCAGCCCCGGCTCCCCACTCCAGCCGGCAGGGGCAGGAGGGGGTGGGGCCAGAGGTTGGGGCAAAGTGCTGTGCAGGGTGGCAGGTGGAGGAGGGGTCTCCAAGGACCAGTGGGGCCTGCTGGGGGAACCCCCCCAATCCTCCAGCTGGCTCCTCTGTCCACCCATCTATATCACTTAGGGCTGGGGGGGCCTGAGCCGCTGGGCATGCGGGGTGCAGGGAGTGGGGAGATGGGGCTGGGGGCCCCCATCTCTCCACCTGTGGGGGAGAAAAGTGTGTGTGAGTGAGCAGGGGTGCGGGCAGGGGCGCAGTTGTGTGTGTGGGGGGGGTCACATGCCTGCTTCCCAAATCTCTTCCACTGGGGAGGGTGTGTGTGCACGTGTGTGTGTGCACCCCGAGCTTGCATGACTTGGGGCTGTGATGCTGTGGCTGCGTGTCCGTCCGCGTGAAGCTGGCTGGGGCAGGGCCTTGCCCGTGTTCCTGAGCTGTGTGTGGCCCCGGTGTGGCATGGTCGGGTCCGAGTTGTGTCCGGGTCTTGCGTGCTGGGGCCGAGCATGCCGACACGGGTGGCCGTGTCCGCGTGGGGCCGGTGTGCTGAGAGCAGGCTCAGGAGGGCCCTCCGGATGCACACGTGTTGTGTCTGGGACGCTGTGTGGGTGCCCTGTGCTGTCTCCTTTGTGTGAGTGTGAGTGTGAGTGTGAGTGTGAGTGTGAGTGTGTGTGTGTGTGTGTGTGTGTGTGTGTGTGTGTGAGTGTGTGTGTGTGAGTGTGTGTGTGAGTGTGAGTGTGTGAGTGTGTGTGTGTGTGAGTGTGTGTGTGTGTGAGTGTGTGTGTGAGTGTGTGTGTGTGTGTGTGTGAGTGTGTGTGTGTGTGTGTGTGTGTGTGTGAGTGTGTGTGGGTGTGTGAGTGTGTGTGTGTGTGAGTGTGTGAGTGTGAGTGTGTGTGTGTGTGTGTGAGTGTGTGTGTGAGTGTGTGTGTGTGTGTGAGTGTGTGAGTGTGTGTGTGTGTGAGTGTGTGAGTGTGAGTGTGTGTGTGTGTGTGTGAGTGTGTGTGTGAGTGTGAGTGTGTGTGTGTGTGTGAGGTCTGTTGTATGAGTTTTAAGGACAGACTCTGTCCCCTGTGTCCCGGGTCTGCTGGCCACTCTGTCTACCCCGAGGTGTGTGTCCCCTTCCCACCAGTAGGTGGTGCCCTGCACACATCCGGAGGCATGACCTGTGTGTGTGTGTGTGTGTGTGTGTGTGTGTGTGTGTGTGGTGTCTGGGTCTGAGGGGCTGTGTCACTCCTCCCCGCCCCCCCTCCCCCAGTTGTCAGTGGCTGGCGCTGTCCTGGGTGTGAGCAGAGATGCGCAGTGGGGAGGCAGTGGGGTCTGTCAGCGGAGGGAGAGTGTGTGTCCCTGCAGCCGGGGGGGGGGGGGGCACTGCTGGCCTTCTGGGCCTTCCCACAGGTGAGGCATCTGCCCCACCCCATGCTGCTCCCCCGGCTGGGGGGGGCAGGTGGCTGGCACCCTTGCGTGAGCCTGAAAAGGATGCTCCTTCCCCCAACGCACAGCCCAGTCCTCACTTCTGAGGGAGGAGAGCCCCTCTGAGTCCCAGCCGGCCCCTTGCCCAGCACCCTAACCCTAACCCTAGCCCTAGCCCTAACCCAGCACCCTAACCCTAACCCTAGCCCTAACCTAGCACCCTAACCCAGCACCCTAACCCAGCACCCTAACCCTAACCCTAGCCCTAGCCCTAACCCTAACCCTAGCCCTAACCTAGCACCCTAACCCAGCACTCTAACCCTAACCCTAGCCCTCACCCAGCACCCTAACCCTAGCCCTCACCCAGCACCCTAACCCTAACCTAGCACCCTAGCCCTAGCCCTAACCCAGCACCCTAACCCTAGCTCTCACCCAGCACCCTAGCCCTCATCCAGCACCCTAACCCTAACCTAGCACCCTAGCCCTAGCCCTCACCCAGCACCCTAACCCTAGCCCTAACCCAGCACCCTAACCCTAGCCCTCACCCAGCACCCTAGCCCTAGCCCTAACCCAGCACCCTAGCCCTAGCCCTCACCCAGCACCCTAACCCTAGCCCTCACCCAGCACCCTAACCCTAGCCCTAACCCAGCACCCTAGCCCTAGCCCTAACCCAGCACCCTAACCCTAGCTCTCACCCAGCACCCTAGCCCTCACCCAGCACCCTAACCCTAGCCCTCACCCAGCACCCTAACCCAGCACCCTAACCCTCACCCAGCACCCTAGCCCTAGCCCTAACCCAGCACCCTAACCCTAGCTCTCACCCAGCACCCTAGCTCTCACCCAGCACCCTAACCCTAGCCCTCACCCAGCACCCTAACCCTAACCTAGCACCCTAGCCCTCACCCAGCACCCTAACCCTAGCCCTAACCCAGCACCCTAACCCTCACCCAGCACCCTAACCCTAGCCCTAACCCAGCACCCTAACCCTAGCCCTAACCCAGCACCCTAACCCTCACCCAGCACCCTAACCCTAGCCCTAACCCAGCACCCTAACCCTAGCCCTAACCCAGCACCCTAACCCTAGCCCTAACCCAGCACCCTAGCCCTAGCCCTAACCCAGCACTAGCCCTAACCCCATGGCAGGCGGCAGCCTGCAGCGAAGGAGGGTCCATGGCCTGGGTGCCGGGGGTGGGGGGGTGGGGGCTCCAGCAAATGAGGAACCTGCTGGAATGTTGGTGTCTCATTTGGAGACAGACAGACTGACAGACAGACACCTGACATCTGATCATGAGGTCTAGCTCAGGGAAAGACACAGCGTGTGGGGCGACTGAGGACCACAGGGTCTGAGCCTGAGGTTCCCCACGGGGCCAGCTGTGCCCGGGACCTCTGGGGGCGCCTGGGCATCCTGTCGTCCCGGACGCGCTGCCCCCACACCCAGTGCTGCTGCTGCACAGCCGGCCCCGTGGCCAGCAGCTCCCCCCCCCCCCCCGGGACCCACGCCCTCTCCCCACCTGCTGGGCTACAGCTTCTCACCGGCAATCTCTCTCCCCTTCCCCGCCTCCCCACCCACTCCTCTCCTGTCTCCCTCCCCTCCCCTTCTCTCTCACCCCGGCTGCCCTCTTCCTCGCCGTCATTCACTCCCGTCCTGTCCGTCCTATTTCTCATCCGCCGTCTGACGCCTCCTTCCCGATCTTTCCTCCCATCCATCACCCCGCGGATCCTTCCGTTCCACCCTGTCATGTCTCATTCTGTTCGCCGCCTGGTGCGCCCCTCCTCCTCCATCGCCCGTGGGTCCCCCAACGTTGGGCCCATGCCTCTCCCCCCTCCACTCATCCTGTCTCCCTCCCCTCGCCCCCCTTCCTCATCCCTCTGCCCACCCGTCCCCACACTCCGCCCTCCGGACCTCCCTCTCCGCCCTCCGCTGCAGCCCCGGTTCTCCGCTCAGCCTGGCGGCCCGGGCAGCCTCCTGCGCACCCCATGCCGGCCCCGCTGCTCCTCGGGACCCTGCTGCTCCTGGCCTCGGCCGCCGGCCCCGCCGCGGCGCGCCCGCCCAACGCCACGAGCGCCGAGCCGCCGGGCCCGCTGCCCGCGCTGCTGGCGCACCTGCGGCGCCTCACCGGGGCGCTGACGGGCGGCGGCGCGGGGGGCGCGGGCGCCAATGGCACGCGGGCCGGCCCCGCGGGCGGCGCGGGCGCGGCGGCGCGGGCGCCCCCTCCGGCGGAGCTGTGCCACGGCTACTACGACGTGATGGGCCAGTACGACGCCACCTTTAACTGCAGCACCGGCTCCTACCGCTTCTGCTGCGGCACCTGCCACTACCGCTTCTGCTGCGAGCACCGCCACATGCGCCTGGCGCAGGCCTCCTGCTCCAACTACGACACGCCGCGCTGGGCCACCACGCCGCCGCCCATGGCCGGGGGCGCGGGGGGCGCGGGGGGCGCGGGCGGGGGGCCCGGGCCCGGCCAGGCCGGCTGGCTGGAAGGCGGCCGGGCGGGGGGCAACGGGATGCGCGGGGGCGAGGGCCCCGGGGGCAGCACGGCCTACGTGGTGTGCGGGGTCATCAGCTTCGCCCTGGCCGTGGGCGTCGGGGCCAAGGTGGCCTTCAGCAAGGCGTCCCGCGCGCCCCGGCCGCCCCGGGACATCAACATGCCCAGGTGTGTGCGCCCCGGCAGACGGGCTGGGGCGGGGCCGGGGCGAGGGGGTGGAGCCATTGGGGAGGGCTTTGGGGTGGGGGCGTGGTCTCGAGAGCCTGCGGACGCCCTGCTGTTGAATGGGGGAGTCCCAGGCCTCATTCATTCACCAAATGTTTCTGGGCGCTTTCTGGGCGCCAGGGCCTGGGGATGGACACACGAGCGAAGGAAACAAGGCCCCTGGCCTGATGGGTAAGCCCGGCTCCCCGCACCCCAGGCCTGCTGCCTCCTGTGCGCTGAGTGGCCACCCCAAGCAATTGGCTTAACCCCATCCGTGCCTCAGTTTCCCCGTCTGCACAATGGGGCTAATCAATGCTCCCCACCCATTCGGCCTGCAATGAAGATGAACTGGGTTGATTCCCAACGAGGCCTGGCCCACGGAAAGCCCTCGGTAAACGGTGGCTACCGTTGTCATGAAAGTTAGGGCCCAGTGCACTAGCCAGTTTGGCTCAGTGTATGGAGCGTCCCTCTGCGGACTGAAGGGGCCCGGGTTCGATTCCGGTCAAGAGCACATTCCCAGTGGGGGGTATACAGGAGGCAGCTGATCGATGTTTCTCTCTCATCGATGTTTCTGACTCTCTATCCCTCTCCCTTCCTCTCTGTAAAAAATTAATAATGTATATATATTCCATGTGGGAGCTGCTGTGGAGGTCGGTTCTGCAAACTTGCAGAGGAACGTGAGAGGAAGGGAGAGAGAAAGAGAAACCCGGGGTGGCCCTAATTTGGGGCCTGCAGCGCTGGGTGAATGGGGCGCCTTTACCCCCGCGGGGAAGCTGCAGAAGAATCAGGATGGAGCTCCAGGCCAGGGCGGGGCGGGGCCACGGGAGATGTGGGCGGGGCCCCCATGGATGGGGAAGGGGCGCGTCAGGCGGGAAGTGTGGTCCCAGGAACCTTTGGGGGGGACTGAGCTCAGGTTGCCCTTAGCGAGGGGCGTGGCCAAAGGCGAGAAGCCCCAACCGAGCTGAGTTGACAGATGCCCCCCCAAAGGTGAGAGCAGGGAGGGAAAGCCTGAGTCCTCCCTCCCGCGCCCCCATCCTCCGGCCACTGACCATCCCTCCGCCCCCTCCAGGGCGCTGGTGGACATGCTGAGGCATCAGGCGGGACCCGGGACCTGTCCGGACCGAGCTCGGAGCAGCTCCTTGACCCCGGGGGTCGGGGGTCCCGACAGTATGGCCCCGAGGACGCCCAAGAACCTCTACAACACCATGAAGCCCTCCAACCTCGGTGAGCGGGACCTGGGGCTGGGGGGGGGCTCTGGGCAGAGTGCGGGCAGCAGAGGGGCAGGTGGGGCGGAGGAGCAGCGGGTGGGGCTGGCCTGGGCACGGTGGGGCGGGGCGATGGTGGTGACACCGCCTCCCTCTTGGCCCCACAGACAACCTGCACCACAACTACCTGCACCTGAACGTCAGCAGCCCCACGCACCACGCCACCACGCTGGGTAGGCGCCAGGGCCGGGCGGGGGACACAGGGCCCCTCTCCATCTGCCCCCCGAACGCCCTCGAGCGGGTGCCTGGGACGGAGCAGGGGGTGAGGCCCTGGGAACCGGCCCTCACAGCCTCCGCTTCCCACATGGACACCCCAAGCGGCCATCTCTCCCCAGCCCCGTTGGCGGGGAGATGCAGGAGTCCACCCCCCAGGCTGGGGCAGGGCACCCAGTGGGCGCTGAGCCAGGGCCTGTTGCCCCTCCTCCTGCGATGTGTCCTCCTTCCCTACGTCTCCTGGTGTGGGCAGGGACAGCCTGGACAGCGGGAGCTCTGAGGGGCTTGGATCCCAGAAATATAACTCCCTAAGGGGCTGGGGCCTGGGCTCCTGGGTCTGAGGAAGGAGGGCTGGGGCCTGGGCTCCTGGGTCTGAGGGAGGAGGGCTGGGGCCTGGGCTCCTGGGTCTGAGGAAGGTGGGCTGGGGCCTGGGCTCCTGGGTCTGAGGGAGGAGGGCTGGGGCCTGGGCTCCTGGGTCTGAGGGAGGAGGGCTGTGGGCCTGGGCTCCTGGGTCTGAGGGAGGAGGGCTGGGGCCTGGGCTCCTGGGTCTGAGGGAGGAGGGCTGGGGGCCTGGGCTCCTGGGTTTGAGGGAGGAGGGCTGGGGGCCTGGGTCTGAAGGAGGAGGGCTGGGGGCCTGGGCTCCTGGGTCTGAGGGAGGAGGGCTGGGGGCCTGGGTCTGAGGGAGGAGGGCTGGGGGCCTGGGCTCCTGGGTCTGAGGGAGGCGGGGGGTGGGGGGAACTGAGCCCAGCTTGCTCTCTGCCCCAGACTGGAGGGCCGCCCCACCGCCCAGCCCCAACCTGCATTACTCCACGCTGTCCTGCTCTCGGTCCTTCCACAACCTCTCGCATCTGCCCCCCTCCTACGAGGCTGCGGTGAAATCCGAGCTCAACCGCTACTCCTCCCTCAAGAGGCTGGGTGAGTCCCCGGAAGGGCGGGGTCGGGGCCCCGCGGAGGTTCAGGACCGCGGACAGTGGTCCGACCGCTGTCCAATGGCTTAGCTTCCCTCTGTAAGCTCGTCCCGATTACGGGAGCACGTTTGCATCAGAATTACCTGGGGAGCTTTTTAAAATGCAAATTCATGGTGTGCCATCCCAGGACCAGGATCTACTGCGTTTATCAGGACTTGCATTTGCAATGAGCAGAAATAAGACTTTAAGCGCATGCACCCATGCCCGCGCGCTCTCTCTCTCTCTCTCTCTCTCTCTCTCTCTCTCTCTCTCACACACACACACACACACACACACACACAGCCGAAAACAACATGGGAACCAGCCCCCTCACTCCCTTCGGATGGGGGATGCCTTCTGGTGAATAGAATTTTCTGTGTTTTTCAATCCTCACCCTCGGAGTGAGGTGTGTTTTTTTCCTATTGATTTTCAGAGGGAGTGGATGGGAGGGGGAGAGAGAGAAACATTGGCATGAGAGAGACACATCGATGGGTTGCCTCCTACACACACCTCAACTGGGGGCTGGCACTGAACCCCCAACCGGGGCACCTGCCCTTGACCAGAAATGGAATCTGAGACCCTCCAGTGGGCAGGCCAAAGCTCTAACCACTGACCCACCCTGGCCAGGGCGCTATTTCATTTTTTCAAAATGCTGGTCACTATCCATAAAACTGACTTCACAGCACGGACTGGGGCGGGAGAGGGAAGAAGAGGAATGCTCCCCCAAAAGCAGGCATTGGGCCCTGGCTGGTGTGGCTCAGTGGATGGAGCGGCTGCCTGCAGACTGAAGGGTCCCTGGGTTTGATTCCAGTCAAGAGCAGAGGCCTGGGTTGTGGGCTCGATCCTCAGAGGGGGTGCGTGCAGGAGGCAGCTGGTCAATGATTATCTCAGTCTCATCGTTGATGTTTCATTCCCTCACTCTTTCTCTCTGAAATAAAAAAAAAAAATTGTATTTTTTTAAATTTTTTAAAAAGCAGGCGGTGGGTTCTGCTCCCAAAAGAGCTACTGGGAGGCAAAATAAAAGTCCCCATGTAAAAAAAAATAAAAGTCCCCATGCCTGGGCGTCTGTGTTTTGGTCACCATCGCTAGCCTGGTTGTTCTTTATTTTCTTTTTTTTTCTTTTTCTATTTTATTGATTTTTTTACAGAGAGGAAGGGAGAGGGTTAGAAAGTCAGAAACATCGATGAGAGAGAAACATCGATCAGCTGCCTCCTGCACACTCCCTACTGGGAATTGAGCCGGCAACCAAGGCACATGCCCTGACCGGAACCGAACCTGGGACCCTCGAGTTCCTAGGCCTATGCTCTAACCACTGAGCAACACCGGTCAGGGGCGAGCCTGTTAGATCTGATTAAGTTGTGCCCCTGCCCAGGCGGATGACCTGAGGGTCCCCGTGGGGGTGGAGGGGTGGGAGTGCAGGTGCAGCGCTGGGGGCTGGGATGTAGGGGAGCAGGGGGAGGGGAGGCGCCGGCCGGGCTGGGGCTGGGGCTGGGGCTGGGGCTGACCTCCGCCCCCTCCACCCTCCGTCCCCAGCCGAGAAGGACCTGGACGAGGCGTACCTGAAGCGCTGGCACCTGGGGGACGTGCCCCGCGGGACGCTGCCCCTGCACACGCTGCGGCGCCCGGGCACCGGCGGCGGCTACCGCGCGGACTGGGGCGGCGCCGACGAGCTGGGCCCGGCGCCCGCGCCCCACCCGCGGCGCGTCATGTCACAGGAGCACCTGCTGGGCGACGGCGGCCGCTCGCGCTACGAGTTCACGCTGCCGCGCGCGCGCCTGGTGTCGCAGGAGCACCTGCTGCTGTCCTCGCCGGACGCCCTGCGCCAGAGCCGCGAGCACCTGCTGTCCCCGCCGCGCAGCCCCGGGCCGCCCGACTCCGCCCGCGCCGGCCTGGCCGCCTCGCACTCCAACCTGCTGCTCGGGCCCGGCGGGCCGCCCACGCCGCTGCACGGGCTGCCGCCCGGCCTGCACGCGCACCACCACCACCACCTGCACGCGGCGCAGCCGCCCTGGCTGGCGGACGCGGGCGGCGGGGGCGCGCTGGCCGGCCGGCCGCCCTTCCAGCGCCAGGGCACGCTGGAGCAGCTGCAGTTCATCCCGGGCCACCACCTGCCGCAGCACCTGCGCACCGCCAGCAAGAACGAGGTGACGGTCTGAGGCCGGGGGCGGGGCTGCGGCCCGGCGGGCCCTCCCCTCCCCTCCCCTGCCCCGCTAAGCCCGGATCCCAGACGCACCCCAGGGCCCGGACCGGATCCGCCTGCGGCCTCTGCGGACACTGCTTTGAATGGACTCGTCACCCAGCGGAGACCAGGCCTCTTCCTAGAATGTCACAGCAGCTGAGACCCCTCCTCCTATGTCACTGTTTGAGGCAAGAGCTCCTTCCCATGACGTCATCACAGAGGAAGAGGCTTGCCCGTGAGGTTGTGGCTGGCCACAAGGTCAACACCGGGGCCAGACCTTCCCATGAGGCCATCGCAGGGGAAGAGGCCCAGCCCTGAGGTCATCCCTACAGGCCATGTCCCATGATGTCATCACACACTCCCTTCTTGTGACGTCATGGCTGGCGGAGACAACGCCTTGTCCTATGGCGTCATCCCTGGAGACTGAGCGTTCCTTCCTGAGATGGCAGTGCAGAGACCAGTCTCGCCCCATGACATCCCTTCTGGCCCCCGAAGGCCTCTCTTGACATCAGCATCGTCCGCAGGAAAACCCTTTCCTCCAGGGAAGATGCCTCTGCCTGTGACGTCATCCTTCAGACAAAGCCATCTTGCTGGTACACGCTCCGCAGGGGCCGGCCTCGAGGCCCCGCCCTTCCCGTGACGTCATCACAGGACTCGCCTCCTTCCTGCCTGTGATGCTACCACCAGAGAAGGTGCCTTCCCGAAGACATCATCCGAGGGACCGTGCCTCTTCCGGGGGATCTGTCGCCAGAGCTGAGAGCCCTTCTGTGATGTCACCCCAGGACCCTGCGGCTCTGAGCGTGAGACCCCTCGCTGCCGGGTGTGCCCGGGGTCCCTGAGGAAGTGCTCCGACCTGAGGGGTCACCAGAAGGCATGCCATGGCTGGGGAGGCTGCCTCACCTAGAGGTCTCCCCAAGGTGTTTGCAATGAGGACCCCCACTCCCGTCTGAGGCTGGGTCCCCATGCTGTGATGTCATCACCAGAGACACTGCCCGCCCTGGGGGGCCGTCACCCGTGATGGCGTCACCAGTTTCTGCCTTGTCCCGCCGAGGTTGGGCGGGGTCCCAGCCTGGGCAGTGACGTCATTTCCTGTGTGGTTCCCAGAAGCCCGGATGTCCAGGCTGGCGCCTCTGGCCCACCAGCCTCGGGGTCCTGAGACAGCGGTGTCCGCAAGGCCGGCGTCACCCCTCTGCCATACTAGAGACGTCACTGCTTCTGTCATCGAGGCCTTGGCCGCCTGCTGGGGCCAGGAGGGGGTGCCCGCTGCTTCTGCTGCTGATGACATCCTCCCACCACTCGTGATGGCGTGCACCTAGGGTCAGGCCCGTGACATCATCCCCTCTGACCTAGCGTATCTGCATCTCCCAGGATGCAGCACGGCTGCGTGTCCTCCTCTTCCCATGACGTCATCACACACACGTGGCCACGGAGGGTCGCCTCCGCCCGCGCTTCCTCGTGGCCAGCGGCATCTCCACCTCCCATGCTTCTCCGCAGCCACTGTGCCGTCCTCCCAGGCTCCCCGCCGCTGGCGGGGTCTCTCTCCGAGTTCTCCGTGACCAGTGACGTCATTGCCTTCCAGAACCCACTGCGGCCGATGGCGGCGTCCTCTGCCAGGACCCGCGAGGCCTGGTGATGCCACATTCCCCAAACCCCGGAACTGCGGTGCCATCAACCTGTGGGATCCACGCCAACCATAGTCCACGTCTCTGTGCCCCAGGATCCACCCCGCCATGGTGTCACCGCCTCCCAGGATACACTGCAGTCATGGCGTCACCCCCACAGCTCCAGTGCTGTCCCAGGACCCGTGACTCAATAGTGTCATCTCCCAGGAGCCATTTGACCACGGGGGCATCATCTGCCGGGGTCCACCACAGCCATGACACCCCTTCCCCGGACCCAGGAACCCCAATGGTGTCATCATCTCCCAGAATCCACCACAGCCATGCCACCATCTCCCAGGACCCACCACAGCCATGCCACCATCTCCCAGAATCCACCACAGCCATGCCACCATCTCCCATAATCCACCAAAGCCATGCCATCATCTCCCATAATCCACCACATCCCTGCCATCATCTCCCATAATCCACCACATCCGTACCACCATCTCTCAGGACCCACCACTGCCATGCCATCCTCTCCCAGGCCCCACCACAGCCATGCCATCATCTCCCAGAATCCACCACAGCCATGCCATCATCTCCCATAATCCACCACAGACATGCCACCATCTCCCAGGACCCACCACTGCCATTCCATCATCTCCCAGAATCCACCACTGCCATGCCATCATCTCCCAGGATCCAGGACCCCCAGTGGTGCCATCATTTCCCAGGATGCACTTCAACCTTGGACCATCTCCCAGGACCCCTCATCTTGGGAGTCAAGTCCTGCAGCAGCTGTATTCCAACTGTCTTCTAGGTCAGGTGGCACCGACGGCTGTTCCCATGGGAACCCGGCTCAACGCAGGCCATTCTCCCGTTGCCTCTAGATTAGGGTAGGGACCCCTCCGATGACACCACGCCTACTCCGGCCCCCTTGATGATGTCACTGCCTCACTCCAGGCTTAGGCTGATGCCTACACCAACCCCACCACAGACTTGGCCTTGACTGCCCCCCCCACCCCTCTGTGAGGGCATCCAGGCCCCCCTGACAACTCACTGACCTTCACCCAACTATCTGTTCAGTGACGGGTCACCATGGCGACCTCTTCTCAGCAGAGGGGGTGAGCTTCCCAGCCCTGGGCAAGGTCACTGCCCTGGCCCGGCCCCTCCTGCCTGTCCCCACCGGCCTGGGACTCGCCCACCCTCCTGAGTCTCCTGGGGGCTGGGCCACAGCTGCTACCCCCGGGCCTTCAGTGATGTCCTCCGTGGCCTGTCCTGGGGCAGGCACAGCTGGACAGCCCTGCCACTGCCCACGCCATGTGTGGGGGCCCTCACCCTCCCTGCGTCCTCTCCTCCGTCTCCCCATGCACCCCGAAGGGCCCCAGGGCTTTCGGGATTAGCCAACACCCATGCACAACACCCCCCCCCCCCCCGTTTTCTTTGTACACAGCCATGCTGTGGGGGAGCAGCCATTCCCCTACTCTTAAAGGGCTACACGTCCCCTCCCCAGCCCCCAGGGCCAGGCAGGAGGGGCTATTTTCCCTCCTCTGGGTCCTTCCCTCCTCCTTGTCTCCCCTGGCCCACAGGACTGGCACCTCCGTTCACCCCTACCCAGCCTCTGGCTCCCACAAACACGGAGGGAACACGGGGAGCGCCCCCCCACCTCCCTAGGCCCAGCGCCAGTTTTTGATGCCATGCTTACAGCTCCTCCCGCTGACCCCCCCATCCCTTCCAGGGGCCCCCATGCTGGGGCCCTGAGCAGACTGTGACTTCCCCCAGACAGAGCCAGCTTGAGCCCCTGCCCCCCCCCTCACCACCTCCAAGCGCTCCGCTTTCTGCAGCCCCCCACCCCCAATGGGGGGCTCCGGGCCCTGCAGCTTTTGTATGCCTCCCTCGACTTGCTCTCTTCTGCACTCCAGCTATAATATTTCGCCCCCACTCTGGGGCTCTGGCCTCTTATCTCAAATAAGCCATAGTGAGGAGAGGTCCGAGGAGGCGAGGAAGTGGGCGTGTCCCGCCCAATCTCTGGATGCCTCTGGAGCCGGGGCCTCACCATCTGAGTCTTCCCACGCTCCCACGCACAGGCACACACACCCCTGCCCTTCCGATCGCGGGCAGTGGGGGGCGCTGCAGAGACAGGAAGGTCCTGGACCAGAAGACCCTCCAGCGCTGCCTCCTCCGCCCCCTGACTGGCACCGGACTACCCCCCCCCCCCAGGTCCTGGTAAGGACAGCCAGCTGGGCTGCAAGCTGGTATTTTTGGAATAAACATGTTTTCCTGACCCCAGGCTCACAGTCTCTGTTGGGAAGGTTGGGGTCTCCACCTGCGTGCTTATGGGGACTCCCTGAGCGGCGCAGGGGAGGGGTGGGGCCCAGTGTGGCTTATAACCTGCAGCCTCTGCACACCCTTCTGGTGGGGCGTGTGGGCAGTGCTTTTCGGTACCCTAGCTGGTCGCTCAGTGGTTAGAGCATTGGCCCTGCACTGAAAGGTCTCAGGTTCCATTCCAGGTCAAGGACAGGGCGAGTACAGGAGGCAACCAATCAATGGGTCTCTCTCGCATCTATGTTTCTCCCGCCCTTCCATTCTCCCTAAAAAAATCAACGGAGCCCTGGCCAGTCTGGTTCAGTGGGTGGAGTGTCGGCCTGCAGACTGAAGGATCCCGGGTTTGATTCTGGTCAAGGGCTCATGCTTGGTTTGCCGGCTTGATCCCCATTGGGGGAGGTGCAGGGGGCAGCCAATCAATGATTCTCATCATTGATGTTTCTATTTCCTCTCCCTCTCTGAAATCAATAAATGTATTTTTTTTTTAAACAACCAAACAAAAACCTTCCTCTCTAGTGCATTTAAATGCATCCTGGAGCGATGAGCTAAGGCACATGTGTCAAACACAAGGCCCGCGGGCCAAATCCGTCCCGCCAGGCCTTGCAATGTGGCCCGCACCGCGCTGTCATCACTGCACTCGGCTGCGTTTCCATCACAATGACAGTTTATGACTGTTCAGTAAACCATTCGGCCCTCGATTTAGGCTGGATTTTAGATTTTGGCCCCTTCTCTGATTGAGTTCGACACCCCTAAGCTAAGGGGATGGGCATGGAGGACCAGGCTCTGTGGCCAAGGGGAGAGCTCCCCGGAGCCCAGCGAGCCAGGAGTGGCTTTGCTCCTCACATGGAGGCTCCAGCCCCGGCTGCTGGGCACAGGCCAGGCGTGGGGGACGTGGGCCCTGCCAAGGCCCCAGCTTCTGACTGCACCTCGGTAGGTGGCTCTGGGCCTTCCTGCCTCCTTGTCCACAATCTGGTCGCCATTGGTCTCTTCGGGGCGGCTTTGCTGGGCTGAGAGGCTCTGGCATGGGCCCCCGGCCCCACTGCTCTGATGAACCGGGAAGCCACTTGGGCCTCCTCTCCCGGCGGCACCACAGGTCCCCCTTTCCAGCCGCTGGGCCATTTTGTAACTGAGGCCTGGAGGTGCCCCCCTGTCCCTGCAGCTACACATCCACTTCCGGGACAGGGAAGGCGAGTTCCGGTGCAGACCCGGAGGCCGAGACCTGGGAACGCTGCCTTCTTCCTCCAGCATCGCGAGAGTTCACCACACACATTTCCCACGACCGATAACTGAGACCTGGCGTCGTGCGTGACGTAGGCCTGGCACGTCACACATGGGAGGGGCAGGCTTCCCAGGCTTCGAGGCCGCCCTGACTGGACTCCACAACACGGGACACACAGGTCATAGGTCATTCCCAACACAAAATGGCGCCGGGGGGGGGGGTTGTAGATCGACCCCAGCGCCCACCCTCTCCGCAGGCTGAGGAGGCGGGGGCGCGGGAATCCCCCCCTCCGGCGCGCACCTCATTTGCATACATAAAACGGATGGAGTTAATTGGCAGTTAGCGGCTTGGTCCGTGCGGGGCAGGGCCCCATTGGTCGCTCTCCATCTTGCCCGCCCCCCGGCACCGCCTTTTCCTACCAGAATCGGCCGGTGTGAGCCTCGTGACGCCATCCCGCGATCGCTCGTTCCTATTGGCCAGAGCGCCGCTCATCATCCGTTTAAAACCCCCGAGCACCGCCTGCCTTCGCCCCGCCCGGACGCCCCTGCCGGCCGTTAGTCGCGTGCGCAACCTCCGGAGCGTAAGGGCGTGCGTGCGTACGCCGGCGCTGGCGGCGTCGCATTCAAACGGACCAATCAGCGGCCGCACCACCTCTCGCGTTCTTTCCCCCTCGTCCACCCCTTTCCATTTCCTCTGCAGTCTGAGGGTCCCCATTGCGACCCCCCGAGTCCCAGCTGGCCGGCCCGCTCCGGGCCCTCTCCCCAGCGTCTCCCGCTTCCGCTCTAAACTTATGGGAAACCGGGCAAGCGCGCCTAACGCGGAGGACCGTGCGCGCTGACGTCACGGGACGAGGCCCCGCCCGCCGGAGGCGCGAGGGGGCGTGGCCTCGGGCAGCTATAAAAGGGCGGCTGCGCGCGCGGCCGGCTCAGTGCGGCCGGCACCTGGGGCGAGCGTACCTGCGGACCAAGTGCGCGGCGGCGTCGGAGGCGGCGGGGAGCGGAGCGGAGCCGCCGGGTCCTCGCCAGGGCCGCAGCGGCAGCAGTTGGGCCCCCCGCCCCGGCCGGCGGCCCGGAGAACGCAGGAAGGGGGCCGGGGGGACCCGCCCCCGGCCGGCCGCAGTCATGGTGAGCTCCGCGGCCAGGCCCGGAGGGGCGGTGGGAGGCCCCTGGAGGAGGAGGCGGGGTCTCGGGAGCCCCTTTGCGGGCGGCCTAGGGGGTTGGGGGGCCTGCCTGGGGGGGTCCCGAACCGGGGATGTGCCCACCGGCCTTCCAGTAGGTGGGGCAGGAGCCCGGGCCCGCAGGTCCCTTGGAGGGAAGGCCTGGCTGAGCCGCGGGGCGATGGGGGCTGCCGTCCGGGCTTTGTGGCCCGTCCGTGGGTGTTCGGGGAGCAAGCACGCCCCGCTGCCGTCTCCAGGCCCGAGCCGGGGTTTGCGGGGATATTTTACCGAGATTAGGTGGGGAAGGCGGCCAAGGTAGGCCTCGGCTTAATCCAGAATCATTGGCGGCCGCTGCGGGGCTACGGACGGGCTTTGGGGGCTCCCGGGGGGCCATGGAGCCATCCGCTACCCCCCTCGGAGGACCCCCTTCGTTGCGGGGGCGCTCAGCCTGGGGCGGCCGACTGCAGCACCCCAGGAGGGGGGTCTGCCAACCGCGGGTGGTTGAAAGCCTGGGACGGCATCCGGTAGGGGTCCCAGGTCTGCAGGCCGCTCACCTCCTCCTCCTCCTCTCTGCCCAGAACTCCAACGTGGAGAACCTGCCCCCCCACATCATCCGCCTGGTGTACAAGGAGGTGACCACGCTGACCACAGACCCTCCCGACGGCATCAAGGTCTTCCCCAACGAAGAGGACCTCACGGACCTGCAGGTCACCATCGAGGGCCCTGGTGAGTGCGGGGCGGGCAGGGAGGGGCCCTGATGGCAGCCGGGACAGGCAGGCCTCTCCCCCTGCAGGCGCCCGGGCTGCAGGGCAGGACAGCACGAGTGACAATAACCGCGGGCACGTCTGTAGGGAGACAGCCTGGTGGCCACGGGAGCATTTGAGGGGACCTTCCCTGGGGCGGGGCAGGGCTGTCAGAGGATCCCCAGGACCTCCAGGGGGCTGGAGTCCAGGGGGGTGGCAAGAGGCTGCCCCGGGGGTGAGAGCAGCAGCACAGCCTGGAGGACCTGGTTCCGTGCGGTGACAGGCGCTGGGGCGGTCAGGGTCACGGGTGACAGGAGGTACACATGTCTCAGGCCCACTGCCTTCCTGTTCCCGACTTCCACAGGGGGAGGTGGCGAAGGGCCAGTCAGGAGTGGAGGGGGCACAGTGGGGGCGAGTCCTGCTGTGCTTCATGAGGATGGCACTGGGGGCACGGACACTCCTGGAAGCAGAGAAGGAGAGCCCCTGAAGCTTTTAGGGAGCAGAGCCTCTAGGGCCTCTCAGAGGAAGCTGTTGGCGGGTGTGAGGCAGGGGTGACGGCCCTGCAGCGCTCACTGTGGCTTCAGGGGAGGGGGGATAGGAGCTGGAGGCGGGCGGCCACTGCGGGCACCGGTGTGGAAGCCCTGGAGGCGGGCTGCTCGGTGCGGAGGTGTCAGATGTTGGGACTGGGCAGGAGGAAGGCCCTGGGTCCGAACACCCACGGCCTTTTGGCTGGGCGGAGTGCGTGGCCTGAGACCGGCTGTCCCTCGCCCTCGGGGCTTCCAGGTGGACACTCGGGGAGTGAGGCTGGGGCTGCACTTGGGAGAGGAGAGGCGTCAGGGTGCAGACCGGGACTCTGGGTGACGCCAGGGTGAGGGGGCTGTCCTGGTCCCGTCTGGAGGCGGCGGCAGGGTGCTTGCGTCACAGCCAGACGGCTTTGGGGGTTCACCGGGGGCTGGGGGTGCTGTCTGCTTCCTGACCCGGCCCCTGCGCGCTCCAGAGGGGACCCCGTACGCCGGAGGCCTGTTCCGGATGAAACTCCTGCTGGGGAAGGACTTTCCCGCCTCCCCGCCCAAGGGCTACTTCCTGACCAAGATCTTCCACCCCAACGTGGGCGCCAACGGCGAGATCTGCGTCAACGTGCTCAAGCGGGACTGGACGGCGGAGCTGGGCATCCGGCACGTGCTGCTGGTGAGGCGGGCGCGGGCCCGGGGGCGGCATTGCTGTTCCTGGGGGGGGGGGGGGGTGCTGTGTGGGGAAACCCAGGTCCCCCCTTTCCCGGAAAAGCGGGAGCTGGCCCAGCCGGGGGCCCGGCACCCGGACACTGCCCACCCCGTACAGGGTGGTCAGGCCCGGGCACTCCGCGGGAACCCGTGGTGGGAGGGACGCGATGTGACCCTTCTGAAGGGCACAGTTGGCTGGCTGTTTGGTAGTCAGCAAGTCTGTGCAGTCCCCAGCCATTCCAGAACATTCTCACAGACATCGTTTCTCAGCCAGGGGATGGTGCCCCGGGGACACGGGTAATCGTGGCGTGTGGTGGGGGAGAGCAGGGACAGGCCCAGGGACAGGCCCAGATGGAGGTGGCCTGGACTGCACCTGCCCCAGGGCCTGGCGGCTGCTGCCTCCCCACCCGCCAGGAGGTTAACGAGCCCCAGGGGCCTGGTTGGGAGGCCGGGGAGGCCGAGCGCCAGGGTAAACAGACCTCAGCCCCTCTCCTCCTGAGAGTCGGTGCTGGCTTCCCGGGGCTCGGATGACCCTCTGATGACCCCCAGGGCGTGTGGGGCGCAGGGGCCCGTGAGGGCCAGGCCGGGTGCCTGCTCATCTATCTCAGTGCAGTGATGTCTGCGTGATGGGCCAGGCCGGCCGCGCCTCTCAGAGGCCGGGGAGGGCCGCTTACCCCGGGGCCTGTCTTGGCTGTGGCTGCTCTTGGGGTGCCGGTTCAGGCCAGTGACCGCGCTGGTTCTCGCCTCTTCCCGTGGTTCCCCAAGAGGAGCTGGAGCCTCAGACGGCCCCTCGCTCCCGTCCGGGAAGCCCCTCCCTCCATGGCGGGTGTTTGGCTCTGCCCCCTGACCGGGCCCTCTCCCCGCAGACCATCAAGTGCCTGCTGATCCACCCCAACCCCGAGTCCGCCCTCAACGAGGAGGCGGGCCGCCTGCTGCTGGAGAACTACGAGGAGTACGCGGCCCGCGCCCGCCTGCTCACCGAGATCCACGGCGGCGCCGGCGGGCCCAGCGCCAGGCCCGAGGCCGCCGCCCCCGCGGCCCCCGGGGGCCCGGGCGGCGCCGAGGGGCCCATGGCCAAGAAGCACGCGGGCGAGCGCGACAAGAAGCTGGCGGCCAAGAAGAAGACGGACAAGAAGCGGGCGCTGCGGCGGCTGTAGGGGTGCAACCCTCTCTGTCTCTAAGTTATTTAAGTTATGGCTGGGTGGGGGAGGGGGCCCGGGACTGGATTTGTTTTTCTAAATAAAGTTGGAAAAGCAAGCAGCAGCGGCGCCTCTTAGTGCCCGGATCAGCCCTGCCGGGGCTCAGAGCAGCCGCCGGCCCACCCTCGGTGCCACATGGGGTCCACGCACAGGACTCTCAGCTCCGGGGGCCCTCAGCGAGCTCTGGGGCACCTCTGGTCTCTGGCGCTGGGGGGAGACACAGCCCCTCGTCAGATCGCATCTTGAATGGGGAGGGGAGGGGCCCGGGGCCTGCCCGGCCAGGTGACAGGTGTAGGGAGCCTTGCTCTTCCTGACAGGCCTTGTCTGTCTGTCCACTGAGCGAAGTTCTGCCCGCACACCCGGACCCAGCGCTGGCCTTACGGTTTGTAACTAGAACGAGGCACGTGTGTCCTGTCCGTGTGCAGAAGTCACCGAGCCTGGCAGCACAGCGGACACGTCTCCCGGTCTCTGTGGTCAGAGCCCGGAGTGCTGGGAGCTGCTGGGTGCACACAGGTGAGGTGCCGGCCTCCACAGGCCCTTCAGTCCCTCCTTAAGGTCATGGTGGGTTTCAGGTGGGGGGGGCGTGTCCTGGCCTCCAGTGTTCGGCCCCAGGGCCGGGTCCGCCCAGGCTCAGCTGACCAGGCGATGTGACCGCAGGAACTGCCCCATACTTCAGGCTTTGCCCCCGTTTCCTGTCCATTCTCCATAATTCTGTGGGCGTGTGTAGGGCCCCCAGGAAACAGTGTCAGAAATGACCATAATCGCTGCCAGGTGGCCATGCACCAAAGGCTGCGGGTTCGATCCCCAGGCAGGGCATACAGGAGCCCGACCGCTGACCTAAGTTTTCCCCTCTCCCTTTCCTCTAAAGTCAATTTTAAAAACATCCTTGGGTGAGGATTTTAAGAAAAGCTGCCATAAAATGCAAAAATGGAATGACCCATTTGTTCACTAGTTGAATGAGAAGGAATTGTGAACTCATACAATGAAATCTCAGCGAACACAACGGATGAGTCTCACAACTATTAATGGGCTGAAAGTAAAACATGCAGTGCTCTTTGTATGACATTCTAGAGGAGGCCAGACTAACCTCGTGGCTGAAAGCAGGTCGTTGGCAGTGTGGGATCGGGGATGCTCGAAGGAGGGGCATGGGGATGCTTTTTGGGGGGAGGTCCTTTTAGAACGTTTTTAAAAATTTCAGAGAGGAAGGGAGAGAAACATCAATAAGAGAGAATCATTTATCAGTTGCCTCCTCCTGCATGCTCCCCACAGCATGTGCCCTGGACCAGAATCGAACCTGGGACCCTTGAGTCTGCAGGCCGATGCTCTACCCACTGAGCCAGGGCTGATTTTTTATTATTTTTTTAAGGCAAAGACAGCCCTGGCCAGTATGTTTCAGTTGCTTGGAGCATGGCTCCCAGCACTGGGAGGTGTGGGTCAGGGCACATAGGTTGTAGGTTTGGCCCTTGGTGGGGGCACACACAGGAGGTAACCAATCAAGTTTCTCACATTGATGTTTCTCCCCTTTCCTCTCCCTGAAATACAAAAAGCAAAGAATTGTTCATTTTAAAGGCAAAAGTTTCTACCAAGAAATAGCTCCCTTACCCTAGCCAGTTTGGATACAGTGTCGGCCTGCGGACTGAAGGGTCTCAGGTTGGAATCCAGTCAAGGGCACATGCCCGGGATTCCAGGCTGGATTCCCAGTAGGGAGCATGCAGGAGGCAACCGATCATTGATTTTCCTCATTGATGTTTCTCTACTTCTCCCTTCCTCTCTGAAATTAATAAATATACATCTTTTTAAAACAGGGCTCCTTCTCAAGTCCTTTCTTCCCAACACCCAGTACTCTTATTTTTTTTTTTTATTTGATTTTTTTATAGAGAGGAAGGGAGAGGAATAGAGTTAGAAACATCAATTAGAGAGAATCGAACCATGACCTCTTGGCTCATAAGTCAACACTCAACCACTGAGTTACATACACCGGACAGACAGCAGATTTAAATGTGTTCCTCTGGCCCTGGCTCAGTTGGCTAGAGCAGCGTCCCAATACCCCAGGGACATACAAGAATCAACCAGCCGCCAAAACCGGTGTGGCTCAGTGGATAGAGCGCCGGCCTGCGGACTGAAAGGTCCCAGGTTCGATTCCGGTCAAGGGCATGTACCCTGGTTGTAGGCACATCCCCAGTGGGGGGTGTGCAGGAGGCAGCTGGTCGATGTTTCTCATCGATGTTTCTAACTCTCTATCCCTCTCCCTTCCTCTCTGTAAAAAAAAAATATATATATATTTTTTAAAAATCAACCAGCCTTAGCGAGGTTGGCTCCACAAATAGACCAAGGGGTCACAGGTTTGATTCCGGTCAAGAGCGTGTACCGCAGCTGCAGGCTCCTGCCTGGTCCGGTGCGTGCAGGAAGCAACCAGCCGAAGTGTCTCTCTCATATTGCTCTTTCCCTCTCTAACACTCTTCTAAAATTTATGGAAAAATATTCTTCGGTGAGGACGAACAAAACAAAGCTAGTTCCAATATGTTTGTTTTTAAAAAATCAACCAATGAATGCATAAATGGGTGGAACAGCAAATTGATGTTTCTCTCTTCCTCTTAAAAAAAAAAAATATATATATATATATATATATATGCAGATACATACACATATATATTGGTATATACATATATTCTAATCAACAAGCAGGATCCAGTACCCTGTAAGGGTCCCCATCAGCCGACAGCCCTGCCCCACCCTAGCTGCCTGCCTGACACCCATAGCAGAGGTGCGCTGTCCTTCATATCACGTGTCCTGGACCCACTGGCCATACTGTCAAGGAAAACCTTCCCAGTGCAGATGCCCTGGGCGGGCACCTGGGTGCGGGGAGGTGAGGCGGACATGGCGCTGCTGGGTCTGCTCTTCACTGGCAGGTGTGGGAACTGGGAGGGCTGTGGGCCAGGTTGCAGGCTGTGTCCAGGCAAGACGTGGGCAGGGTCACCTCCCCTTGGGAGGGCTGGAGGCGTGGTCAGCCCCCAGCCCAGCAGGGGTCCTCAGCGGCCCTTGGCCAGCGCTGTGGAGTGGGACAGGAGCAGGGTTCATCTCCCCACTGGTCCCTGAGGGCAGGGACAGGGTGTGTGTGTGTGTTTGTGCGCGCACACACACACGCACGCAGCCTCTGATGGTAGGTCCTTGGCCTCCGGCATAGTGGCTGGCGCAGAGCAGGTAGGAAAAAACCGTATCAGGATGTGATGTCAGCGACCGTCCCCCAATACAAACCTGCTGCTGTGTTTAGTGGGGATGCCATCTGCTTTGGGCTGTCTGGGGCACTTGGATGAGCCATGGCCACTCCACACATGTATGCATGTATGTATGTACGTACACACACACAGGGCATGTAAGAGACAAGGTCCAGCTGCTCCAGTAAAAGCCAGAGCACTCGCTATGTGCAGGCTCTGACCTCAGCACTGTGTTCGCTAACCCTCTGGATTTTGACAAGATGCACAGAGAGGTCTAGTACTTGCCTGTGGACACACAGCTGGTGGTGGACACCTGTGATCACAGGCTGATAAACACCAAGAGACTTGAGGCCCGCAGGCAGAGAGTAAAAACGGAGGAGTGGTGAGAGGCCAGAAGAATATTTAAAAATACACTTTGTATTTCAGAGGGAGATAGAAACGTAAACAATGAGAATCACCCACCGGCTGGCTCCTGCACACCCCACACTGGGCAGGAGGCCACCAGTTGGATTCCCAGTCAGAGCTCATGCCTGGGTTGCAGGGTCCACCCCCAGGAGGAAGCATGCAGGAGGCAGCCGATCCACGATTCTCTCTCATCAATATTTCTCTCGCTCCCTGAAATCAATAAAAATAGAAGACCCGGATGGTAGCCACTCCTCCCTCCACTGGCCACACAGACGGGGCCGGAGTGGAGGTGCAGTGAGCGGAGCTGACCACCCCGTGTGCTGGCCTAGTTACTCGCTAGGGTCTCCCTGCCCCGATCCGGCCCCTCCAGTCCCAACACGCTGCCCGGCTCCCGTGGCGTGGGGGCCCCCCCCCCGAGACAGCTGACGGTTGCAGCCCCACGGCCGGGTCACACACATACACACACACTGGAGGCCGGAGGGGGTCGGAGGCGAGCAGTGCTGCCTTTATTGTCTGGGGGAGGGGGGGCGCTCAGGAGCTCTTGGTGGGCCGCGCCCGCTTCCTCTTCACCACCACGGGCTTCTGGCTGCGCAGGATGGCGCTGGCCCGGCGGATGGCCGCCATGCGCAGGTCCGGCCGGTACTTGTTCTTGCGGATCATGTGCCGGATGCTGCTCAGCGTGGCCCGCGCGTTCTTGTTGATGGTGGTGCGCACGTAGGAGGTGGCCGGCTTCCGCTGGCCTGGGGGGTGGGGGTGGACAGAGTCCGTCAGATGGCCTGGGCACTCCCGGGGGCGAGGGCACACGGCACCCCGAGAACCGAGAGCCCTGGCTGTGAGCCTGGCAGGCAGCCTGCTCCATCTCCACAGATTCCCGGACAGCCTGGCAGGTTTGGCTCAGTGGATAGAGCACTGGCCAGCAGACTGAAGGACCAATGGTTCAATTCCAGTTAACGGCACATGCCCGTTGTGAGCTTGACCCCCAGGAGGGGGCATGCAGGAGGCAGCCAATCAACGACTCTCATTATTGATGTTTCAATCTCCCTTCCTCTTTTTTTTTTTTTAAATATATTTTATTGATTTTTCACAGAGAGGAAGAGAGAGGGATAGAGTTAGAAACATCGATGAGAGAAAATCATCTATCAGCTGCCTCTTGCACACCCCCTACTGGGGATGCACCCGCAACCAAGGTACATGCCCTTGACCGGAATCGAACCCGGGACCCTTCAGTTCCCAGGCCGATGCTCTATCCACTGAGCCAAACCGGTCCCGGCTCCCTTCCTCTCTTAAATCAATTAGAAATATATACATATATATTTAAAAACCATAATCCCTGACCAGTGTGGCTCAGTGGATAGAACCATGGCCTGCAGACTGAAGGGTACCTTGGTTGCGGGCACATCCCCTGTAGGGATTGTGCAGGAGGCAGCTGGTCAAGGTTTCTAACTCTCTATCCATCTCCCTTCCTCTCTATAAAATATCAATAAATATATTTAAAAGTATATGTTAAAAAATAAATTTTTCCGGGACACCCCACCAGGTACGGCAACTCCTCCTCTCTGTCTGAGACACAGTAACGCCCACCATCTCGCTTGAGCAGATGCGGGAGGACTCCTGTCCAGTCACACACACAGCAGTTGTGGGAACCCAGGCCGCCTGAGCCTGGGCACAGGGTGAGGCGGGCACTGGGCACCGAGCTGGCCAGTTACTGCCCGTCCCTCCTCTGCACTGCAGCGCCTCCTCCCCGCCCGCCCCCGGGCCCAGGCACCCGCTCTGGACGAGGGTCTGAGGCCACGCCCAGGCCTGGCCCTGACGCTGGGGAGACCTGGCGCAGAGGGAGTCCGGCTCCCGGCCCAGAATTCAGCCATGGACCCCATGCCAGGGGTATGGCTAAGTCACTGCCCCAGAGCACGCCCCACAGTAGCTGCCCAGGTCGGTCTAGCTCCCGACAGCCTGGGAAAGGCCACTCGGCAGTCCGAGGGGAGGTTTTAGGACCCACACACCAGAATGAGGAGCATGGACACCTGAGAAGCCACTGGGCCGGGGACTGGGTGCTCTCCTCCTCCTCCAGGACCGGCAGGGTCACTGCCACCAGGAGCTGGCAGCCCAAGGCCACGGCCACTGCTGACCGTGAACAGGACGCTGAGACCTGACCCCAAACAGAGAGTGGCCCTCGCCGGGACCTGGGACAGCTCGTTCCTCTTAAAAACCTCCGCAAGGAGCAGCCCTGCTGGCAGCCCGAGGCCGTGACTCTGAATTCCCGGAGCTCCTCCCAGACACTCGAACGTCTACGAGGCAGTTTCTGGGGTGGATTCTCCCCTTGAGCCCAGAGAAATGGGGGGGGGGGGATCAAACTGCTGTTTCCAATCAGCCTGTCACCTACAAGTGGGAGCTGGCGGGAGGCTTGCCAGATTTACCTACATTCTCCCACAGGCATTGAGATGGAGACGCCCACCACCAGCTGGGCTGTTTGGAGGACTTAACCTTAAAACTCTGGGTCCTGAGCAACCCTGTAACTTTTTTTTTTTTTTTTTTACAGAGAGGAAGAGCGGAGGGATAGAAGAGAGTTGGAAACATCAACCAGCTGCCTCCCGCACATCTCCTACCGGGGATGTGCCCGCATCCAAGGTACATGCCCTTGCCCTGAATCAAACCTGGGACCCTTCAGTCCGCAGGCCGGTGCTCTATCCACTGAGCTAACCAGGCTAGGGTGGCAGCCCTGTAATTTCATCCTAATCACTACCACCAGGACACACAGGGCAGGACCTGTGAATTCTTCCACTTTGCAGAGGACAAACCAAGTTAAAGACCCGGCCAGCTCACACAGAGGCCGGGCAGCTTCCCCGAGGAATACACCCTGACCCCCGGAGTGCCAGGGGCACAATTCCTCCGCTTGCCCAACACCGACCACCCACAGCTCCCTGCCGCGATGTGGGCCCGGGGCCAGGGCAACGCTCACCGGACCGGCGCTTCATGATGACCACCACGCCTTTGCCGTCAGGCGCCGGCTCCACGCCCACCGTCTTGCGGTGGATCAGGCCGTTGTAGCGAAAGGAGTTGCGGGCCTTCAGGTTATTGGGTTCCTGGGGAGGGAGGGCGCATGGCGGGTGGTGGGTGAAGTGGGGGGGGGGGGGGGGTCCCGGAGCCCGGCCAAGTGCCTCCCTCCGCCCCACGAGTCCCGGCCGCGCTTACGGTGCTGTAGGTCTGCTTGTTCCTCTTGATCAGGAAGCTGGAGCAGTTCCGCACGATCATCCATTGCAGGTGGGCGGACATGGCGGCAGCTGCGGGGAGAGGGGGCGCGGGATGGTGTCCAGGGGGGCAGCAGGCTGACGCCGGGCCCCCCCAGGACAACAGAGGGCGGATGTGAGCCGGGACCTGGCGAAAGCAAGACCAGCGGAGGGCAGGCAGCGCTAAGCGATCTGCCAGGCGGGGCTGGACGACCCAAGGCGGAGGCGCTGAACTTGGGCGCCGAGACTAACTCCGGGGGGAGAAGGGGACGGGAGAATCCGCAGCGGCTTCCGGTGGCGGGGTCGGGGGGGAGCCAAGGACGCGAGGGGCACGATGAGAAAGGCCGAGGGGGGCAAACACGGGGCGGGGGGCGCGGGACGCGGCCACGCGGGGAGCACAAGGCCTCCGCTCACCTCCTCGCGCCGCGGCAGCCGGAGACGGAAAGAGGCTCGCGAGGGGCGGGGCGACGCCTTTAATACCGATACGCATTTCCGTTTCCTCTCTGGGGACGCGCGCGCGCCGCCTCCTGACCCCGCCCCCAAGGCGGCTCGGCGACGTTCGGCTACTTCCGCCAACTTCGTTCGGGAGCTTCGGAACTCTTCGGCGGGAGACCCCAAGGCGTTCCGGGGCCGCTCGGTTGTTTCCGGAACTGTACGGCTGGGTTTCCGACGGGGCCAAGCCCTTTCGTCAGCGGTCCATCCTCTCCCCCTAGGATGGCTCACCCAGCGCTTGGCACAGGGTGGGCGCTCAGCAAACATTTGTTTTGGGGTTTATGTTTATGAATGAACGTGTGAGTGCGTGAACTCTTTAAGCCCAGCCCCGGAGTCCCCGGCGCTTCCGGCCTTCTCCGTGAGCGCTCGGCTGTAGCCGGAAGGCCCACTCGGGCGCCTTCGGAACTCTCCGGAAATGCTCTTCGGAGAGGGTGGCCGCCCTTCGTTTGGGCCCCTGCCGGGTTCGGGTCTGTTCGGGCACTTGGGGACCCTTCAGGCCCCTCGTTTCCCCCCTCTTCGGGGTCCTTTTGGAATAAAGTCTTCAAGCGCTGGGCCTAGAGAGAAGCCAGACCTCAACTCGTCGCAGACACCCCCCCACCTCGGGGAGCGCGGGTTTCCCCTCAGGGCGACCTGTTTGCAGGAAAAGGGATTTGCCTGGGAAAGCCCTTGGTCCCTCCCTTTAGGGGTCCCACACCTGCCGCCCAGCCCCCTGCCCATCCTCCCCTTGAGCCCACTATGTTGCACCCCATAAACTCCCTGCGAGTCTACTTTCTGCGTATTTCCTTCTTTAAAAAATATTTTTTTATTAATTTTTGACAGAGAGGAAGGGAGGAGAGAGCCAGAAACATCGATGAGAGAGAAACACCCATCAGCCGCCTCCTGCACACCCTCCACTGGGGTCCCGCCCGCCACCAAGTCACACGCCCCCGACCGGAATCGAACCTGGGACCTACCCCCTCACCCCTCATCCCCAGTCCGCAGGCCGACGCTCTATCCACTGAGCAAACCCGGCTTCGGCTGGCCCCTGGCGTTGACCCCACCTGGCCTCGCCGTGGGTGCACGGAAGGCGCTGGAGGCGGAGAGGACACAACGGGGCCCCGCGCCCCGCGCTCCCGGACTCCGTTAGCGCGTCCTGAGCGCTGGCCACGTGTTGCTCCTGCTCCTTGGGGGTGCGGGAACCCTCTGGGTCCCCCTCCTGCCCCAGCGGGGTTCCCCTCACCCCCAGCCCCGGGCCCCGCACCGGAAACCCCGGCCAGAGCCGGCCCGCCGCCGCCGCCGGCTCCGATGACCAGCTGGCCGGCTGCGGGGCGCACCTGGCGCCGGCCCCGACCCCGCCCCGCCGGGCGGGCGGCGCCGGAACAGCCGGCCCGGAGCCAGCGCGGAGCCCGGCATGGCGGCGGCGGCGGCCGTGAGCGTCCCGCAGGGCCCCGCGCCCCCCGCGCCCGCCGCGCCCGCGCCCCCCGCGCCCCCCGCCGCCGGGCTGGGCCGCTGCCGCGCGGCGCTGCTGCTGGCCGTGGCGCTGGACGTGGCGGGCATGGCGGCGCTGCTGACCGGCGTGTTCGCGCAGCTGCAGGTGCGCGGCCGCGACTTCGGCGACCTGCTCATCTACTCGGGCGCGCTGCTGGTGTTCGTGAGCCTGCTGGGCTGGATCCTCTGGTACACCGGCAACATCGAGATCTCCCGCCAGGAGCTCGAGCGCGACTACGGCCTGCGGCCCTCGGCGCTCGCCCGCCTGGCGCGCAAGCTGTCCCGCCGCTGGTCCGCGCCCGCCGCCGCCGGCCCGCGCGCGCCCGGGGCCAGGGGCGCCCGCCGCGCCCCCCGCGCGCCCCCGCCGGGCGCCGGCTCCCGCCGCGTGCGCCTGCAGCTCGCCACGCTCGAGGCCGCGCCGGGGTCCGCGGGCGCCGGCCCCGACTGAGCCCCCCGAGGTGAGCGGCCCGGGGGCGGGGCGGGGCGGGCGGGGAGGGGATGGAGGGCGAGGGAAAGAGGGAGGGGCCCCGGGGAGGAGAGCGGGGCTTCGGGGGAGGTGGGAGGAGGGATGAGGGAGACCCAGGGGGAGATGGTGTGTGTGTGTGAGAGAGAGAGAGAGGGAGGGAGGGAGGGAGGGAGAGACCATGCCCTGGCTGGTGTGGCTCAATGGTTAGAGCGTCGGCCTGCGGACTGAAGGGTCCCAGGTTCGATTCCGGTCAAGGGCATGTACCTTGGTTGCGGGCACTTCCCCAGTAGGAGGTGTGCAGGAGGCAGCTGCTCGATGTCTCTAACTATCCCTCTCTTTTCCTCTATAAACAATCAATAAAATATATTATTTTTTAAAAAGAGAGATAGAGACCATGCAGCGAGAGACACCCAGGCCCAGACAGAGCAGCAGAGACCCTGGGGATGGGGGGGGGGGGGGGGGCAGGCAGGAGTGCAGACGTGGGAGGCACCTTGAGATAGAAAGCTAGAAACACAGAAGAGAGAGAAACCTCGTTCAGCTGAGCTGCCCTCTGCACACGCCCCACTAGATATGTTTCTGCAACCAAGGTACACACCCTTGACCAGAATTGAACTTGGGACCCTTGAGCCCACAGGCGGAAGCTCTATCCACTGAGCCAAACCGGTTAGGGCTGGTGCCACCTCTTGCCCAAGGGCACACAGCTGGGATTCTCCTGCCCAAAGGTGTAAGGAGAGCCCTAGCTGGTGTGGCTCAGTGGATAGAGCACTGTGCTGTGTGTGGACTGAAGGGTCCCAGGTTTGCTTCCGCTCAAGGGGACATGCCACGGTTGCAGACTCAATCCCCAATAGGGGGCGTGCAAGAGACAGCCGATCAACGATGAGAATGTTTCTCTTTCCCTCTCCCTCTCTGAAATCAATTTTTTATTTTATTTTTTAAGAAATATATTTTATTGCCGAAACTGGTTTGGCTCAGTGGATAGAGCGTCGGTCTGCGGACTGAAGGGTCCCGGGTTCGATTCCGGTCAGGGGCATGTACGTTGGTTGTGGGCACATCCCCGGTAGGGGGTGTGCAGGAGGCAGCTGGTCGATGTTTCTCTCTTATCTACATTTCTAGCTCTCTGTCTCTCTCCCTTCCTCTCTGTAGAAAATCAATAAAATATATTTTAAAAAAAGAAATGTTAAATATATATATATATAAAAAAATATATATATATATATTATTGATTTTGTACAGAGAGGAAGGGAGAGGGATAGTTAGAAACATTGATGAGAGAGAGTCATTGATCAGCTGCCTCTTGCACACCCCCTACTGGGGATATGCCCGAAACCAAGGTACATGCCCTTGACTGGAATCGAACCCGGGACCCTTCAGTCCCCAAGCCTACGCTCTATCCATTGAGCTAAACCGGTCTTGGCTGAAATCAATTTAAAAAAAAAATTTCCAAAAAGAAAGTCTCGCCCTAGCTGGTTCGGCTCAGTGGATAGAGCACCGGCCTGCGAAACAAAGGGTCCTGGGTTCGATTGGGGTTCGATTTGGGTCAGGGGCACGTACTCCCGTAGCAGGCTCCCCCCTGGCCCCAGCCCTGGTTGCGGCTCATGCAGGAGGCAATCAATCCATTGTTTCTCTCTGTCTCTCCCTCTCTCTTCCACTCTCCCTAAAAATCAATGGAAAGGTATCCCCGGGCAAGGATTTTTTTAAAAGAAAAGAAAAAGAAAGTCTAGCCCTGACGGGAGTGTTGGCCTGCGGACTGACAGGTCCCCGGTTCGATTCCAGCCCAGGGCATGTACCTTGGTTGTGGGCACATCCACAGTGGGGCGTGTGCAGGAGGCAGCTGATGGATGGGTGGATGGATGGATGGATGAATGGATAAGTGGATGAATGGGTTGATGGGTGGGTGGCCGGGTGGGTGGATGGATGGGTGAATGGAAGGGTGGATGGACAGATGGGTGGATGGGAAGGTGGATGAATAGATGGATGGATGGATGGATGGATGGATGGATGGATGGATGGATGGATGGATAAGTGGATGAATGGGTTGATGGGTGGGTGGCTGGGTGGGTGGGTGGATTCCAGACACAGAAATCCTCCTCAGTGGGAGGGTGAGGTGCTCCCAGCTCATGAATTTTAACAGAAGGACCCACAGGTCCTGGCTCCAGTGCCTCTCCTCCCACTCTGGGACCAACATTAGTTGCGTGGCCATGCACTTACCCTTTGTCACTTGTCCTGTCTTCTCTCTCTCTCTCTCCCTCTCTCTCCCCCCCTCTCCCTCTCTCTCCCCATGTCTCCCACATCTCTGTCCCCCTGCACCTGTCTCTCCTGGTCTCGGTCCCCACCTGGACCACGTGTCCGTGAGTGAAAGCCACCTGGGCGCTGCAGCCACCAGGGCGTGGAGGGGTGAGGAGACCTGGGCCGGCCTCAGGCAGAGGGAGAGGGGCTGATGCGGGGGGACGGCTTCCCGGGGTGCCCTGGCCGCTGGGCGGTGAGTGCAGAGAACTCAGGGCTCCGGGGTCCCCAGCAGCCACTGACACCTCCCTCCCGCCCTCCTGCAGACAAAGCCAAGGATGCCCCTGTGAGGACCGGACTGAGACGCAGCTGGCCCCCTCCCGTGGCCTCAGGACGCCTCCCCACCAGGATGCTCCCTGTCGCCTGCATAAAGGACTGCCTCCCAGCTCCGCTTGTCTCTCTGGGCGGGCGCCTCCGGGGCGGGGCGGGCGGCTGAGGGGACTGGGTCCGGCCACATGCACGTGAGCATGCCAGGCCCCGGGGACAGGGCGCCCAGCTCTCCAGCCCAGACCACCCTCTGGGCCCAGACGCCCCCACCCGGGACCCTCCGAGAATCAGGTGACCAGACGTCCCGCTGGGGGCGGGACAGTGCCCATGTCTAACAATCTGTCCCACGTCCCACGCGTTTAAAAACCAAAGGACTTGGTTGTGCACGCCGATGGGCCTGGCCAGCGGCCGTAGACAACAGGGGGGGTGGGGGCATCTGTGGGGAGGGGTTTGGGGTGGGAATGGGGGGATGAGGACAATGGACAATGATGTGAGACCATAATCAATAACATTTTTAAGAAGTAAAATAGTCTCGATGTTTGGAAGAGTCTTTCCAAACATCGGGACTGTTTTTAAAACCCTGCGGGACAGATCGTTAAAAATCAGGACGTCTGGTCACCTTATCCTAGAAGCAAAGAGAGGGGCAAATCAGACCTGCAAAGATGCTTATTGGGGGGGGGGGGGTACAGAGAGGGGAGGTGGGTGTGGCTCTGGTGCTGGGAGGGGGAGGGGGACGGGGCCAGGAGAGTCAGGGTTCGGTGGCTGATGGAACTGTATCCCGGGTCCCAGAAAGCGTCTGCTGGACCCCGGGACTCTGAGAGGTCAGGTTGTTGTGGGGGGGGGGGTGCTGGGGGGGGGGGTGCAAGAGGAGGCTCACGTCCTGCAGGGACCCCCCCCACACACACACACACACACTGTTCCCACTGGGGAAGCCTGGGAAATGCTGGGAGGTCCCATGGCGGGAGCTGGGGTGTCAGCCCGCCTCAGCCTGGTTCACACCACCCCTAACTCCCTCCTCCCAGACCCCCTTCCACAGCCCAAGCCCTGCCACTCACCCCCCCACACACACACACACCCCGTGCCTCCAGTTCCCTGGCTCTCAGCAAAGAGAGCCAGGTGTCTGTATGCTCTATCTCTATCCTTTTTTCTTCTCTTTTTCTAAAACTATTTTTTTATATTGATTTCAGAGAAGAAGGAAGAGGGAGCGAGAAACATCAACGGTGAGAGGATCATGGATGGGCTGCCTCCTGCACGCCCCCCACTGGGGACGGAGCCTGTACCCTGGGCAGGTGGCCTGACTGGGAATCGAACTGGGACCTCCTGGTTCCTAGGTTGATGCTCAACCACTGAGCCACACGGGCTGAGCCATCTTTATTCTTTTTTTTTTTTTTTTTTTTTTTTTTTTTTTTTTTTTTTTTTTTTTTTTTTGCGGGGGGAGAGGAAGGGAGAGGGAGAGAGCGAGAGAAACATCCGCGACGGGAGAGAATCGAGGACCGGCCGCCTCCTGCACGCCCGAGCCCTGTGCCCCTGCCGGGAATCGAACCCTTACCTCGGGTTCCAGGGTCGCGGTCAGCCGCGGAAGCACGCGGCCGGGCTGCATTCTCCATCTTTATTGAGGGGCCCTCGGGCGCCCTACCCCTCCCCCGCGGTGTCCTCCGCCTCCGTGGCCGAGGCCCCCCCTCGCAGACTTGCTGGCCGCCTGGCTGCTGGCCTGGGACTTGGCCTTCGACCTCTTCGCCTGCGCGGAGCTGGAGGGCCAGGGCGTGGGGCGCCGAGACATCCCCTTCGCCGGGAGGCCCAGGGCGTCCCGGCTCTTCACCCACCTGCAGGGAGCACGCTCAGCCCCGCCCGGCGCTGCCCGCCTCCTGCCCCTGCCCTCCTCCCCTCCTCCTCCTCTTCCTCCCCCTCCTCCTCCTCTCCCTTCTCCTCCTTCCCTCCTCCTCCTCTCCCTTCTCCTCCTTCCCTCCTCCTCCTCTCCCTTCTCCTCCTCCCCCCTCCTCCCCCTCCTCCCCCTCCTCCTGCTCCTGCCCTCCTCCCCCTCCTCCCCCTCCTCCTCCTCCTCCCCCTCCTCCTCCTCCTCCCCCTCCTCCCCCTCCTCCCCCTACTCCTCCTCCTCCCCCTCCTCTCCCTCCTCCCCTCCTCCTCCTCTTCCTCTCCCTCCTCCTCCTGCCCCTGCCCTCCTCCCCTCCTTCTCCTCTTCCTGTTCCTCCTCCTCCCTTCCTCCCCCTCCTCCTCCTCTCCCTTCTCCTCCTCCCCTCTCCTCCCCCTCCTCCTGCTCCTGCCCTCCTCCCCCTCCTCCTCCTCCTCCCCCTCCTCCCCCTCCTCCTCCTCTTCTTCTTCCTCCCCCTCCTCCTCCTCCTCTTCCTCCTCCCCCTCCTCCTTCTCCTCCCCCTCCTCTCCCTCCTCCCCTCCTCCTCCTCTTCCTCCTCCCCCTCCTCCTCCTCCCTCCTCCTTCCCCCTCATCCTGCTCCTGCCCTCCTCTCCCTCCTCCTCCTGCTCCTGCCCTCCTCCCCCTCCTCCCCCTCCCCCTCCTCTCCCTCCTCCTCCTGCTCCTGCCCTCCTCCCCCTCCTCCCCCTCCCCCTCCTCCTCCCTCCTCCTCCCGCTCCTGCCCTCCTCCCCTCCTCCTCCCCCTCCCCCTCCTTCCCCTCTTCCTCCTCTCCCTCCCCCTCCCCCTCCCCTCCCCCCTCCCCCTCCCCCTCCCCTCCTCCCCCCTCCCCCTCCCCCTCCCCCTCCCCCCTCCCCCTCCCCCTCCCCCTCCTCCCCCTGCGGCCCGGCCTCCCCAGCCCCACTCGCCAGTACAGCAGGACGCTGAAGATCACGAACAGCAGCGCCGCGCAGGTCCAGCTCAGCGCCCACAGGTGCTTCAGCCGCATATTCTCTGGACAGACACGGCCGTGAGCCCGCCGGCCCCGCCCGCCCCCCGCGCCGCCCGGCACTCACCGTCCGGCCGCTGGTGGTAGCAGATGCCGTCCCGGTAGCAGCATCGCAGGCGCAGACACAGATTGGGGTTCTCGATGGCCGCCTGCCCCCCACAGCTCTCCCGGTTCCACACATCTCCCTCACAGCCTGGCGGGCAGGGGCTGTCAGAGCCCCCCAGGGCCGCGGCCCAGGAGCCCAGGCTGACACCCAGCTCTGCCTGGTGCGGGCTCCGCCTGGACCCCAGCCTCCGCCCTCACACCCAGGAGCCCAGGCCCAGCCTCCGCCCTCAGACCCAGGAGCCCAGGCCCCCAGCCTCCGCCCTCAGACCCAGGAGCCCAGGCCCCCAGCCCTCCTCCCTCAGACCCAGGAGCCCAGGCCCCCAGCCACCTCCCTCAAACCCAGGAGCCCAGGCCCCCAGCCCTCCTCCCTCAGACCCAGGAGCCCAGGCCCAGCCTCCGCCCTCAGACCCAGGAGCCCAGGCCCCCAGCCCTCCTCCCTCAGGCCCAGGGGGTCCCCCAACCCCTCCTCCCTCAGACCCAGGAGCCCAGGCCCAGCCTCCTCCCTCGGACCCAGGAGCCCAGGCCCAGCATCCGCCCTCAGACCCAGGAGCCCAGGCCCCCAGCCTCCTCCCTCAGACCCAGGAGCCCAGGCCCAGCCTCCGCCCTCAGACCCAGGAGCCCAGGCCCAGCCTCCTGCCTCAGACCCAGGAGCCCAGGCCCAGCCTCCGCCCTCAGACCCAGGAGCCCAGGCCCCCAGCCCTCCGCCCTCAGACCCAGGAGCCCAGGCCCAGCCTCCGCCCTCAGACCCAGGAGCCCAGGCCCAGCCTCCGCCCTCAGACCCAGGAGCCCAGGCCCCCAGCCCCTCCTCTCTCAGACCCAGGAGCCCAGGCCCCCAGCCCTCCTCCCTCAGACCCAGGAACTAAAGCCCAGGCTCACCCTCCGCCCTCAGACCCAGGAGCCCAGGCCCCCAGCCTCCTCCCTCAGACCCAGGAGCCCAGATCCCAGCCCTCCTCCCTCAGACCCAGGAGCCCAGCCCCCAGCCCTTCCTCCCTCAGACCCAGGAGCCCAGGCCCCCAGCCTCCTCCCTCAGACCCAGGAGCCCAGACCCCCAGCCCTCCTCCCTCAGGCCCAGGGGGTCCCCCAACCCCTCCTCCCTCAGACCCAGGAGCCCAGGCCCAGCCTCCTCCCTCGGACCCAGGAGCCCAGGCCCCCAGCCCTCCTCCTTCAGACCCAGGACACCAGCTCCCAGCCCTCCTCCCTCAGACCCAGGACCCCAGGCCCCCAGCCTCCGCCCTCAGACCCAGGAGCCCAGGCCCAGCCTCCGCCCTCAGACCCAGGAGCCCAGGCCCCCAGCCTCCGCCCTCAGACCCAGGAGCCCAGGCCCCCAGCCTCCTCCCTCAGACCCAGGAGCCCAGGCCCCCAGCCCCTCCTCCCTCAGACCCAGGAACTAAAGCCCAGCCTCCGCCCTCAGATCCAGGAGCCCAGGCTCACCCTCCGCCCTCAGACCCAGGAGCCCAGGCCCCCAGCCTCCTCCCTCAGACCCAGGAGCCCAGATCCCAGCCCTCCTCCCTCAGACCCAGGAGCCCAGCCCCCAGCCCTTCCACCCTCAGACCCAGGAGCCCAGGCCCCCAGCCTCCTCCCTCAGACCCAGGAGCCCAGGCCCCCAGCCCTCCTCCCTCAGGCCCAGGGGGTCCCCCAACCCCTCCTCCCTCAGACCCAGGAGCCCAGGCCCAGCCTCCTCCCTCGGACCCAGGAGCCCCCGCCCCCCGCCCTCCTCCTTCAGACCCAGGACACCAGCTCCCAGCCCTCCTCCCTCAGACCCAGGACCCCAGGCCCAGCCTCCGCCCTTAGACCCAGGAGCCCAGGCCCCCAGCCCCTCCTCCCTCGGACCCAGGAGCCCAGGCCCTCAGCCCCCCTCCCTCGGACCCAGGAGCCCAGGCCCTCAGCCCTCCTTCCTCGGACCCAGGAGCCCAGGCCCCCAGCCTCCTCCCTCAGACCTTGGAGCCCAGGCCCCCAGCCCTCCTCCCTCAGACCCAGGAGCCCAGGCCCTCAGCCCCTCCTCCCTCGGACCCAGGAGCCCAGGCCCCCAGCCCCTCCCCGCCTGTGGGAGCCCAGGCCCTCAGCCCCTCCTCCCTCAGACCCAGGAGCCCAGGCCCCCAGCCCCTCCCCGCCTGTGGGAGCCCAGGCCCCCAGCCTCCTCCCTCAGACCCAGGAGCCCAGGCCCCCAGCCCTCCTCCCTCAGACCCAGGGGGTCCCCCAGACCCTTCTCCCTCAGACCCAGGAGCCCAGGCCCCAGCCCTCCTCCCTCAGACCCAGGAGCCCAGGCCCCCAGCCCTCCTCCTCCCTCAGACCCAGGGGGTCCCCAGCCCTCCTCCCTCAGACCCAGGAGCCCAGGCCCCCAGCCTCCTCCCTCAGACCCAGGAGCCCAGGCCCCCAGCCCTCCTCCCTCAGGCCCAGGGGGTCCCCCAACCCCTCCTCCCTCAGACCCAGGAGCCCAGGCCCAGCCTCCTCCCTCGGACCCAGGAGCCCAGGCCCCCAGCCCTCCTCCTTCAGACCCAGGACACCAGCTCCCAGCCCTCCTCCCTCAGACCCAGGACCCCAGGCCCAGCCTCCGCCCTTAGACCCAGGAGCCCAGGCCCCCAGCCCCTCCTCCCCCGGACCCAGGAGCCCAGGCCCTCAGCCCTCCTCCCTCGGACCCAGGAGCCCAGGCCCTCAGCCCTCCTCCCTCGGACCCAGGAGCCCAGGCCCCCAGCCTCCTCCCTCAGACCTTGGAGCCCAGGCCCCCAGCCCTCCTCCCTCAGACCCAGGAGCCCAGGCCCCCACCCCCTCCTCCCCCGGACCCAGGAGCCCAGGCCCCCAGCCCCTCCCCGCCTGTGGGAGCCCAGGCCCTCAGCCCCTCCTCCCTCAGACCCAGGAGCCCAGGCCCCCAGCCCCTCCCCGCCTGTGGGAGCCCAGGCCCCCAGCCTCCGCCCTCAGACCCAGGAGCCCAGGCCCCCAGCCTCCTCCCTCAGACCCAGGAGCCCAGGCTCCCAGCCCTCCTCCCTCAGACCCAGGAGCCCAGGCCCAGCCTCCTCCCTCGGACCCAGGAGCCCAGGCCCCCAGCCCCTCCTCCCTCGGACCCAGGAGCCCAGGCACTCAGCCCCTCCTTCCTCGGACCCAGGAGCCCAGGCCCCAGCCTCCTCCCTCGGACCCAGGAGCCCAGGCCCCCAGCCCCTCCCCGCCTGTGGGAGCCCAGGCCCGGCCTCCGCTCACTCCACGGATAGAAGAATCCCTGGATCCCGTTCCCATCTGTGGAGGAAAGAGAGGCCTCAGGCGCCTGTGGGGGCGGCGGCGCCCCGCTCAGCCCCTGCCCCTCTCCGGCCCCTCACCTACTGAGCCCTGCATCGCCAGGAAGAGGCTCAAGGCTGGGACCCCCCAGCCCACCATTCTCCTCCCCGGACGCCTGGGGCCTCTGGCAGAGACCCCGAGGGCCATCCCCCAGCAACAGCGGGGCCCGCCTGCCTGCCCGCCCGGCGCCCGGGTTCCAAGTTCTGTTGCCAGGGGGCCCCTGGGCCCCGGGAGGGCAGGAAGGGGTGTCACAGTGGCTGCTTGCTGAGGAGCAGGTGGAAGGGCCTCTGGGGTGGGCGGGACTCCCAGGTCTGGGTGCCGGGGGAGAGCGGGTGGTTGGGGTGTCAGCCTCCTCCTGACCCACAGGGGCTTCCTTCCAAGGACTGGGCCCAGAGCCCTCACCACAGAGCCAGGGGTCAGTACGCTGAGGCCGCCCAGCAAGCTGGGGCCTGGACCCCTGGGTCTGAGGGAGGAGGCTGGGGGCCTGGACCCCTGGGTCTGACGGAGGAGGAGGGGCCTGGGCTCCTGGGTCTGAGGGAGGAGGGGCTGGGGCCTGGACCCCTGGGTCTGAGGGAGGAGGAGGGGCCTGGGCTCCTGGGTCTGAGGGAGGAGGGGCTGGGGCCTGGACCCCTGGGTCTGAGGGAGGAGGAGGGGCCTGGGCTCCTGGGTCTGAGGGAGGAGGGGCTGGGGGCCTGGACCCCTGGGTCTGAGGGAGGAGGAGGGGCCTGGGCTCCTGGGTCTGAGGGAGGAGGGGCTGGGGCCTGGACCCCTGGGTCTGAGGGAGGAGGAGGGGCCTGGGCTCCTGGGTCTGAGGGAGGAGGGGCTGGGGCCTGGACCCCTGGGTCTGAGGGAGGAGGAGGGGCCTGGGCTCCTGGGTCTGAGGGAGGAGGGGCTGGGGCCTGGACCCCTGGGTCTGAGGGAGGAGGAGGGGCCTGGGCTCCTGGGTCTGAGGGAGGAGGGGCTGGGGGCCTGGACCCCTGGGTCTGAGGGAGGAGGAGGGGCCTGGGCTCCTGGGTCTGAGGGAGGAGGCTGGGGCCTGGACCCCTGGGTCTGAGGGAGGAGGGCTGGGGGCCTGGACCCCTGGGTCTGAGGGAGGAGGGCTGGGGGCCTGGGCTCCTGGGTCTGAGGGAGGAGGGGCTGGGGGCCTGGGCTCCTGGGTCTGAGGGAGGAGGGGCTGGGGCCTGGACCCCTGGGTCTGAGGGAGGAGGAGGGGCCTGGGCTCCTGGGTCTGAGGGAGGAGGGGCTGGGGCCTGGACCCCTGGGTCTGAGGGAGGAGGAGGGGCCTGGGCTCCTGGGTCTGAGGGAGGAGGGGCTGGGGCCTGGACCCCTGGGTCTGAGGGAGGAGGAGGGGCCTGGGCTCCTGGGTCTGAGGGAGGAGGGGCTGGGGGCCTGGACCCCTGGGTCTGAGGGAGGAGGAGGGGCCTGGGCTCCTGGGTCTGAGGGAGGAGGCTGGGGCCTGGACCCCTGGGTCTGAGGGAGGAGGGCTGGGGGCCTGGACCCCTGGGTCTGAGGGAGGAGGGCTGGGGGCCTGGGCTCCTGGGTCTGAGGGAGGAGGGGCTGGGGGCCTGGGCTCCTGGGTCTGAGGGAGGAGGGGCTGGGGCCTGGGCTCCTGGGTCTGAGGGAGGAGGGGCTGGGGGCCTGGACCCCTGGGTCTGAGGGAGGAGGGCTGGGGTCTGGGCTCCTGGGTCTGAGGGAGGAGGGCTGGGGTCTGGGCTCCTGGGTCTGAGGGAGGAGGCTGGGGGCCTGGACCCCTGCTCTGAGGGAGGGGGCTGGGGGCCTGGACCCCTGGGTCTGAGGGAGGAGGAGGGGCCTGGGCTCCTGGGTTTGAGGGAGGAGGGCTGGGGGCCTGGACCCCTGGGTCTGAGGGAGGAGGAGGGGCCTGGGCTCCTGGGTCTGAGGGAGGAGGGCTGGGGGCCTGGACCCCTGGGTCTGAGGGAGGAGGAGGGGCCTGGGCTCCTGGGTCTGAGGGAGGAGGGCTGGGAGCCTGGGCTCCTGGGTCTGAGGGAGGAGGGCTGGGGGCCTGGACCCCTGGGTCTGAGGGAGGAGGGCTGGGGGCCTGGGCTCCTGGGTCTGAGGGAGGAGGAAGCTGGGGGCCTGGACCCCTGGGTCTGAGGGAGGAGGAGGGGACTGGGCTCCTGGGTCTGAGGGAGGAGGAGGGGCCTGGGCTCCTGAGTCTGAGGGAGGAGGGGCTGGGGGACTGGGCTCCTGGGTCTGAGGGAGGAGGGGCTGGGGGCCTGGACCCCTGGGTCTGAGGGAGGAGGGCTGGGGCCTGGACCCCTGGGTCTGAGGGAGGAGGAGGGGCCTGGGCTTCTGGGTCTGAGGGAGGAGGAGGGCTGGGGGCCTGGCTCCTGGGTCTGAGGGAGGAGGGCTGGGGGCCTGGACCCCTGGGTCGGAGGGAGGGGGTCCGGGAGTGTGTCTGAGGGAGGAGGGCTGGGGGCCTGGGTCTGGAGGAGGTGGGCTGGGGGCCTGGGTCTGGGGGAGGGGAGGCGGGAGTGGGTCTGGGGGAGGAGGGCTGGGGGCCTGGGCTCCTGGGTCAGAGGGAGGAGGCCGGGAGTGGGTCTGGGGGAGGAGGCCGGGAGTGGGTCTGGGGGAGGAGGGCTGGGGGCCTGGGTCTGGGGGAGGAGGCCGGGAGTGGTCGGAGGGTCACTCCCAGAGCCCGGCCTGTCTGGGGAAGCCCCAGGCTGACTGGCCGGCTCTGTGAACATCCTGGGGGAGCTGAGTGGGCCCGGTGCCTCCGTCAGAGATGACACAGGTCAGAGGGGGCTCCGCGGGGGGCCGGGGGTGGGGGTCAGAGGGGTTGCGGGGCCGAGGCCGGGCAGCTGCTGACCATTTCCTGTGTCAACATCATCCGGACCCGCTTCCAATTCCCGGGATTCCTCAGGGATCAAGGAGGGGGTGGGGGCGGGGCTGCCGGCCGGCCGCGGCCGGGGACTGGGGGGGCCGCTCCACGGCCCTCACCGCTAATGACAGGTTTGGGCTGCCTCTGCGGCCCGCCTGCCCCGTCACCCCCCAGAGGCCAGACAGGACCCCCCAGGGACAGACAGACGGACACACACACTCACACACACAGCCTCGGACCTGCTGACCTCACACGCCTGTCAGCCCGGCCTGGCCCGGGGCCTGGGGGCCGGCACAGGAGCAGGGACCCCCGGCACCCTCCGGAGGGCGCCCTGACCCCCATCAGGGCCTCAGCCCCGTGGCCCCCAGCCTCCAGGCTGGCCTCTGCGGGTGCAGTCTCCTTGGGGTGGCATCCGTCTGGTCCTCACCCAGGGCTCCGTCTCCACTTCTGCCTGGGACTTCCCAGTCCTGCCTCTCCTTTAAAAAAAAAAAAAAAAATTTTTTTATTGATATCCTAACTGGTGTGGCTCAGTGGATAGAGCTTCGGCCTGTGGACTCGAGGGTCCCGGGTTCGATTCCGGTCAAGGGCATGGACCTTGGCTGCAGGCACATCCCCAGTGTGGGGTGTGCAGGAGGCCGCTGATCGATGTTTCTAACTCCCTATCCGTCTCCCTTCCTCTTTGTGAAAACTCAATAAAATCCATTTTAAAAATAAATACATAAATATTTCTATTGGTCTCAGAGAGAAGGGAGAGGGAGGGAGAGATAGAAACATCAGTAATGAGAGAGAATCACTGACCGGCTGCCTCTGGCACACCCCCACTTGGGATTGAGCCCTCAACCCAGAATATACCCTTGGCCGGAATGGAACCTGGGACCTTTCAGTCCGCAGGCAGACGCTCTACCCACTGAGCCACACGGCCAGGGCTGCCTCTCTTTCTTGCCCTCCTTTCCGTGTGTGTGTGTGTGTGTGTGTGTGTGTGTGTGTGTGTGAGTGAACGCGCAGTGTTTTTTATTGACTTTCAGAGAGGAAGGAGGGAAATGTGAGTGAGAGGGGAGCATCAGTGATCGGCTGCCTCCAGCACACCCCCTCTTGGCGATCGAGCTGGCCACCCCAGCCTGTGCCCTGACCAGGAATCCAACCATCCACCTCTTGGTTCCGGGGTTAAAGCTCAACTGCTGAGCCACCCAGCTGGGCTGTGCATTTTTTTTTTTAATATATCTTTATTGATTTCAGAGAGGAAGGGAGAGGGAGAGAGAAACATCAATGATGAGAGAGAAACACTGACCGTCTGCCTCCTGCATGCCCATCTCCTGGGGATCCAGCATGCAACCCGGGCATGTACCCTGACCAGGAATTGAACTGTGACCTCCTGGTTCATAGGTCAAAGCTCAACCACTGAGGCACGCCTCTTCTGTACCCCCCCTCCCCGCCCCCTTCTCCCTCTGCCTCCTGCGGCTCCTGGGAGATGAACCCTCAGCCCAGGGTGCGGGTTTAGGCGGATGGGGAAACCGGTCTCCATCCAGGGACCACTGACCTGCCCAGCCTGCAGCCCCCACCCCCAACAGAGCATCCCCCAGACTGCCCTGCGGTAGCACCTTCCTCCGCCCTCTGGACACTAGGGTTTAGGGCCTGGGCTCCTGACACCTGGGACTGAGGGAGGAGGGGCTGGGGGCCTGGGCTCCTGGGTCTGAGGGAGGAGGGGCTGGGGGCCTGGGCTCCTGGGTCTGAGGGAGGAGGGCTGGGGGCCTGGGTCTGAGGGAGGAGGGGCTGGGGGCCTGGACTCCTGGGTCTGAGGTAGGAGGGGGGCTGAGGGCCTGGACTCCTGGGTCTGAGGGAGGAGGGCTGGGGGCCTGGGCTCCTGGGTCTGAGGGAAGAAGCTGGGGGCCTGGCTCCTGGGTCTGAGGGAAGAAGCTGGGGGCCTGGCTCCTGGGTCTGAGGGAGGAGGCTGGGGGCCTGGCTCCTGGGTCTGAGGGAGGAGGGCTGGGGGCCTGGGCTCCTGGGTCTGAGGGAGGAGGCTGGGGGCCTGGCTCCTGGGTCTGAGGGAAGAAGCTGGGGGCCTGGCTCCTGGGTCTGAGGGAGGAGGCTGGGGGCCTGGCTCCGGGGTCTGAGGGAGGAGGCTGGGGGCCTGGCTCCTGGGTCTAAGGGAGGAGGCTGGGGGCCTGGGTCTGAGGGAGGAGGCTGGGTTCTGGCTCCGGGGTCTGAGGGAGGAGGCTGGGGGCCTGGCTCCTGGGTCTGAGGGCGGAGGCTGGGGCTGGGCTCCTGGGTTGATTCGGGGGGTCTGGGGCTGTCCCCCCCGGGTCTCTGTGGGGCAGGAGGCTGCTGGGGGGACCCGGTCCCTATTGTTGCTGGCACGCTGGCCCCAGGCCCAGTCCCCATCCCCTCAGGCCCGTCCACCCCCCAGGCTGGTGGCCTGAGTCACCTTGGCTGCCCCCCCGTCTGGGGGGGCCTACGTCAGTTCTCCCCTCACTGACGCAGCCGGGGCCCCCCACGCTGACTCAGCCGGAAGTAGGCCCCCTGAGGGGTGGAAACCTGGTGGTCAGGGGCTGGGAGGCCCCGGGGGGGGGGGGGCATGGCGGACCCACAAAGAGCAGAGCAAGCCTGCCTACCTGCGGCGATGAGGTCACCCCACCGGGGGGCGCTGTGACCTCACCTCCCCGGGGACGGAGGCGCTGCCCCCCAGCGGTGGGATGACTCCAGCTGCCATCACGCGAGCCCCCCGCCGGCCGGGCCCAGGCTGGGGCCCAGGGGGGCGGCCGGGCCCTTTGCACTGAGGACTCATCACCTGGTCTTCCCCTCCCGCCTCTCTGTCGCCGCCCCCCTCCCCCCTCCCCCTGCAGGTGGGGTGCTCCGGGACCTGGCTTCTATCTGGGTCCCTCGCTGGCTCTGCCCGGGACCCAGGGCCACCTCTGCCCGCACCCCTGGGGCTCCCGCCCGCCCGCCTGCCTGTCAGCATCTGCCCCGGACCCGCCTCCTCCCCTGAGCCCCAGCTGCGGGGTCCTCCCTGCAGGCGCCTCCCTGCCATCCTGCTCCCAGCTCCCCCTGCAGCCGGGGGCACCCCCTCCCTCCACCTCGCTCCCCACGGGCCACATCCGGGCCTCCCAGTCGCCCCATCTTGTCCTCCCCCCGCCCCCCCCCGCAATGTGTGAATAAAAACCCACCCACCCTCGGCAGAGGTGATCTGAGCGTGTGTGCGTGACATGAGCGAATTCACTTCTGTGCACATGGAGGCGTGGGTGGGGGGGGGCGCAGGGGGTACAGGGCCCTCCCCTGCTGCACAGGGAAACTGAGGCACTGAGCGGGGAAGCCAGGCGCCCGAGGTCCCACTGCTGCTGCCTTCAGGTTCTCGCTCACCCTCCCTGTCCCCGCTGGCCACCCTTCCCCTCGTCCCTGACTGCGGGCGGCCCTGGTCCTCTCTGCCTGCACCCCTGGATTCCCTCCCTCTCTCTCTCTCTCTCTCTCTCTGTCTCTCTCTGTCTCTCTCTGTCTCTCTGTCTCTCTCTGTCTCTCTCTCTCTCTCTCTCTCTCTCTCTGTCTCTCTCTCTCTCTCTCTCTCTCTCTCTGTCTCTCTCTGTCTCTCTGTCTCTCTCTCTCTCTCTCTCTCTCTCTCTCTCCCTCTCTCTCTCTGTCTCTCTCAGACTCTGCATCGCCCCAGTGACCCCCTCTGTCCGCTGTGGCTCCTGGGTGCTTGCCTGGGTCCCCGTGTCTCCATCTCTCCCTGTCTCTGTCTGTCTGTCTGTCTCTGTCTCCGTCCCAGCCCCTTGGAGTCCTGGGTCCCGTGTCTCCATCTCTGTCAGTCTGTCTGTCTCTCTCCATCCCCCACCCCCAGCCATCATTTCCCCAGGCCCGCCCCCCTGGCCCCTCGGTAGCCCCGTCCCCCCTCCCCGCAGCCTCCCCATCTCTCTGCCTGTCGGGGGTCTAGCTAGCGGGGACCCCCCACCCCGCCTGCCTGCAGCGGCCCCCCAGCTCCTGCGCCTCGTGTGTCTGCCCCGCGGGCGGCGCGGCCTGGGCGCGGAGGGCGGGAGGGAGGGGCGCCAATGACCTCACCAGCCCCTCTCCGACCCCCCCCTCCTTTCCCTTTCAACTTTTCCAACTTTTCGGCCCGGGCCTCCTCGGAGCGGCGGCGGCGCGCGGCCCCGGCGGAATGGAAAAGGCGGCGGGAGGTGAGTCAGGATGTGTCAGGCCGCCTCCCCTGCCGCCTGCCCCCCGCGCCCGCCGCCGCGGGCCCCTATATAACCCCCTGGGCGCCGCTGCCAGCGCCGCACATGCCGCCCGGCCCGGCCCGGCCACTGACCCCGGGCCCGGCAGCGGACAGGCGCGGGTTCGAGGCCCCGGCTCCTTCCCTCTGCCCTGGGCAGCCCCGACCCGGCGGGGACATGAACAGTGAGTCTGTTCAAGCGGACGGGGAGGAGCGGAGGGGAGGGAGGGACCGCCGACGGGAGGGTGCGGAGCAGACAGACCCACAGACAGACAGACAGGCAGCGGGATGGGATGGGACGGGGCGGGAGCGGAGAGAGCGGGGAGGACGGAGGCTCCGGCCGGGACGGGCGGAGGGAGGAGGGATGGACAGACGGACGCCCCGAGGCGCGGAGACCTGGAGACGCACGGACGGACCCATGCAGGGAGGGGACCCCCGAGGGCCCAGGACTCCCGGGGAAACTGAGGCAGAGGCCCCGAGGAGAGGAGGTGAGAGCCAGGAGGAGGAGGAGGACGAGGAGGACGACGACGACAGAGGCAGGGGTGCAGACAGAAGCCGGAGCCGGATGGATGGACGGACGGACGGAGGGCGGCGGAGCGCCGGGGGCGGGCTGGGGGTGTGCGGCGGGACCGGGCGGCCGGGGGGCGCTGATTGGCTGCGGGAGCGGGGGGTGGGCCCGGGGGGGGGTCCCGCCCAGGTGAGCGGGCATCCCGGCCGCGCCGGCCCCGGGGGAGGGGGCGTCTCCCGGGGAGGAGGGGGGCCCGCGCCCCGGCCCGCGCGGAGCTCCCTCCGCGGCGCTCAGGGCGCCGGGTCCGGGCCCGGGAGGGGGCAGGTCCTGGCCTGTGCCGCCCCCTCACGCCCCGCCCCGGGGCCCAGATTCCGGCGTCCGGGGGCGGACGGGAGACGCCCGGCCCGTCTCCCCGCCCGGGGCCGCGTCTGCTCCGACGGGCGGGGCAGCCGGAGCCGGGGCGGGAGAGGGAGCAGCGGGAACCCGCCCGCCCGCGGCGCCGGCCCCGCGCCCTCCGCGCCCCCAACCCTCTCCAACCCCAGTCCCCCCCCTCCCTCCTCCGGCCTGACCCCCGCCCCCCGCCCGCAGGTGTGTGCTGCCTGGTCCTGGCCGCGCTGAGCCTCTGGCCGGACCGCGCCGCCGCGCCGGGGCCGCCGCCCGGGCCCCCGCGGGCCTCCCCGGACCCCCGCGCCGAGCTGGACGGCGCCGTCCTGCTGACGCGCTCCCTGCTGGCCGACACCCGGCAGCTGGCCGCGCAGCTGGTAGGAGCCAGACCGGGGGTCAGGGGGCGCGGACCGGGGAGGGGGTGCGGGGACCCCCAGGGCCGGGCAGGGGCGCCCCCTTATAGCCTTTCCCCCCTCCATGACCAGAGAGACAAATTCCCAGCCGACGGAGACCACAACCTGGACTCTCTGCCCACCTTGGCCATGAGCGCAGGCGCGCTGGGAGCCCTGCAGGTAGCGGCCGGGGAGAGGGAGGACCCCGTGTCTCCATCTCTGTCTGTCTGTCTGTCTGTCTCTCTCCATCTCCACCCTCCCCCCAGCCATCATTTCCCCAAGCCCAACCCCCTGGCTCCCTCCGTAGCCCCGTCCCCCTCCCCCTGCTTCCCCATCTCTCCCCGGGGAATGGGGGGGCATGGGCCCCCGGGCGCTCCTGACCCCTGACCCCGCACCCCTGTCCCCCAGCTCCCCGGCGTGCTGACGCGGCTGCGGGCCGACCTGACCCCTGACCCCGCTCTCCTGACCCCTGACCCCGCACCCCTGTCCCCCAGCTCCCCGGCGTGCTGACGCGGCTGCGGGCCGACCTGCTGTCCTACCTGAGGCACGTGCAGTGGCTGCGCCGGGCGGGCGGCCCGGCCCTGCGCACCCTGGAGCCGGAGCTGGGGGCCCTGCAGACCCGCCTGGACCGGCTGCTGCGGAGGCTGCAGCTCCTGGTAGGGCGCCCCTGCTCCGCGGCCCTCACCCTGCAGCCCCCCAAGACCCTGGGGCCTGAGACCCCCCACCCCCCGCAGGCCCAGACTCCCCCATCCTGCCTGGAAACGCTTAGGCTCACCCCCAACAGAGAGCGGGGAACTGGGGACCCCAGAGGTGATGGAGGCCCAGGGGGGAGACCCCGGCCCAAGACAGTGCATTCCAGATTCTGAACCCCAGAAACGGAGCCCCCAGCCCCCCGAGATTCCCAGGCCCCCGGGCGAGAGGCGCCGGCTGCCTTTGCAGCTGGACTCTGAGGTGGGAGACTGTGAGACCCCCAGGCCTCGCCCTGGCCGGTGTGGCTCAGTGGATAGAGCGTCGGCCTGCGGACTGAAGGGTCCCAGGTTCGATTCCGGTCAAGGGCATGGACCTTGGTTGCGGGCACATCCCCAGTGGGGGGTGTGCAGGAGGCAGCTGATTGATGATTCCCTCTCATCGATCTTTCTAACTCTCTATCCCTCTCTCTTCCTCTCTGCAAAAAAATCAATTTTTTAAAAATCCCAGAAAAAATAGACGCTGCCCCGAAGATAGAGACGCTCCGCAAATGCGCAGCCTGGACCCCCAATCTGCAAGCACCCCTCGCCGTCCCCCCTCCCCTGCTGCACCCCAGGCCTGTGGCTAACCCTCCGTCCTCTCCCAACAGATGGCCCGCCTGGCCCTGCCCCCGGCGCCCCCAGACCCGCCGGCGCCCCCCCTGGCCCCGCCGGCCTCAGCCTGGGGAAGCATCCGGGCGGCCCACGCCATCCTGGGGGGCCTGCACCTGACGCTGGACTGGGCCGTGCGGGGCCTGCTGCTGCTCAAGACGAGGCTGTGACCCGCTGACCCCGCCCCCTGACCCCTGACCCCACCGCGCCCTTCACCGCCAGACCTTATTTATTTTATTTATTTCGGGACTGGGGGCGTGGCAGCCAGAGGTCTCCTCCCCCCTGTACCCCCAATTTAGAGACAGTCCCTCCAGGGGACACCTGTGCCTTATTTATACTTATTTATTTTGGGGGGGTGGGCGGGACGCAGGTGGACTCAGGGGGTCCCCAGCGGAAGGGGCTCCGGGTCCCCATTCTTGGGTCCCTCCGTCTGGCCCCCCACTCCTCTGGGGCCTGAGAGGGGCATATGTTATTTATTATTAATAAACTATTCCTTTTTGCGACGGGGTGGGGAGGGAGGGAGGGAAGGGGGAGGCAGGCCTGGATTTTTGTACGAACGCGTGAGACGCCGTTGTGAGCTGGAGGAGGAATTAAACCTGTCACACACATCCGCTCGGAGGCTGTTTCTATGGGGTGGACGCCGGGGCCCCGGGAGGCGGGGGAGAGGGAGGGACCCTGAGTGGACAAGGCCAAGGTCAAGGCCTGGGAGGGGAGACCATCCGCGACCCTGAACCCTGAGGGGCAGGGTAATGGGAGACCCTGGCCGGGGGCGGGGGCTCAGTTGGTTGAGCATGGTCCCTGTGCACACAAAGGGCGCTGGTTGATTCCGGGTCAGGGCCCAGGCCCGGGTTGTGGGCTTGATCCCCAGTGGGGGCCGTGCAGGAGGCAGCCAATCGATGTTTCCCTCCCTCTCTCCCTCTCCCTTCCTCTCTAAAATCAACAAAAACTGCCCCAGCTGGTGTGGCTCAGTGGATAGAGCGTCGGCCTGCAGACTGAAGGGTCCTGGTTCAGTTCCCAGGTTGGGGGCTGGATCCCCAGTAGGATCCCCAGCTCGGGGCTGGGCCTCGGGGGCAGGGTTTGACTCTGACCCCCCCAGGGTCCTGATACACCCATTTTACAGGGGAGGGAAGTTGAGGCTGGGGTGCCTGTGGCTCAAGGTCATGCAGCTAGAGAGACCACGGCAGTTCTGCCACAGCTCTGGCTCATGGCAAAGGGCGGGTTCCTTTCCTTATCCTAAGAGGGAATATGCAAATTGACCATCACTCCGTCACAAAGACAGCTGCACCCACAGCTGAGGCCAGGTTCCCATAAGGAGCCTCAACGAGCAATCAGCAGGGACCTGAGGCTACGCCCTCCCCCGCCCCCATGGGGCTTGACCGGGGACTTCAGGCCTCGTCCCCTGCCCTGTGTCAGGCTGGGGACTTCAGGCTGCACCAGAGCCCCAGCACCAAGCCAGGGGACCTGGGGCCGTGCCCCCCACCAGGTGGGGCTTGACAGGGGACATCAGGCCACACCCGCATCCCGGCACCAGGATGGGGGACCTCAGGCCGCGCCCCCCACCCAGCAGGGCTGGACGGGGGACCTCAAGGAGCACCCCCCACCCCAGTCTGGGCTGAGGGACCCCCATGCCCCCCTATCCTAGTGCTGGGCCAGGGGATCTGAGACTATGCCCCCTGCCCAGCAGGGCTTGACAAGGGTGGGACTGGCTGGGTCTGGATCTAGCCCAATTCAGGGGGGCCAGCTGGGTCTGAGTATCATGCAATTTTGAGGTGCACGTGGGTGGGCAGAGACTTGATTCTCAGTCCCATGGTGAGCCCCGGACTCTGACAGGAGGAAGGTTTTCATATACATTTTACTAATTTTCTTTCATCTCCGACACTTCTATTATAGAGAAAGGGCAAATAGCAACGTTAAATTATTTCCTCTAATCAGTCCCCTTTTCATGTGCACGGATTTCGTGCACCGGGCCACTAGTAAGTCCACAGACCGCAACCGTGACCACAGACGCAGTGCATTCCCGATGGGGAGACCGAGGCTCTGTGGGCAGCCGGGTCTCACAGCGTCCAGAGCAGGGTCCGTGGTGAGCCCGACTCCCCTCTTATGAGCCAGAAACCCCTTGGTTGGCCGTGGCCGGTGTGGCTCAGTGGTTGGGCATCAGCCTATGAACCAGGAGGTCACAGTTCCATTCCTCCCACCTCGTCAGGGCTCAGGCCTCCCCGGGTTGCAGTCCATCCCCCGTGGGGGGCGTGCAGGAGGCAGCCGGTCCAAGATTCTCCCTCATCATGGATGTTTCTCGCTCTCCCTCTTCCTTCCTCTCTGACATCAATGCAAATATAAATATATATATATATATATATATATATTTTTTTCTTAAAGAAGCTCTTTGCTTAACTATCTGTTTGCAACATCACAGACAGGCCCTCCTGGGGGTTCCTATCTTGTGTCCAGGTGGCGTCTGGGCAGGGTCTCGGGGTGCACCCCACCTCCCCGCCCTCAGACCCAGTCTGCATGTACAGGCGGACCAGAGGAGCCGTGGCCGTGGCCGTGGCCGTGGCCGTGGCCGTGGCCGTGGCCGTGGCCGTGGGCGTGGCCGGGGAGATGTCCAGGAAGAGGCCTCAGAGGGTCCGATGAGGTCACAAAGGGCCTCCAGGGAAGGCTCCTCCCCCGGCCAGGCGGGGCGCCCCGAGGGCCAAGGCAGCCCCTCCCTCTGCGCCCCCTCTCTGCGGCCGCCATGAACAGGCTCTGGAACCTGTGGCGTGTGGAGCCCCCGCCGGGCCCCCCGATGTGGGTCCCCATCCTGGGCCAGCTGCAGAGGACCCTGCGCCAGGGCGACTACCCGCCCCTCCGCCCGCTGCCCATGTTCGAGAGTGACTTTGTCCAGGTCCCAGCCCCTGGGCCGGGGGTGGGGGGTCGGGGCCCCTGGGCTGGGGGGCCGGGGCCCTGGGCTGGGGGTCAGGGCCCCTGGGCTGGGGGGCCGGGGCAGCTGGTCTGGGGGGCAGGGCCCCTGGGCTGGGGGGGCCGGGGCAGCTGGTCTGGGGGGCAGGGCCCCTGGGCTGGGGGGGCCGGGGCAGCTGGTCTGGGGGGCAGGGCCCCTGGGCTGGGGGGCCGGGACCCTGGGCTGGGGGTGCAGGGCCCCTGGCTGGGGGGGCCGGGCAGCTGGTCTGGGAGGCAGGGCCCCTGGGCTGGGGGGCCGGGGCAGCTGGGCTGGGGGGCAGGGCCCCTGGGCTGGGGGGCCGGGGCAGCTGGGCTGGGGGCAGGGCCCCTGGGCTGGGGGGGGGCCGGGGCAAGCTGGTCTGGGGGGCAGGGCCCCTGGGCTGGGGGGCCGGGGCAGCTGGTCTGGGGGGCAGGGCCCCTGGGCTGGGGGGCCGGGGCAGCTGGGCTGGGGGGCAGGGCCCCTGGGCTGGGGGGGCCGGGGCAGCTGGGCTGGGGGCAGGGGCCCCTGGGCTGGGGGGGCCGGGGCAGCTGGTCTGGGGGGCAGGGCCCCTGGGCTGGGGTCCGGGGCAGCTGGGCTGGGGGGCAGGGCCCCTGGGCTGGGGGGCCGGGGCAGCTGGTCTGGGGGGCAGGGCCCCTGGGCTGGGGGGCCGGGGCAGCTGGTCTGGGGGGCAGGGCCCCTGGGCTGGGGGGCCGGGGCAGCTGGTCTGGGGGTGCCCGGGGGGGGGGGGCGCAGGGAGGACCGGCCCCAGCCCCCGCCCCGGCCCCCAGGTCACCAGCAGAGGGGCCCCGGTGTACGTGCACCACAGCAGCAACCACCTGACCATGGGCGTGGCCGCCTCCCTGCCCAGCGCCCCGCTGCCCGACCTCCTGCTCATCGCCCGGCCCTCGGAGGACAGGGACTGCCCCCACCTCCTTCTGTCCAGGTGCCCCCGGCCCAGCCCTGCCAGACCTCCCCCTCCCCACCTCCCTTCTCCTCTCCTCTCCTTTCTCCCCTTACCCCTTCTCCTGCTCCCCTTCCCCTCTACCTCCTCCCGCTCCCCTCTGCCTCCTCCCCTTCCCCTTGACCTCCTCCCCCTTCCCCTGGACCTCCTCCATCTCTCCCTCTACCTCCTCCCCTCCCCTCGGTCCTCACCCCTCCCCTCTAACCTTCCTCCCCCTCCCCTCGCACTCCTTCCCCCTTCCGCTTGGCCTCTCCTCCCCTCCCCTCTACCTCCTCCCCCCCTCAACCACTCGCCTCCCCTTCACCCCCTGACCTCCCCCCATGCTCCCCTCCAGCCTCCTCCCCCTTCCACTTGACCCCCACCCACCCCCTCTCTCCCCCTCCCACCTCCCTCCTCCTCCCCTCCCCCTTCCACCTTCCCTCCCCCCTCCCCTCTAGCCTCCTCCCCCTCCCCTCAACCTCCTCCCCTCCCCTCTGACTCCTCCCAACCCCCCCCCTCCCCTCTTTGCCTCCCCTCACCCTCACCTAACCCTCCCACCACCCCTCGCCTCCCCCTCCCCTCTCCTGCCCCACCTTCCTCTCCTTCCCCCACCTCCTGCCCCCCCACCTCCCCTCTCCTGCCTCCTGCACGCCCCCGTCCCCTCTCCTGCCCCCCACCGCCACTCGCCCTGCCCCCCCCTCCCCTCTCCTGCCCCCCCCTCCCCTCTCCTGCCCCCACCTCCCCTCTCCTGCCCCCACCTCCCCTCTCCTGCCCCCCCTCCCCTCTCCTGCCCCCACCTCCCCTCTCCTGCCCCCCTCTCCCTCACCCTCCTGCCCCCCTCCCCTCGTATTCCCCACCCTCCTTCTCCTGAAGACCCCCCACAGGGACTCCCCTCTCCTCCCCCACCTCCTCTCATCCATCCACCCTCCTACCTCTCCCCTGCTCCCCCCACCCTCCTCCCGCTCCCACTCCTGCCTCCTCCCCCCCCCTCTACCTCCTCCCGCTACCCTCTGCCTCCTCCCCCTTCCACTTGACACCTCCTCCCCCTTCCCCTGGACCTCCCTCCATCTCCTCCTCGACCTCCTCCCCCTCACCCTCCCACCTCCCTGCCCCCCTCCCTCTCTCCTCACTCCTCCCACCTCCCCCCCCACCTCCTCCTCCTGCCCACCCTCTCCTCTCTCTCCCCCCCTCCTCTCTGCCCCCCCTCCCCTCTCCTGCCCCCCCTCCCTGCTCTCCTGCCCCCACCTCCCCTCTCCTGCCCCCACCTCCTCTCTCCTGCCCCCCCTCCCCTCTCCCGCCCCAGGATGATCCCGCTGGCCCTGGTCCGCCTGTACGTGCACAACCAGCCGGCCCGCTGCCTGAAGCTGTGCCTGCTCACCGGCCGCTACTACTACCTGGAGCTGAACGCCCCCGACCGGGAGAAGGCCTTCCTGTTCCGCCGCTGGGTGCGCCTCATCAGCCTGCTGCGGGAGGCCCCCGCCCCCGGGGCGCCCGGGGCCCTGAGCACCCCGCCCTCCGAGCTGGCCCAGGCCACCCCGCCCGCCTCCACCTGGCAGCTCCAGGTGGGGCTGGGGGCCTGGGCTCCTGGGTCTGAGGGAGGAGGCTGGGGGCCTGGGCTCCTGGGTCTGAGGGAGGAGGCTGGGGCCTGGGCTCCTGGGTCTGAGGAAGGAGGGCTGGGGGCCTGGGCTCCTGGGTCTGAGGGAGGAGGCTGGGGGCCTGGGCTCCTGGGTCTGAGGGAGGAGGGCTGGGGGCCTGGGCTCCTGGGTCTGAGGGAGGAGGGGCTGGGGGCCTGGGCTCCTGGGTCTGAGGGAGGAGGGCTGGGGCCTGGGCTCCTGGGTCTGAGGGAGGAGGGCTGGGGGCCTGGGCTCCTGGGTCTGAGGGAGGAGGGCTGGGGGCCTGGGCTCCTGGGTCTGAGGGGGGGGGGGCTGGGGGCCTGGGCTCCTGGGTCTGAGGGAGGAGGGCTGGGGCCTGGGCTCCTGGGTCTGAGGGAGGAGGGCTGGGGGCCTGGGCTCCTGGGTCTGAGGGAGGAGGCTGGGGGCCTGGGCTCCTGGGTCTGAGGGAGGGGGGGGCCTGGAGGCTCAGTCCCGGCACTGAGGGGCTGTGGAGCCAGGAATCGGTGGCCCCCTGACCGCGCCCCCCCCCCCTTGGCCCACAGGACCAGCCCCACAGCAGACGCTCCGGTGAGCAGCGCTGCATCCCTCGGGTTTCCGCATCCACCTTCTCCTCCCCGCGCCCGGCGGGGCTGGCGGAGGGTGGGTGGGAGGTGGGGTGGAGGTCTGGGGGTGAGGGGTGGGGGTTCCTGCGCTCCGGGCCCTGGCCCAGCCCTCCCGCGGCCCCTCCGCAGCAGGCACCCCGGCCCAGGCCTCCCTCCCGTCTCTCCGCAGCCACGGCCGCGGGTCCCCGCAAGATGCTGGCGGCCCCGAAGCAGAAGGCCCAGGCGCGCAGGCCCGGGCCGGACCGCGGGGCGCTGCGCCCCGAACCCTCCGCGGCCGCCCCGCCCAGCCGGGGCCCATTCCGGTCCCGGGCGGTGGGCGACTCGGTGCCTCTGGTCTGGTCGCAGCTGGAGGCTCTGGGCTCGGGGAAGAGAGGCGGGGAGAAGAAGTAGGCCTGGGGTCCGGGGGCCACGGGGTGGGGGGGTGGAGAGGAGGGGGACGCCGCTGAGTCCCACCCCCTGTGCCCGCAGGTCCCACCCGGACCCCGGCCACGGCTCTCAGACCACACCCTCCTCTGGTGAGCACCTCCTCCCCTCGCCTCCGAGAATGCACCCCGAAATTCCGGTCCTTTCCCAGGGCTCAGGCTGCTCTCCCTGCCCTCCCCGCCCCCCCAGCGCCCCCACTGACCGGCCGGGAACCCTCCGCCCCAGCGAGGCCCAGCGTCACCATCAGGACCATCTTCAGCATCTTTTCCAGATCCTTCAGCCCATCGCTGTCCTCCTCCCAGGCACCTATTCACGGGGGGCCAGGACCCCACTCTTAGATCTGAGGGAGGAGAGACTGGGGGCCTGGGTCTGAGGGAGGAGGGGCTGGGGGCCTGGGTGTGAGGGAGGAGGGGCTGGACTCCTGGGTGTGAGGGAGGAGGGCTGGGGGCCTGGGTGTGAGGGAGGAGGGCTGGGGGCCTGGGTGTGAGGGAGGAGGGCTGGGGACCTGGGTGTGAGGGAGGAGGGGCTGGGGGCCTGGGTCTGAGGGAGGAGGGCTGGGGACCTGGGTGTGAGGGATGAGGGCTGGACTCCTGGGTGTGAGGGAGGAGGGGCTGGACTCCTAGGTGTGAGGGAGGAGGGGCTGGACTCCTGGGCTCCTGGGTCTGAGGGAGGAGGGGCTGGGGCCTGGTCTGTGTCTGAGCGGCTGCAGCCCTGAGCCCGTCTCCCTCTCCTCCTTCTGTCTCCAGGGATGCTCAGCGGACAGGGCGGCCATGCCTGGCGGTTTGGCTGAGGCCCCTCCATGCTGCCTCTCGCACGGCCCTGAGGCCTCCCTGCTGGTCTCCTACAAGCAGCTGTACGTGCAAGAGACCCTGGGAGGCCTGGCAGATCCCGACTCCTGCTCCCTCGGCCCTGCCGCCTACCCGCCCGGCTCCTACCCGCCTGCCGGCCCCGCCTCTGGCCCCAGGCAGGATGGCCAGCCCAGGCCCCCGCGCCCCGTGCAGACACCGCGGCCCCCGCCCGCCCAGAGGGCCCCCCTCAAGCGCCCCCAGAAGGCCCCGGCGAAGAAGACCCCGGTTGTGGCCTCCGCCCCCCGGAAGGCCCCAGCCCCTCCGCAGACCCCACGGGTCCCCGCCGCTCCCCAGAAGACCTCGTCCGCTCCTGTCCTCTGCCCGGAACCCCTGTCCCTGCCGACCCCATCGTCCCAGGCGCTGACGCCCCGCACCCGCTACCGGACGGCCTGGGACTCCGCGGCCTCGGGCGCGGGGCCCGCGGGCAGCCAGCCCTCGGGGAAGACGGAGCCCCTGATGCTGGTGGGCGCGCAGGAGGCCGAGGTCCCGGAGGTGCGGGCCCTGGACGGCCTGAGGGGCAGGGGGCAGGTGGAGGACCGGGTCCGCAGCTGCAGGGAGGAGCGGCGGGTGGACCTGCCCGGCTTCCAGTCCCAGGCCACGGGGCAGCGGGGGGAGTGGGTGAGGTCGCAGCAGCTGGCCGTGGACGGGGCCCCGGGGCCCAGACCGATGGGGCTGCCGTCCTGGCTGTTGATGTCCCAGGTGTCTGCGGGGTCAGCCCGGGGCCCGGAGTCCCTGGGCCGCAGACGGGTGTCCATGGCGGAGGGATCCCCGGGGGGTGTTCGGGGAGCCCCGACAGCGCCCCGGGTGGGCTCCTGGGTGGAGGGGGGCGTGGGTCTGTGGGTGGAGGAGACGCGGAGGGCGCAGGCGTCGGAGGCGGAGCCCGAGAAGCTGCCCTGGGCCCAGAGGGGCCCTTTCGCGCTGGACCCCCGCGCCCCGAGCACCCCCAGGAGCTCCAAGGTGGACAGAGTCTCGGAGGCCCCCATCCCCCTGCCCGCGACGAGGTGGGAGGACCTGGTGCCGCCGTCGCCCACCGTGCTGACCCCCATCTCACAGATGGAGGCGGCCAGGGCGCCCCTGAAGCTCAACAGAGACGCTGTGGGGACCCAGGAGGGGGGGTCGGGCCAGGGCCCCGTGGCCAAGGCGGGGCTGCCCCCGGAGACGGGCGTGCCCAAGCTCCTGGAACTGGAGAAGATGGGGAGCGTGGCCGGCTGGATGCGGCAGAGCAAGGAGAGCCCGCAGGTCCTCAGGCCCTGGCCCAGGCATGTGGGGAGGAAGGACGGGGAGGGGGGAGGGGGGGACTCTGAGCAAGGTGACATGGGTAAGCTTAGGGCGCATGGGAGGCAGGGACTCGCGCTGCATCCCTTGCAAACAGGACGCCCAGCCCTGACCAGTGTGGCTCAATGGATAGAGCGTCGGCCTGCAGACTGAAGGGTCCCGGGTTCGATTCTGGTCAAGGGCATGTACCTTGGTTGGGGGAGAGACCTGGGAGGGGCGCGGGGCGGCGGTGGGAGCTCGGATTCCGGCTCAGGCCTGCCTGTTCTCCATTCACTGTGCTTACTGAGTGCCTCCTGCCCTCTCCCCAGCAGGCACTGAGCCCAGCGCCTCCCGTCGCAGGATCCCAGATGCCACTCAATCCCTACGTGGTCCAGAGTGATCGAGTGTGGCCAGGTAGCCCCCCGACACCCCCAAACCCGCCTTTCCCCCCTTGGCGCCGGACCCACCCGCGCGCTTGGCTCTTCCCGGCAGGCCCCAGGCGCAGTGCGCTCGACTCCAAGAATCCGGAGGCTGGCCAGGCCGAGCGGAGGGCCTCGGGGCTGCCGTAGAGAACAGAGTTATTTATACATTTATATATTGGGGGGCGGGGGGCGGGCCGGGGGGACATCCCGAGGGGTGGCCCAGCTTCAAGGAGATTAAAAGCCTGCGTCCGAGCCGAATCCGGTTTGGCTCAGTGGATGGAGCGTCAGCCTGCGTACTGAAGGGTCCCGGGTTCGATTCCGATCAAGGGCATGTACCTTGGTTGCGGGCACATCCCCGGTGGGGGTGTGTGCCGGAGGCGGCTGATGGATGATTCTCTCTCATCGATGTTTCTAACTCTCTGTCCCTCTCCCTTCCACTCTGTAAAAAATGAATAAAGTGTATTTAAAAATAAAATAAAAGTCTGAGCCTGAGACGCGGCAAAAGTCGGGAGCCTGGAGCCTGTGTGCACACGGGTCCCTGGTGCTGGGCTGGAGGCGGGGCGGGAGGGAGGGCGCGTGTCCACGCGGCGCAGCTGCTCCCATTGGCTGGGGCTCCGGAGTCTCAGCCAATAGGGCGGAGCCGCGGTGTGCCTGGGCTGGGACCCTCGAGACTCCGAAACGAGGGGCGTCGCGGACGCAACCAGAGGCGTCAGGCGACCGCTCAGTCTAGTGAGGACAGGACGGGGGAGCCGGGGGGACCGGGGCTGGGTTTCGGGGTGAGGGGGGCGCCAGAAGTTATGTGCGATTCGAAGCAAGGGGCTCCCCCTCGGCCCCACGAAGCCCCTCCTCTTCGCAGGAGCATGTTCGACTCGGACAAGCCCAAAGCGCGAAGGCCCACGCCGCCCTTCGACCCGCGCTTCCCCAACCAGAACCAGACCCGCAACTGCTACCAGAACTTCCTGGGTGAGCACTGGGGGCAGGGGAGGGCAGCGGGGAGGCGGGGGGGGGCAGGAACGGGGCGCACCCCAACTCCTGAGGACGCGTGAGGGGCCCCGACTCCCGTTGGGAGGGGAGACCGTTGGGTGGGGGGCGGAGCGAGCCCGGCTCGAGGGGGCGGGACTACCGGTTAGGGGCGGGGCTTGGCCGGGTGGGCGGAGCCAAGGAGGCAGAAGGAAAGGAGGGTGAGGCCGGGTTGTGAGTGGGCGGGGCCTATGATGGAGGCGTGGCTGAGTCGCGTGGGGGCGGGGCCATGGAGCTGGGGCCTGGCAGGGAGGGGTGGGGCCGGATCTTGGAGAGGCGTGGCCTATCCTGGAGGCACGTGACCAAGTGGTGGCCAGGGCGGAGTAGAGATTGGGTGTGGCAGGGAGGGGGCGTGGCCTATCCTGGAGGCACGTGACCAGGTGGCCAGGGCGGAGTAGAGATTGGGTGTGGCAGGGAGGGGGCGTGGCCTATCCTGGAGGCACGTGACCAAGTGGTGGCCAGGGCGGAGTAGAGATTGGGTGTGGCAGGGAGGGGGCGGGGCCTGGTTCTGAGAGGATGTGGCCGGCTGTGGGGCGGGGCTTGGGGCGGAGCTGGTAGGGACAGAGGGTGGAGAAGGGGGCCCTGTCCTGGGGTGAAAAGAGATGCCTTTATCAATAAAGAATTTTTTTTTTAAAAAAAGAAGGGATCTGGTGGGGAGGAGGAGGGACCTGGTCAGGAGGGGCGGGGACCTGCTGGTGTGGCTCAGATGGTTGAGCATCAACCTCTGAACCAGGGGGTCACGGTTCCATTCCGGGTCACGGCACAGGCCTGGTTGTGGGTTCATCCCCAGTAGGGGGCGTTCAGGCAGCAGCCAATCAATGATTTTATTTTCTTTTTTTTTTTTAAAGTATTTTGTTATTGCCCTGGCCGGTTTGGCTCAGTGGATAGAGCGGAGACAGATGGACTGAAGGGTCCCAGGTTCGATTCTGGCCAAGGGCACATGCCCTGGTTGCGGGCTCGATCCTCAGTGGGGAGCGGGCAGGAGGCAGCCGGTCAGTGGTTCTCTCTCATCGTTGATGTTTCTGTCTCTCTCCCCCTCTCCCTTCCTCTCTGAAATAAAATATATATATATTTCAGAGAGAAAGGGAGGGAGAGACAGAAACATCAAGGATGAGAGAGAATCACTGATTCACTCCTGCACCATTGGAGACAGAGCCTGCACCCCAGCCTGTGCCCTGACCAGGAATCCAACCGTGACCTCCCGGTTCATAGGTCGATGGTCAGCCACTGAGCCACCGTGGCCGGACAGCATGGTTTTCTTTCATCACTGATGTTTCTATCGGGCTCTCCCTTCCTCTCTGAAATCAATTATTTATATATATTATAAATCAATTATATATATATATATATATATATATAGAGAGAGAGAGAGAGAGAGAGAGAGAGAGAGAGAGAGGGGGGGGAGAGAGGGAGAGAGGGAGAGTGCCAAAACCGGTGTGGCTCAGTGGTAGAGCGTCGGTCTGCGGACTGAAAGGTCCCAGGTTCGATTCCGGTCAAGGGCATGTACCTTGGTTGCGGGCACATCCCCGATGGGAGGTATGCAGGAGGCAGCTGGTCGATGTTTCTCTCTCATCGACGTTTCTAGCTCTCTATCCCTCTCTCCTCCTCTCTGTAAAAAGTCAATAAAATATATATTTTTAAAAAATATTGAGAGAGAGTGAGAGAGAGAGAGAGAGAGAGAGAGAGTGTGTGTGTGTGTGTGTGTGTGTGTGTGTGTGTGTGTGTGTCTGGTCGGCAAGGGGCCAGACCAGGTCAGGAGGGGCGGGAGCTTGGCGCGGTCGCACCCCCGCACCCACCGCCCGCCTCGCCCCCCTCCCCGCAGACTTCCACCGCTGCGTGCAGAAGATGAACCGCCGCGGGAAGAGCACGCAGCCCTGCGAGTACTACTACCACGTGTTCCACTCGCTGTGCCCCAGCAGCTGGGTGAGCGGCGGGGCTGGGGCGGCGGGGCGGGGCTGGGGGCGGCGGGGCGGGGCTGGGGCCGGCGGGGCTGGGGGCCGGCGGGGCTGGGGGCCGGCGGGGCTGGGGGCGGCGGGGCTGGGGGCCGGCGGGGCGGGGCTGGGGGCGGCGGGGCGGGGCTGGGGGCGGCGGGGCGGGGCTGGGGGCCGGCGGGGCGCGGGGCTGGGGGCCGGCGGGGCGCGGGGCTGGGGGCTGGGGGCGGGGCTGGGGCCGGAGGGGCGGGGCTGGCGGGGCGGGCCTGGGCCCGGCGGGGGCGGGGCTGGGGGCCGGCGGGGGCGGGGCTGGCGGGGCGGGCCTGGGCCCGGCGGGGGCGGGGCTGGGGGCCGGCGGGGGCGGGGCTAGCGGGGCGGGCCTGGGGCCGGAGGGGGCGGGGCTGGGGGCGGCTGGGCGGGCCTGGGGCCGGCGGGGCGGGGCTGGCGCGGCGGGGCGGGGCTGGGGGCGGGGCTGGGGGCCTGCGGGGGCGGGGCTGGGGGCGGCGGGGCGGGCCTGGGGCCGGCGGGGGCGGGGCTGGGGGCGGCGGGGCGGGCCTGGGCCCGGCGGGGGCGGGAGCTGAGCCGCCCTGCCCGCCCTCAGGTGCAGCGCTGGACCGAGCAGATCCAAGACGGCACCTTCGCGGGGAAAATCTGACCGGCTGCCCGCCGGCTCCTCCGGGGGCCCGGCCAGTGGCCCGTCCCTTCGTCTCCCGGAGACCGGGCGGCCCCCACCCGGGCCTGAGCCACAAATAAAGCCGTGCTGTTGTCGCCGGTCCTTCCTTCCTTCCGTCCGTCCGCTCACTGCGCGGCCTGCCCCTCGGGGCTGGGGTGAAGGGGGGACCGGCAGATCTCTGGGGTGGAAGCGAACCCGCCGCCCCCACCTGCTCCCCCGCAGCAGCCGCCAGCTTTCCCGATGCAACACTCGCCCACCAGCTGCTCCCGCCTCTCAGCCGCCACACCTTCCCGGCACCTGCACCCCAAATCCTCCTCAGCATCTTCTCCTCTTACCTGGACAGCCTCCCGGCTCCCCAGGCTTTCTGCCCTCTGCCCCAGGCCACCCGCCTCAGGCCCACCCAGCGCTAAGAATCCCATCCCCCCCCACACACACACACACCCCAAACCTTTCCCGGCTCCCCTGCCCCCGCGTGACTCCACTGCCCCCCCCATGTCCATCCCATCCCATCCCCGCAGGTGAGCCCTCCCCACAGGCTCCTCCCGCTGCGGCCTGGTCCCTCCCGCCCTCTCCGGACCTCACTCCGCTCCTCCCGCAGAGCCCTGCAGACTGAGCTCCAGGGCGCTCAGACGCCCCACCTGAATTACTTTTAAAAGGTATTTTTATTGTTTTCAGAGAGGGTGAGAGAGAGACATCAGTGATGAGAGGGAACCATGGATCGGCTGCCTCCTGCACGCTCCACACTGGGAATCGAGCCCACAACCCAGGCATGTGCCCTGGCCAGGAACTGAACCGTGACCCCCCCGGAGCCAGCCGGCCGGGCCCCCTGAATTGTTCTTTGCTTCCCACAGCCAGGCTCAGCTGACAATGCGGAGATTCCCCGACTTAGACACCCCCTCCCATGTCACCTCCGGCCCCTTCACCCCCCGCCCCAGGCGGAGGGGGACCCTGGCGGGACTGGGCGTGGCCCTGCCCGGCGCCCGCAGCCCTGCCCGCCAGCCCCGGCCCCAGCAGGGGATCCTGGAATCGCAGTTTCTGCCCAGAGCGGTCACCTCCTCAGAGGCCCTTCAGCCCCAGCGCTCAGAGGAGGCTGCTGCTAGTCACACACCCTCCGGGGTGACCCCGGACAGGCCTGCCCACCTGCACCCTCACTCCCCAGCTGTCACCGAGATGGGCCAGCCCCATGGTCCCAGAGACAACGGGCCGGGCCGGCTGGGTCAGCTCAGGGCAGAGCCAGCTCCGTCCCACCCCCTCACCCCCTCACCCCCTCCATGCCCTCAGCACCCCACCTGGGCACACCTCAGTGTGCCATCTCCCAGATGCCCTTCCCCAAGACCTTGGCCCCCAGGGATTCTCTCTGGGACCAGGACGGGGGAGGCAGGAGGACGTGGCCGCCCGGGAGGGGCCTCCTGGGGCCTCGGCCTCAGGAGCTGGCGGCGGGGCCACGTGGTCAGGGCAGCTCTGAGTCAGGGGCCGGGTGCGCGGTCTGAGCGCCGTGAGGTCACCCAGGTGGCGGCCGAGCGCAGGGCAGACACCTGTGCACCCAGCCCGGCTCCGGGCCAGAGCACCAGCCTCCGGCGCACTCGGCCCCTGAGCCACTGCCCCTCCCAGTCCCCTTCCTTCACCCCCCCTCCATCCCTCCATCACCTCTGGGACATTTTAATTAATCAGTTTTAAAGTGATGTACTTTAAAAAGATATTTAAAACAATTTTATTGACTTCAGAGAGGCAGGGAGAGGGAGAAACATCACCGTTGAGAGAGATCGGCTGCCTCCTGCACGCCTCACCCCGAGGCTCCAGCCCACAACCCGGGCAGGTGCCCTGACTGGGAGCCGAACTCTGACTCCTGGTTCAGAGGTCAACGCTCAGCCACTGAGCCCCGCCGCCAGGCTGAGCTAAGATGTGCTGCTCTCACGTGAATGTTTCTCTCTTCCCCCCTCCCTTCCTCTCTGAAAATCAATAAAAAATGTTAAAAACATTAAATGTTTCACCTGCTCAGGGGCGGAGGGGGGAGGGTTTGGGGCATCCTCTTGCAGGGCCTGTGGGGTCTCCATCCAGACAGACAATGGGAGGCACTCAGCATGTGTGGCCCCAAACCGCATGCGATGGCGGAAGTCACCTGGCCGCAGCCCCAGGAGGACTGGCCCCTTCGACACGCCCCTCCCTCTGGGCGTGGGCTACCAGCTTCCCGGGGACCCCCAGATCCTGCCAGCGCAGGGGAGCGGACCTGAACTCCCCACACTTCTAACCTCTGTTGGACACCGTGTGCCCAGGGGCCACACCAGCGGTGCGACCTGGGTAATCCCGGCCGGGCCGTCATGTCCCGGAGACCGGCCCCGGGTGCAGGCGGCAGGCGGTGGCTGTCCGCTGCACTGCAGGTCCCTCCCGAGATCAGATCCCTCCGGCCGGTGGGAGGTCTCCAGAGAGGTTTCGGCCCCAGCTGAGGGGGTGCTACTGACATCTAGTGGGCGGAGGCCAGAAGCGTGCCCTCCGGCTGGGAGGGGGGCCCCCGGGAGCATGCTTTCTCAGAGGGATTCCCAGGGGAATGGCCGGTTCACACCCCGAACTCAGGGCCCAAAGCCTGGGCTGCCGCCTCTGGCCTGGCCCCCCGGCCGGGCTGAGGGCCGCCTGCGCCCTCCTGATGGACACACCCTCAAGGCAGAGATAAACAGGAGGAGCTCCCACGGGTGAAGCTTGTAAGAAGGTTTTAATAAAATAAAAAGTTCAAGTGCTTCCAATCCCCCAACAAACATACCCCGTTCCGGTGTGGGGGAGGGGAGGCGCCCCACACCCCAGTAGCACCAGGGATAGCACCATGAGAAAGATGAGGTCACACCGGCCTCCCTGAGACCCGCGGGGGCGGCGAGGGCGGACCCCCGCCTCGCCCCACCTCAGTCAGTCACAAAGCTGAGCAGACCCACCCCCCGCGTGGGCCAGTCCCCCTCCTCCAGAGGCTGGGCTTCTGGGGAGCCGCCAGGGGTGCCCCCACCCCTATGGCTTTGCTCCCTGGGCAGGAGGAGGGGGCGGGCGGGCATGGCATCGGCAGTCCTGAGGCTGGGGCGGGGGCAGCAATGGCCAGGGCTCCCTGCTGGGGTTGGGGTGGCTCAGGGGTCAGCAGTCACAAAGGGTCAGGGGTCCGATCCCTGGGGGGTGTCCAACGCAACCGCACCCCCTGGGGTCAGAGCTGTGCTGGGGTCAAGGGTCAGGGGCCTCTCAGAGGCCCGAGCGCCCCTTCTGGAGATCAGCGAGTCCCGAGACCCGGGCCCCTCAGGGCCCGTCGCCGTTGACGTCCAGGTCGATGGAGCCGTGGCTGACCACCAGCCGCAGGCGCTTGGGTGGGGAGAAGGGGGCAAAGGCCAGGGCCTGCTTGGGGACGGGGAGGGGGCCTGGGGGCCTGGCGGGGGCGGGGCTGGGCGAGGAGGTGGGGGGCGGGGCTGGGACCACGCGGCTCAGGTCCACGCGCAACACGTAAGGCAGCCCGTACCGCCGGGCCCAGTGCCAGTCCTGCCGGGGCGTCCAGCGGGTGCGGGGGGCAGGGCCCAGGGCCACCAGGGCCTCCGCCTGCAGGCGGCAGTGGGGGCCGCAGCCCCCCCACCGGTGCAGGGACACGCGGGCAGCGCGGAGAACAGGGGGTGCGGGGGCCCGCCGGGCCGGGGGGCGCCTGCGCCTCCGGGGGCGCACCCAGAGCTGGGGCTGCGGCAGCCACTGGACCCAGAGGGGCGCAGCGTCGGAGCCGGCGCCGCAGGGCAGGGGGTGCAGAGGCTGGCAGGCAGCTGTGGAGGCGGGGGAGGGAGAGACAGGGTGACCCTGTGAGCCGGCCCGGGGGAGGGGAGGAGGGGGGAGGGGAGGAGGGGGAAGGGGGAGGAGAGGAGGAGAGAGAAGGGAGGTCCGGGTCAGGCCACACCCCACCCCACCCCCCACCGGGCCGCCCAGGAACAGGACAGGAGGGCAGGGGGGTCTGTTGGAGACGGGCCGGCAGGAGGGGGCTGCCCCGTGCTCACCGCAGAACGGGTTCTGGCGCAGCGGCGACGAGTGGGCGCAGGCCCAGGGGCTGAGCCGGCCGCCCAGGCTCTGCAGCAGCCGCCGCTTGGTCTCGCGGAGCTGGTACTTGTCCAGCGGCTGCGGCGGGAGGGGCTTCCCGGGCCTCAGGCGGAAGGCTCCTTCCCCTCTCCTGCGGGGCAGAGGCCTTGAGGCTGAGCTTCCGGCTCCGGGCTCCCCGCTTCCCCCGCCGGCCCGGCCCCCCGCCCCGCCCCGCCCCGCCCCGGCCCGCACACCTCTCGCAGGTGTAGCATTCACAGTGCTCGTTCTTTTCGCCAAAGAAGCCTTCACCGTAGAAGCAGGTCACCTCGTCCCCGGGCTCGATGTCCCGCAGCACCTTCACGCAGGCCGCGTTCCCATCTGCGGGCACAAACTGGGGGCCAGGCCGCTCAGCGCCCTGGCCCGCGGGCCCCCTGGTCCCCAGGGTCCTCCCCTGGCACAGACAGGGGCCAGGAGCCCGCGGCAATCTCTGACATTCCTCCCCTCCCGCGGGAGGAGGCTCTGACCCCCGGGCTGTGCTCAGGCCCCGGGCCCTCCCACACACCGGCCCTCCCACACACCCGCCCCCTCGCTCCCTGCCAGCCTGCACCCTGCGGCCACCCGCTTCCTGGAAGCCACCCCACAGCCCCTACCTGCCCGCTCCTGCCCCCAGGGGCCTGTCTGTCTGTCCACCACCCACCCCCCTCCAGACTGTCCAGGTCTTTTGGATCCCTGAGACCTGCCCCCCCTCCCCCCAATCACCTCTCACTCAGGACAAACCAGGTCGCACACCAGCGTCCCCGTGCGGCCCAGCCTCCAGCCGCCCCCAGTCCTTATTCACAGAGTGGGCGCTCCCAGCAGGCAGACCCGAGCTCACCCAGAACAGACCGGAGTCGCCTCACTCGCCACACACACCCTGACCTTCCCATGACGTGTCCTGTCTGGGACACCCTAACCTGCCCCCGTTTTCCTGAAACCTGGACCACCCCGCTCCCGGGCCCCAGGCGGCTTCGGACTGGGCCCCATGTCACGCACCCCGAAACCTATGTATAACTGCGGGGGGCCTGCAGAATCAGAGCAACACTGCCAACAC